TCGCACTCGCACTCTGCACACGAATATCGATAACAATATTGATAATTGATAGCAAAGTGTACATATATAGATGACAAGATAGCAATACGAGAGTAATTTAATTTAATACGTATGTAGTCTTTTTGCTATCATGTTATTATCTTTCGAATTTTGCACGCACATATATATTATATAAGAATCGAAAAATATACTATAGAAACACGACTCCGAAAATTATACATTTTGCATTTTGTCATAAATAACAAATATTTAATTTATATTCTATTCTATTTTTTTATTCCAATTATATAAATTCCCTAACAGCACACATATATGCAAAATTCGAACATTCTCCAAATTTATTCAATAAATATATATAAAATCTAAATATTTTCCAAAATCTTTGAGTAAAATTTATTCTCCATATAACCTAAAAAAAAATTCCAATAACTTACGAATATGAACGCGCCGAAGTTTTATGCTGTCCTTCAACTCAATAAAAAAGCTCACGATACATCCACACCTGATATCTTCTTCTCAATGTCACAAAATCTCTCGCATTCCCACCTTTTCGGCGGATTTTCGCGCGCAGAGAAAAGTGCCGAGCGCGTACGCGAGATACGACGTGAAGGTTGCCGCGCGAGCCCAATATCGATCGATCGATCGAACGAACGAGATCGACGACGCCTTCGCTTCGGTGACACACGCAACTCGCGCGCGCGCACGCGCACGCGCACGCCCACGCACGCACGCAGAGCGGAAGAGCACGCGAGCGGCGCGCACGTCAGATCGCGACAGATCGCACCTGAATCGAACCTGCCGGAGAAAGAGACTGCGGCCGTCCGCGTGTCCAGTTAGTCGCGGCGCAAGGATGTCCCCTCCCCCTCCCTGCACCCCCACCAGGAGCGGAGTCTCGTCTCCTCTCCCTCTCCCGCCCCCCACGAATGACCTACAATGTACAATCTCCGGACATATATATATATGTGTGGACATGTGTGTTTGACGATTTGTCGCGATATATTATATCGGAGTTTTCTTTTTTTTTTTTTGCTCTTTATCGCGCTATCATCCCGGCGATTTTTTTGTAAATATATATAGTCTCTTCTTCCCTCGGTCGAATGATATGTTAAAATGAAATAAAAATATTTGCGTTGAATTTTAAAAAATAATAAAGATATATGTCTTTCTTCACAAATTTTTACATACTGATTTATATGTATTTAATTATTATGAGAAATATATGAAATATATAAAACGAGATATAATTAAAATTGATTAATTAATGATAACCAAATTATTTAAATATTCCTAACACTTTTCTCGATTAATAAAAAAGAAAAATCACAAATATTTTAGATATATATACTGACTTGCTTGCAATCACGTAAATATATTTTATCGTCTTTAACGAGGAAGATAAAATTTTCAAGCAAATAAGCTTGCATAACTATATCATGTGTATATTAGTTTGTTAAATAACTTATTACATAATTATATTAAAGAGAAAGACGATTTATATATATATACCTCGCCGTGGAAGAAACGCCATTACTCGTTTGAAGTGAAGCGAGTTGCAAAATTCATGGCAAAGTTCAGACAAAGTTTCCATGAAGAGAGACCTCTGTAAAATATAGCTTTATTAAAAAAAATTCTGGAACCTTAAAATTAATAAAGATAATATATTCGATGATAAATTATCTTTCAAACAATAGCTTAATAAATTTGCTTTACGATCCGCGATCGAAGATAGAGATCTACATAAATAAAATTAATAAAATATACATGTACAAAATTGAGTGCTGCTTGCAATTAGAAATATTAAAAATATATTTTACATATACACCCGCGCGTTTGTGTGTATGAAATAGACATCTTCCAGCTTTCCATCGTGCATTTGAAATACCTTTGACGCCTTTCTTAATTAATCAGGTACGTAAGTGCGCTTCTTCCTTCCGCGAAGGTCAAACAACACTCGCGTCGAGCTTCGATCCTACGAGCACCGCGAGCGACTGGCAGCGCCATCGCGCGGCGGCGCGCGCAACTAGCCGCGCTTGCGCGGTGCGGCGCTAGGGTCGCAGTTGCTGCGCGAGTGCAGCCGCGGGATCTCAAAGTGCAACACGATCTCTCGGATCGAGTACCTCGGCGCGGTGCGTGGAGCACGCTGTGTGTTTGTTTCCCTCCCGTTGTGCGAATATAAGCTGTCGGAAACATGACGCAAGAGAGCCAGTAAGTATTCGCGAGATCGGCGTGAAAATCGACGGGACGGATCAATGCGGAGCTTCCGGATTTAATGACGCGAAATGCGCGATCGCGCGTCCCCGACGAGGATCGGCCGGCCGAAACGCAAAAGCACGAATGCCGCCCCGTGGCTCTCGCATCCGCACCGCCATATTGGAATGTGGATGATGATATTATTGATTCTCGAAATTTCCCCGGACGATGCGACCAGATACTTCTTGCTCGCCGATCGAAAAAAAATGGAAAAAAAATTTAACCGAACGCGAACTCCTCCGTCGTCTCGACGAAGAGGGAAATCGGCGCTTTCGCGTTTCCTTCCGCGTCGCGTCCCTCGCGTCTTCGTTGCTGAATCGACCGATGAACCCACGAATGACTCTCATTTTTTCGAAAATTCGACTCGACGATACACGACGATTCGCGAGATCGTCTCCTACGATATTTGCATTCGCCGCGCGCGAAATCGGGAACACGAGCGAACCGGAAGCGCGAAATCGCGGCGATCGCGATTTGTCATCCCTAACCTATAAGAGCGCACGATTGCTCCGATATCGATATTTTTCGTGCACGTGGGAAATCTGGAAATTTCGATTTTCCGCGATACAATGGACGAGATGGCTTCAAACACGCGTGGCGAAAATTCTGAAAGCGCGTTTCATTCACGTGAGAAAATGTAACGTGTTGAAAATCGTTAAATGTAGAAATGCGAGAAAAAACCTCGTGCAAATTTTACTTCTCTGTGTATAGCTTTATTACTTTTTTGTCAAAAAAGTCGTAATGTTTTGTATATCTTTTGAAAAATTTAATTTTTGTTAATATATATCTATTGAAAAAAATAAGAAAGATTAGAAAAAAATATTTTATATTATACATTATATAAAAAAAACTTTTAAATTTAATGAAAGAAATTTACCGAAATAGATTGAAAAGATTCAGTTTAGAGAATAAAGTAAACAACAAGTTTTACTATATATCATATTTTGCTTAAAATTCTTTCATAATCTCTTCTAATTTTTAGGATACCTCCTCCGCCAGTTATGTGGGCCCAAAGGAAAGATATCTTATTTGTTACAATCTGCTTAGAAGACTGTAAGGATCCTGTTATCGAAATTGAACCAGAAAAGATATATTTCAAAGGGGAGGGTGGCACAGATAAAAAAATGCATGAAGTTACGATTAATCTATACAAAGAAATCGAACCCAGTAAAACTGTAAAAAATATGAAAGGCAGAACTTTTGAATTAATTCTTGCTAAGAAGGAGGAGGGACCATATTGGCCACGGCTAATTAAGGACAAAACAAAGGCTCACTGGTTAAAGAGCGACTTCAACAAATGGAAGGATGAAGATGATACTGACGATGAAGGCAGTCCACCTGATTTAGAAGAGGTAAGATCATTGTAAAACTCGATCATAATTGAGGTTTTAGTTAACATATAATTGAAAGTAATTCTTTATTTTTTTAAATTTATTTTTTGATTATTTGGTTATTAAAGAACATTTGGCAACAGGAAGCTGATCGTTGTTTATTTACTTCATGATGATGAGGAATGATGATTGATGAGATTACCTACCTACTCAATTAGATTTTAAAAACCTTCAAATATAGATCTTTGGAAATAAATTTCATTTTGCGTTGCTCAAAAGATAAAATTAACATTAAATTGTATATATATATTTTTTAAATTGCATATTGTTCTCGTTGAAGGCAAGTAAGAATGGATAACTAAGTCTTAAGATACCAGGCTATAAAAAACTTGACATAAATAACACGAGCCATTTAAAGGTTAATTTTTTTTTGTACATTCTTTTTCGACATTACATTTGCCATGCATAAAAAAAATATTAGTGAAATTACAAATACATATGAACACAATAATTACATGCGCATTATTTTTATTCTGTATATTAGAAAAGGTATTTAAGATTGAAAATGCATAATATAGAGATTAAAAAAGAAATAAAAATTTAGCTGAATTAAGTTTCATCAAATTGTGATATTAAAAAATTTGTAAAAAATTCAATGTATAAAAATTAAATATAAAATAAAGATAATATACTTAAAGTTATAAATGTTTTTTTTTTTTTTTTTTTTTTTTTTTAACTTGATTTTACTCTTTTTTCACATTTATCAGTATCATAAATATACAATAAAGATACTATCCTTAAAATTAATAAATGCTTTTATACTTGATTTTACCCTTTTTTTTCACAGATGATGCGACAGATGGGTGGTCTGAGTGGTTCTGGTGACAGTAAGCCAAATTTTGACGACTTAGATGAATTAGGGGACAACGAGGCTGACAGCGATGATGAAGATCTTCCCGATTTATATGATTAAAACGATGAATAATCACATCAATTAATTGATTAATTAATTACATTAAAACAAATGGCAACCTAAGAATGATGCACAATCGGGCAATGTTTCAGTAGGTCTCGCTGTTTGTATCTTCAATTGCAAATTCGTTATAAAATGGCCGTGTTGCAAGTAGCAAACTGGGCGCGCAAAATGGACTACAAAGAGAACAGTGTGGTAATAACACAACTGACGAACAGTAATACACAGCTCTCGCGAATCCTCCACACTTCACCCGCCTCCCTTTTTAGCCTGTAGTTCATATACTAAGTTATTATGAACAAGCTTTTTTAATAATGTATTCTGTAAAGTAATAAGGAGATAAAAAAAAACAATGAAAATAACAAAACAATAACATGGAATCGTTCATTTTGGGAAATCCTATAAAGCACTACTGACAGGCATGATAAAATGTTGTAAATGTTGTCTGTGAGATAAAAATATCAATACTTTATTTACTCTGTCTCTTCATTGAATTGTATTGTTCCGTCTTATTCTCTATCCCCGTTAGAATATTCTTTCTCGTTCTATATACAAATGAAATTGCGTTTGAGGTATTGAAACGTCTTGTTTCCTAATTAAATGATGATTGGATGTGAACGTAAAATACTGATCATTTTAACCGACAATGCTAGATGCTCCACGTAAAGCTAAATATCCAGCTGTTATATCCATCGGTAAACTGCGAACTGTTGCGAATTCTTCAGCAGTAGCATAATACAATTTAGTCTGTGGATCAGTGTATCGTGCCTGTAAAGAAAAAAATTAATGGAATTTATTATTTATATTTCTTTTTCAAGATAACAGCAGCGCTTCAAAGAGCATGTAAAGGAAGATTAATTAATAAATGTGATAGAATAAGATAGAGAAGCACTCACCGGTAATCCAGAAATGTCAGAGTACTTCTTGGCAGGTTTAAAGCTCGGCGGTGCATTAATAGAACTATCTGAAATTTAAACGACATCATTCTCTTTTTTCCTCTCTGTTTCAAAACTATTTCAGTTTTTATCATTCATGTGATCATTTAAATGTTTTACAGTTTCAATCCAACTGATGTATAAAACACAATAACAAGAGGAAAAATCAAGATTCATCATACAATTATCTACGTACAGTGTTTTATTGTCACCGGCCATGGCAACGAACGTTCCTGAGCCAAAACTTGTTTCAATGAACGCCAAGTGCGTTTTTTTCCACTAGTGCTGATCGGCCGAAATTTTGTGTGGAAGGAACGATTCTTAAACACGGGTTGTGGTTTCTTGTTAGCATCTATCACTTCCTCGCTCGCCATTTTTCAATATTGCCTAAAACAAATAATAAATGAAAATAATTACTAATAAGATTGAGACTTAAGAATTTTTGCAAATTATGTAGTTTTGTAATGTGTAAATAAGAAGTTATTGCTAATAAAAATATCTATCTACAAAATTTACAAAAAAGATATGAAAAATATAACTATAAATTATTTATTTTATAAGCAAACACAAAATTCAATATACAGAGAATATAATCTTTTTAATATATTTTATATATGTAAATATATATTTTTAAAGTTAATTGTCTGAACATTAAATCTAATATAATTAAATATATAATAAATCAATAAATAAATTTATAAATAAAATATCATAGATAGTGCATTTTAATATAAAAGGAAATTGCACGTAATATTGTTGTATTTGAATGCCTAATTAATGGTTTGGCTCATTTGCTTAGAATCAATAAAACGGAATAATCCTTAGTATCACTAAAAATAACACACATGAAGAAAGATAAAGAAACATATTATTACATAATAATATACATCAATATTTCATAAAAATACTTTTTTTTAAATTAAAATAATATATGTGCGCATCCTTGCAACAAATCTTTCTGTATAGTAATCGATAGAACCTCCATATGAACAAAACCTTTTTACTTGGATCAATCAAACACAAAATGGCATGTTTGCATAGCATTACTGATATATCTTGATAATCTGATGTTCTCTCTTGGGGTAAAGTATCTGGATGATATCTTGGAATTGCATATATATGGTATATGTACACAATGTTTACATAATATATAAAGATTACAATATATAATAAATTCTAATTAATAATGTTTTAATTTATAATCGTTAAAAGTTAATATCAAAATTGTTAATATTGAAAATCTCTTCTAGTATTTGAAAATGTTTATAAAACTAAAGAACGGATGTTTAAATATATATAGATACAAAATAATCTCGCAGCATCATTGATTTAATACAATTTATATTACCTTGCTGGCTACATATAATATAACATGTACATTTGTCATAAATTTTACATTGTTAAGGTACAATTGCAGATATTCTTTATTTAATATTGTTTTTTGCCTTGTATGTTCAGTAAATGCTGTGTATAAAATTACTCCTATTTTTAAAATAAGCATCTGTTCTTTTAATGAATAATAAATCTTCATGTCTCTGTTCTGATATTAATAACAATTTTTTCTGTTGATTTTTAGTCAATATCTAAAGTGTTATTCATTGCAAAAAAAATCTTTCGATTTTTCAATTAACAATTCCAGATTCCTATAAGCTACGTCTGTGCAAGTTATAAAATTTACTCTATCCAATTTTTTATTACAATTCGATGAAACTTGGAAAGTTAAATTTTGAACGAATAAGTGAATCAATTTTTCTACATTAAGTGCCGATAGCTTTATCATATTTTATATTAATAAATTTAATTTAGTGATAAAATTATATTGCAAACTCTCTAACTGCAAGCAAAATCTCATAAAATTGTATCGAGATTTTTGTTGTGTCAGAGATTAGTGCTCTTAGCATTTGTTTATGAAAATTTCAACAAACTTCGCAATGTTTTCGGTGAAAACGATATTAACAAATACCTTAAACATACGTGTAATTCGTAACCATCTGTTACTCCAACATCCTGTCATTAGTGTCAAATTCTGTAAGTAGCATATCTCGCTGATAATTCTAATTCATATCAATTCACATATAATCACAAATATTGAGGTTAGGAACTTAACCTCAAACTTCAATAAAGCGCGGCAAAACAAATACGAATGTATTTATTTTCGAATTGTCATATATTTGTATTGATTTAGATTATTTAGATTTATTGAAATTATCAAAACAAATCCACGATCGCGGTTTTTAAAGTCAATTTTTGAAATATTTAAAAGAGGTTTATTATTTATATAGTATATATATATATATATGAAAGGGAAGTTTTTGAAAAAATTTTAATTATTTTTTTTCAATTTTTATACATATATATTCTTATTTATTTTAATCAATAAGAAATTATATATATGAAAGGGACGAAAAGTTTTTGAAAAAAATTTAAATAATTTTTTTTTATACAATTTTTTATACATATATTCCTTATTTCAATCAATAAGAAATTATATATGAAAGGGACGAAAAGTTTTGAAAAAAATTTAAATAATTTTTTTATACAATTTTTATACATATATTAATTATTTAAAGAAAAAATGACTTTCCATTTGAGTAAAAAAAATTATTATGTCTTTTTAATATTGTATCTCGAGGTTTTATTTTTCATATTCTATATTCTGAACATATTCCCCCTATACTTAACCTGTATTTATTCATCGCTCTCTCTGATTATTTCATCTTTATGTGAATGATTGGCATAAATTTAAAATTAAGAATAGACTTAATAAAGTATGTCGATTCTCTCTCTCTCAGCTTTTGCGAAATAATTAAATATACATACATAGAAAATACAATTGAAATGACTTCCGTAATATGAACGAAGTGAGGGAGAGTGGGGAGACGTAGAATGTAGAATCGGGATGGGAGGAATACGACAGTAATCGTTCACCTTGTCGCGCGCGTGAAGGTCAGAGGGACGAGAACTGCTCGAAAAAAAGCTCTGTTGCAGCTGGTGGATCATCCGAGTGTCTGTCATCGCGAAGTTTACGAGCGAGAAAAATGGCGCGAAAATTCTTCGTCGGCGGTAACTGGAAGATGAACGGCACGAAGAGCGAAATAAACGACATCGTCGCCTTCCTGAAGACCGGTCCACTCGACCCGAATGCTGGTACGTGAGACGCAAGTAAACGTATATATTTGATGTGTAGAGTGCATTAGAAATACATTTGTACTCGACTACTTTCAAACCACTTGAACGGATAATCTTATATTTTAATTCGTTTCAAAAATATTGCGTTGTCACATAATCTTTCTTGAGCAAGGTTTTGATCATTCTATAAAATGTGATTTAATATTTAAAGTTTTTAACAGAACGTTTTACAAAAGGGCAATCTTTAAACTTGTTCGAGAATCTAACAAATAATGTCTGATGCAAATACACTTATGTAACATTTTTGTGTTTCACATTCAACCTTTAATTTATGAGGACTTGTCATAATTCATGGAACTTTTGTAATTTGCAGAAGTCGTAGTGGGAGTCCCTTCAATATATCTCACATATGTGACCTCCATTGTTCCCAACAATGTTAGCGTCAGTGCGCAGAATACATATAAAGTGTCCAAAGGAGCGTTTACTGGTGAGATTAGTCCGGCTATGCTTCTGGACAACGGCATTCCCTGGGTGATTCTTGGTCATTCGGAGCGTAGAAATGTGTTTGGAGAAACGGATGAATTAGTTGCAGAGAAAGTTGAGCATGCTTTGGAAGCAGGATTGAAAGTAAGTAATAATTAAAAATAAAGTATATTATCTCTATGAAAAGGTGATATAAAAATCTTTGAATCAAATTAAAGGTAAAAATCAATTAATTTTTGTGTTTTCTAGGTGATTGCATGTATAGGTGAGAAATTGGAGGAGCGCGAAGCAGGAAAAACAGAAGAAGTAGTTTTTAAACAAACTAAGGCAATAGCTGACAAAATTAAATCTTGGGACAACGTGGTCCTGGCTTATGAACCAGTTTGGGCGATCGGTACAGGTAAAACCGCGACCCCGCAACAAGCACAAGAGGTTCACGAGAAATTACGAGAGTGGTTGTCCAAAAATGTCAATCCCGCTGTTTCGCAAACTCTGCGAATTATCTACGGTGGTTCCGTGACAGCTGGAAATGCCAAGGAACTGGCAAAAGAGAAGGATATCGATGGATTTTTGGTCGGTGGCGCGTCACTGAAGCCTGACTTTGTACAAATCATTAATGCTCGTTCTTGAACAGTCAACAAAACATTTTAACAAGATTATATCAGATGAGATTTTATTCCTACTAGGGATATGCAAATAGTTGCATACTGTTATATTCTGTCTATTGTTCGAATGTACAAAGTCTGTTCTGACGAAAAATATTGCTATAACGAAAGGAGAGTCATATCTATATTTATCTTATATTTTCAATCTAATCTGCTCGCAATGTAGCTATGTAATATGTTACATTGTTGTTGTTGATAATTCTTAATTGTATTTATAATACTGCAAGATACACAGATAATCTCAGATTAATTTGTCTGCAGTATCATTGATACAATTAGTCTAATACAATAAGGGAACATTGTAAAAGCTTATCAATAAATGTTAGAAGGAAAACATCTGTTATCTTATACAATTTTTGCGAGAATTCATTTAATCAAACCTCTTACAAAAACAGTCTGGGGTACTTCGTTATTGACTACACACTTTAAATGATCTTGCTTTGCTCTTGTGCAAGCTATATCTGTAAGAGCTTTGAAAGATCGAGGTTCCCAAATTGATAAGTCAGCTAACACCTTACGATTCAAAAGAATGTTACATCTAGTCAGTCCCTCTTTCAGAGTAAAGAAATTTATACCATGTTCATTTGTAGCGGCTTGTAACCTCTGTTCTCGCAGCTAAAAAAAACAATAATTATGAAAGTTCTCTCATGAAGAACATTGATCATAAATTTTGATATAGCATTCGAACTGTACCTCTTTTATATCAATTTTTTTCAATCTTCTACCCTGAGTGGCGAATACCAAAGCTCTGTGCACACTTCTGATGGCTAAGCTATAACAATTCCTTCTTCTACCAAGATAATGCTGTTGAAATCATAAAAAATGCATCAATCTTTCGTTTTATTTTTTTTCATTTTGTATCAACGATTAATACAACAGATAAATATTCAGAAATATAATCTGCACGGTATTCAAAAATATTGCATAATATATAATACACATACCGCGGCGAGCTTAAATATTTTCCGTTTACGCCAGAACTCGTCGGGTCCGCGACATCTCGCTAACAGATTTAACGATAAGAAAACCATTTTATTTTAATTAATTAATTTGCATCGAATCACAGATTAATAATTTCCTAAAAAATCCGTATAACACCAAATGCAAAAATCACGTTTCAATAATGTTAGGTTTTTTAGGTTATCGGAGTAATAATTTTTGATTGGAGTTCTAATCATTGGTCACTCTAATGTCCCTAGATCACTCTAGTTCACAGCTGTGAAAGCTTCCGAAATGCTTCGCAACGCGTCGTTCCGATCTGTTTTCATTTTTGCCGCCATCGATCAGCTGTTCGCCTGCGACACGTTTCAGTACCTGTCAATTATTACTCGTCATTACTCGCTATTTGCATTGAATTACGATTAAACAATTTATAAGTTGCTTCTTTCGCACTTGGACCGATATTTTTATATTCGCGAATAGCCACATATATTATAAATAATAATACATGGACAATATAGAGATCGATGACTTGGACAGCGAAGCGGTTGAATTGAACGAGAGTCATCCTGATGGGGAAAACGCACAAGATTTGCAGGAGGAGACCGAGAACAATGTCTCGCATGAGGAGCAGCGAGAAAAATTACTGCGTCTTCCTCTGGGAAGGATAAAGACGATTATTAAAATGGATCCCGAGGTCTCTTTGGTGAATCAGGAGGCTGTTTTTCTGATAGGAAAATCAGTGGTAAAAATAATAAAATATTACATGATTAACTTTACGATTAATGTATTAGATTGACTCGCTTTTTTTCTTTTGACAGGAATTTTTCATCGACTCACTTGCGAAGGAAGCTTATAAATATACCGCGCAAGCAAAGAAAAGGACTGTCCAGAAACGCGATGTAGAAAGCGCGATTGATAACGTCGACGCGCTCGTATTTCTAGAAGGTATGCTCGATTAAACTGTATAATGTATAATTCTAATCTATCACTAGAAAAGTAGATAAATTGTGTTATATAAAATATATTTTTTATTCTGTTAATAAAGTAGTAAATATTACTATTTTTGTACTTGTTAGCATTAAAAATATTGTCAACTTCAAATAAAAAATTAATAGTATAATAGTAGTTTTTTTTTAATTAAAAAATAATACTTAAAAATAAACTTATGCAGAGGCTTGTTAGAATATCTCATTCATGCAGTAGGAATATTTTTAACATCAAATTTAAATCTTATAGATGCAACAAATCGAATTTCTTGCACCTATAAAATTTAAATTCGATATTTCATAAAAGGAAATAGAGGTAAATGTAAAGGAACTTGTGTGTGTGTGTGTGTGTGTATATACATGTATTTTTAAAATTCATATTTTATTTTAAACTCATTTATTATGTTTTTTATTGGTACACAATAGATCATTTCACATATGTAAGATGTTCACAACTTTACGAAAGAAAAGTTACTGTAATAGTAGTAAAAACTTGTAGTGGTAAATTATTTATTAGATGTTAAAACTTATATATAAAAAGTATTTTTTACAGTTAAACCTTTGTATTCTGAGCATTTCTACTCTTAACTCTAGTTCTAACAAGCTCAATATTTATAAACTGAACACTTTGTATGATGCAATTTCATTTACATGTATAGAATCAAAACGTCATACTTAATCAAAGTGATATTTTCATTTTACACATGTCATTAAGATAAAAGTAGAGATTGATGAGAAAAGTTCAAAGTATAGAAAGATTGTTGATCCCAGTAAGGATACAGAAGTTTAACTGTATTTTAATGTACACAGACACAATGTTGATCATTAATGAAAGGGACATGTTTGTAACTTTTCTGTACACTGTAATTCTTCCTTTTTTTTTCTTTTGCTGTACTATTTGCAAAGCACTTGCCAGGATAAAATTTTCATAATCTCTTCCTACTAATAAGTTTTATATTTTTCTATTTGCTACGACTGTATGTATGTGACGTGCAGTTTTTGTAATGTAACATTGCATACATGTACATATGTAGGTAATGTTTCTTCTATTCTAATGCTTTAATTTTATATATATGTACATATACATACATATATTTACATGTATATGTGTATATATATATATATATATATATATATTAAAAGAGAAGATTTTCATTTGAATAATTTCAACTATTTCCACACATAGCAGAGTATATCATCAGAAATGTTCTAACTATAACTTATATAAGTAACAAAAAAAGACGAGAAAAATCAGTCTTCTTTATATTTGCCAATTCTTTCGGATTAAAAAAAAAGTAGGAGTTACAATTTTTTATAAATCACAATTTATATTAATTATATTTATAATAAATGTATACACTTCTATTTTTAAGTTAATGTTTTGAAAAAATAAAGTTAAAGAAAATGTATATATTCTATAATTTAATATCATATACTACCTTTTTTTAACTCTGGAAGAACATAAAATTTTATATTATATGAAGTAGCTGGTATAAGCTGTCTAAATGCATATATCAAAACATTTCAAATGTTCAGATATAACTTTGCAACATAATGTGCTTTGTTTCTACAATGGTTATTTGGCATCTCTTTTATGTATTATCTTATATAACCTGGAAAGTCAATGTATCATTATTATTTCAAATTGGCAAAATATCGACTGAATATATATAATATACTTCGCTCATTAAACATTTATTACCCCGTTATTTACGATACCTTTTTCTATCCTTTTCGAGTGTCTTAATATGCCAATTCTATTCCATACAATGTTTATTTACTACACACGATGTTTATATGCACATTATTCTTGTGAACACAATCTTTCATTAATCTCATATTGTGTATCAGTCAAATATTAGTATTTCATTCATAATATCTACATGCTAAAGTTAATTGTTTATGAATAAGGTAAATTTTTAAGATTGTGTGTAGTATGCATTAATAATGCGCGCTTCGTAAATTATAAATGTTCAGAAGTTGTTTGCCATCAATTTGCACCAGCTATTTATCTACTTCTTACGCTTAGTTTTACGTCGTCTGCAATCTCCTCTAAAAGAATTTTGATCCCCCGACGTATTAGCACCAGCAGATTTGCTATGATTGTAGAGATTGTTTAGAAAATCCTCAAAATCTGCCTCGCTGTTTTATTAAAAAAACATTACAGTGTAATCTTGTACTCTCAATAAAATGATAATAATGATAATAATAATAAAAATAATTGCACAATAAAACGTACCTTGTATTGGGATCTTGCTGTCGTTTTTTACCACTACTGGACGTTTGAGATGGTAATCTTTGCCCTAATACAATCCTATATTGGACACTATGCGTGTTTGCTCTAAGATGCTTAAGATTTCCAGATTGACAAGCAGCCCAGTCAGTTACGTCATACACTGCTCCTTCCATGCACGCATAATAGTGCCATAGAAAACCCATTAAACGAGATTCTGCCCAAATATCGCCCTATGAAATAAATGATTAACTTGAAAGGGCCCCAATTAACGCGATAAGAATATTAAAAACATGTTTAATATTCACTTCTTTCGCACTATGACGTATCTTGCATTGAGCGCAAAACCGTGCAGCGTAACAAGGACGTTGTGTAGGAACACGTTTGTGTCGCGAACCACAATTCGTACATCTTATCGTGTTTGCTGCCTGCTCCATTTTTCGATGGAGTTGAGATAACAAATCACTTAGTTCACCCCAAGCTGCTTCAACTTGCCTAGTTTGATCAAACGCTTGCCTACGTTCCTGAAAATAATAAATACATGTTTCATAGTTTTTTTTAACGATTTTAAATCGAGGACTTTTACATATATTTATTTAAATTAATTTTCAATACTTTGTTTTGTTATAACAAAAATAAAAAATGAATTTACATTACCGGTTCTCCAATGATGTCAAAGGCATGTACAAGAATTTTGAATGCCTCTTCAGCTCCTGGCTGATTATTTTTATCCGGATGAACTAAAACAGCTTGTCTCTTGTAATATTTTTTAATATCGTCATCCGTACACGTTGGCGTAACGCCGAGTATGCTATAAGGATCCTTTCCCTTGCATGCTAGTAATCTCTTCATGGCTTCCTCACCAGTACTGGGTAATGCAATATTAGTTTCCAAACCACCATGAATCCAATTTCCATTATCCTCTTTTTCCTCATTCTTTTTATTGTTTATCTTTCGCCAGAATGCAAACTTACTACTTCCGAGCCAATTGTCTAACTGTTTACCGATAGCGTTTAAAATACGAATTTTACAAAATGTCACAGCCATGTACATCCACCAGTATTTCAAATAAAGTATAGTATGATACCAAGCACATTTACCACTGAAAAAAATATAAAAAATTGTATAAAACTTTGTCTAAATAATACTTGTATACTGATATAAAATATTAATATATTGTGTCTAAATAAAGGGATGATATTATTAATCAATTATGTTAATACTTACAGCTGAATAACCAAGTTAGCGCTCATACTAACAACATCAGAAATTAGATGTAGTAACCAATAAAAGATTTTTAATACGACTTTACTCCAACGAGTCGCATATTTATTTAAATTTCTACATAAATCCTTAACAGAAGATTCTCTATTCTCTCTTTTCCTGTTTCTTTGCCCCTTTTTAATTTGTTGAGCCTTCTCAGCTTGAAAACGTTTAGGATTTTTCTCCTTCATTACTTTTTTATCTTCTTTACTAATTTTGTTAATAACCTGCTGATTCTTTTCAATTTTTTCAGTTGACACCGTTTGACTGGACGTATTGATTGTATTCAAGTTGTTGTTTATCTGTATTGGACGTTTTGGGATATTTCCTGAAGTTTTCGGATTGCTGTTTTGTATTTTAGTGTTATTAAGAGTCTCGTTCTTTTCTGCTTTCTTAGATAGTTTGACAGGTTTCTTTTTTTCTGAACAAAATTGATCGGATCTCTCGAAAGCATTTATCTGACGAGAGTCGGATTGCGAACCAAGGTTGTCCAGTGATACCCATCGTCTTGGAAGATTAGAAGAATTTTTTTCTAAAACTTTTCTAGGAATTTGCATCTTTGGAGAATTGTGATCATCGCTGCCGGATGAATTCTGTCTCTTCAATAATGCAGGTTTGTTTTTATTTTTCGTATTCTTATTAGACACTTTCTTACCTGCTACCTCAAGTTTTGGCTTTGTGGGCTGAACTGTTAACGGAGATGGTGGTGTTGGAACTGATTTAGTCAAAACATCTGAATAAGAGGGTCTCATAGGTTTCACTTCTGCTACCATCCTTGGTTTTTTATATTGAGAATCCGATGTATTTCTAGGTAATTCCTCAGTTTCCCTTATATCCGGTACAGATTGCGGTACAGGTGTGATATTGGGAGATCCACCAAATGGACTATATGTTCCAGATTGATTTGGTACCCAATTTTCAACTAAATTGTCGATCAACTGTTTCCCATTAAAATTCTGATTGGGTAATTCAGATGGTATAGCCATATGTTGGTTATTAAACAGGCCATACTCCTGATCAACAATACCTTGATTAGCATATGGCGTCATATTTGGGAGCTGACATTGCTCGGGAGCTGACATAATCGGAGAAGCGTGCCCGTAAATAACATTGATATAATTCCCACCACCACAATCAATGGTACCAATTAAATCATTATTCTCATTGATGCCTAAGTGATTTACTGTTTGCGCTGGAAAGTATATCGAATCAGCGGTTGTGGCTTCGTAACCAGGCATATCTCGCATATACAAAGACGTGGCCATTGGAGCCATCGGTTGCATTCCAGAAGGATTGGGATGCGTTGGTTGACCAAGTATATGATGCCTGGTCTGTCCGGATGTGTAATCGCCCCAATTATGAGAGTTTGCTTGTTGCGGTGTAACGCCAAACTGAACATAATGTCCACTTGAACCTTCCAAATTGGCAGTCACAGTTTCAATCATCTTATCAAAAGACTGACGTTTGAAACCAGGAGGTGTTTGTTGTTGTTCTGCCATTTTGTTTTATCTGTCTTCCTCTAGAGAACAAAAATAACAAAAATATTATCAAAGCATTCCGATATATCATTTTTAAGTGTTAAACTTATTTACAAAGAAACAATGTTGCATTTATGAAGCAAATTTCTATTAAAAAGTATAAATTAAGTTAATTTGATGTAGGTAAACATGTTATTGTTAATTGTATCTTGTAAATTACAGGATCATATGTACAATTAGATTAGGATCAGTTTAGTTTTAGTTTAGATATGATATTTAATAAGATAAGAATAGGAGCGATATATTGAGTGAGACTTAAGTTTGGAGTTTTTGTAAACCAAGTTTACAAAAAATCCCACTTCTTGACTGTAAGTTGAAGTGAAATAAATTATACATCCACATATATATAAAAAGTACAATGAATATGCATAAGTATGATAAATATGGAGCATAGATATATAAGCACATTGTGCAAGAACTGATGTTGTATCATATTGATCCAGAATTCACAATATATTCCGATATTTGACTTATATGCGAATATGTACTGCGTTTTATCCTCTCTAAATATACGCTAATGACACGATGCTGGCCGAAAATTGCAAGATATAAATACGTATTCTAAAAATGTCCACTACAGTGCATCAATCATAACCACTCCACGGAATGTTAAATAACATCTGTCGTCGCGTCGTGAAAATATTCGATGACGCAAATCTGGCATTTTTTTGCACTTTTATAAATTAAGTTAATCATCGTCCCGAGAGAGATATCTCGTTCGGATCTTATAACCTAAGAAAAACGAACGGGATGTCAGACGGCGGCGGACGTCGACGCTGCGCTGAGGTTCACCGGCGGCAATAACTTTTTTCACGGTGCTCCCTTACATCCGTCCCTTACATCCTCGGCGTACTTTTGCATTCGGCAGTAAGAGAAAAATCTATATTCGGTGTAAAAACACGACTTTACGTTATATACCATGCGGTAAGCGCGAAATTTGACATCGTATTCATTGGTTATCCCTCCATTTCCGTCCGCCAATTCGGCGATATGTATAGATTCGCATACATATGCATACATACATATGTATACACAGAGTGTCCCATTTTAATTCACCACCCCTAAGAAACTTGTTTATTTGTAATTTTAGAAAAAAATGTTTCAAACAAAAGTTGTAGAGTTTCAAAAGATCTATTTATCGGCTTTACTACTTTGACCTTGATCTGACCTTGGTAACGCTAATCAAGGTCAAAATGATAAGACCAATATAAACCTACAAATCTTTTTTTTTTTTAATTACAAATAAACAAGTTTTTAGAGGTGGTCAATTAAAATGGGACACCCTCTGTATTTATTATATACAGGGTGTCCCATTTTAATATCCCACCCCAAATAAGTTTTTTATTCTTGATTGTAGAAAAAAATGTTTCAGACAAAAATTGTATGATTTCGAGGAGGACATAAGGTGGTGCCATTAGTTTGACCTTGAATAGTTGCTTGAAGGTCACTTTGAGGTGAGGAGATCTCTTATATAACTCAAAAAGTACTTGACATAAAAATGCTTCATTATAGTGTTTTGAAAGCTCTCGATGTCAGCTATACAAGAATAATGTAATGAAAAGTAGGTGGTTCCATTTAGAAATTAAAGGTGACCTTTACATGACCCTCAAGCAACTATTCAAGGTCAAACTAATATGGTACCACCTTATATCCTTCTCGAAACCATACAACTTTTGGCTGAAACATTTTTTTCTACAATCAAAAATAAAAAACTTATTTGAGGTGGGACATTAAAATGGGACACCTTGTATACATATATAGATAATAGATCACGCAAATATTTTCTTCTCGCGAAAATTGCCGCAGAAGGTATGTCTAGATGGCGGTTTATTCAATTAATACAAAAATTATATGATAATTTTATTTGACATTATTTTTATTCATTATAATTTTTCAAAGATATAATCAAGAGAATAATTATATAAGATGCTTATAATCGAAGAACTCGCACTTATTTATTTTGTATTTGATGCGCATGCGCAAAAACTGGTCAATCGAATGCTGTTTTATCAGAGAGAAAGGTTTCTTTCTGGTTTTATTCAACGCGAGTAGATTTTTGAACTCAACTTCCTAGAGAATTAATCGCGCATGTGCACATATTTGTAACTAGAATCAGTGTTATCCAGACGTAGAGAAATTTTCTATTTGTAGAGAAATTTTAAGGTGCGTAAAGAATGCGTGGGGAATTTCTTTTTGGTACAGAAATTTGGAAAAATTACATTTATACAAGTGGCACCCATTTGACCACATCCCGATTGAGAACGAAAACCTCCCATTGATTAAAGTACGAAAAATTCCTTGGCACCAGCTGACCAGCTGATGAGTGGCCATCTTAGAACATATATATATGTTCTGAGGTGGCCATGGTCAATAATATAGTTAATAATAATTTTTTAATATTATTTCTTATTGTGATATTAGATTTAAAAATTATTAAAATGTGATTTTTAGTTTATATAATTTTAAGTGGTGCTTTGTATTTCTTAAAAAATGTAATAAAGTTTAGAAAAATAATTTTTACTTTTATGTTTAATGCAAATTAAAATATAGACAGTAACTTTTATTTTTCTTATTTAATAGGTAATAACTATAATTTGCTTCATAATTATTTATTTATGTAATTCTATTATTAATATTTTATTATCGATAATAGTTTATAGTTTTATTATTATTATTACGAAAAAATATTCTTGCTCAATTTCTAAAATAAAAATTTGTTTATTTTTACAACTTCTAACTATTGTTTAAAAGAAATTTGTGACTTATTCATTTTTTTAAATAGATACATACAATATATTTGTTAAAAATGGATACTTTAATATTGTTTTTCTTTATTTTCAAATATTTTGAAATGGGTAGGGAATTTTCGGAATAAGTAGAGAATTTTTAAATTTCAAATAAGGAATTTTTTCTAAGCTTAAGTGGGGAAATTTCAGTTTTACATCTGGTAACACTGACTAGAATTTAGAAACGACTCGCGTAAACATTCAAACATACTCGAAGCATGGATTACATTTTTATTTCGTGATTCTCTTTGTAAAAAAAAATGCGAATTGTACGATGTAATAGTCACGCATGTAGACTGAAATAATTGACAGGATCGTTGACGTTTCGAGGTGTTTTTAAGAATTTTCAGAGAATTTACGACGAATCTCTGCCTTGTACAGAATCAGAGAATTCTCTTCTTCTGGATGTTATGGAGCAAGCAAGATTCGGTACACCCAAGGCGCAGAGAGTCGGTAGCCCTTTAATAAATAATCTCTGGGGGCACAGGACCTCCCCGGTGAAACGAGGGAACGAGATGCAGTTGAGACGAGCCCATGATCAGCTGAACGGAGGACCATGCTTACCTTACACCGGTCTACCGAGTCACATCACTCCACCGTCCAAGCTGAGGAAGCTCATCAGTAAAAATCCGTTCGAGCCTGACCTGATTAATAGGCTGCATCTACCTGTCATCAGTCCGACTATATTCGCCAAGGTTCATTATTCTGTCTATGAAGTCTCTTCGAATTTTTATTTATTCAGTTAAAATGATGCGAGAGTTTGTGTTGTTGCACTATGCAGGTATCGAGTCCTATGCAAGAGTCGCCGGGATTTAAATGGAACGTAGACGAATTAGCACGTATAAAACCGGCGAGGATCGAAGAATTTCCTGTGCACCAGATGCAGTCTCCGGATCCAGAACTGGAAGTGAAGGCCCAGGCTGCTATAGATTGTTTCTTTAAACAGAATCATATCATTCCTAGTCCATGGGATGTCAGACAAAAGGAAAATAAGTCGTCTTCGAGCACTCCCAATAGACCTCTGGACGATTTCAATTCTACTAAGGACCTGTCAAAGTCGAAGAAAGATGGTAAAGAAGTAAATATCAGTGAAATTGATATCTTAAGGTTGATTAATTTTATTAGCAGTTTTTTATTTTCAGTATTTAGTCAGACGGTCTTGTCTTTGCCTTTTGACTTACCACAAAATGTTGAAGAGGCTTTGAAACCTTTCTTCACATTTACTCAGGTTGGTCTATAATTGATAAACATAGGTTTTGATATTTATTATTGATCAAACTTTTAATAAAAGTATGTTCTTATATTTTCAAAAGGAACAAAATGCAGATAGCAATGATATAAATTTAAGTAATAATTCACTGAGAAGAAAATTATTTTTTAATCATGAAGAGTGTACCGATAATGACAGTTTTATATCTTTATCACCAGTTAAAACTCGTAATTCCATGACATTGTCTTGTAGTCCTCCTCAAAGTGGTATGTTTGTTCATGGCACACCATTAAAGGTATAGTAATTATGAATAATTTTTTATACATAAAAATGTTTATTTTTGTACCTTGATAAATAAGATTAATTAACTCAATATTTTTCGCAATTTGTTTATTGTTGAAATTGATGTTTCAGAGATTGCAAACTAAACAAAATAACAAGTCGTCTGCGGTAAAATCTAAAAGTGTATCACCACCTGACATATCACCGATACATACTACTGAGAACAATGAATTACACGAAAAAATTGCACGTTGTTCTCGGTCGGCTATTCGATTAGACTTTGCAATGGATATAAGTATAGATAATGTAGTTGTGGACAAAAGTGAAAATTCTATTAATGGTTATTATTTGTTCTTATATTTCTCAATCTTAAAGTTTTATAAAGCAGAATTATTGTTAGTTAAAAAATTATTCCTAATATCAATTTTGAAGTAAGAAAAATATATCTTGTAAAACTTCTCTATTTAACTCTAGAGAATTATTAAAGTTTTTCACAAAAAATTATTTTTGATTCAGCTTTAAAATAGGAAACTATATTTTAATGTACATGCATTGTTTATTATATATATTAATAATTCTGTGAAATTGTAATCATGTTGTGTCATTAAGTCTAGAATAGAAAATCTTTTTATGAAATATTTTATATAAAACTATGTTTGTTTTTTTGTGCAAGTATTTAAATGAGATATAATTTGAAAAAAGCAACAGTTAAGCAAAATGCATAGAAAATGAATGATCAAAGTACAAGTTTTGTTAAAAGAAAAATAAGAAGCAAATGACATATTGGTTTTATAATTATAATAAATTTTTATTTCATTTAATTAAATCAAATATTTATCTCAAACGAAATATGTACATATCTTTATATAACAATATTATTTTTAAATTGTTTCAGACACATCTTTTAACGAAAATAACATGAAATGTATCGAGGACAATCATGAAAAATAATTGTAAATAATGATAAAACAAATTTATGTGATTCTGTTAATATGGAAGAATCGCCTAAAAATTTAACTAAAGCGAATAATTTCAATGTATTCAATGATCAAGGACACAATAATGGCATCGATTTAAAAATTACGACTGAAATAGAAAATTCCAGACAAGAGAGTCACAAACAAAGTAATACAATGTTTGGCACGTCTGATCAGCAAAGTATTTCAAATTCAGCTCAAGACACAGGTTATCAAACTTACAGTATGAATAATACGATGCATACAGTGGACAGTTATAATAATATATCAATGAATTACAAAACTCATTGTAATGAAAGACAAGTAACATCTAAGGTTAACAATACTCAACTATCCTGGAGAGAGAATATAGAAAATGTATTCAGTTCCACACCTTCCAAATATAATAAGGATTGATAAAGAACTGAACGATAATTGAATTAATATTGATATTTAGAGAATGAAAATAAACTGCAATGCGATTGATAATAGCAAATGTGACACTGATGTACATATGACTTTTATATGCTTATTTTGTCTCTTTTATTAAATGAAATTTTTAAAGAATCGCAATTTGCTCAATATTCTTCGTATGTTGGCTTGATTTACTATTAAATAGCCAGATAAGATAATTATCATTAATTTAAATTTTGAACTCTTTTTTTTTTAGATCTCGCAATTATATATATTGTATAAATTCTTTTTTAAAATAAACTTTTTACACAATGTATCACATTTGTTTTATTTTGACACAAAATATTGAAAACTAATTATCTGATAGTTTTGTTAAGAAAAAATTAATTTAAAATTATTAAACAAAAAGATATATTTACTATAGATAGATAAACATAATTACAGGCTGTCGTCCTTTTCTAAAAAAGAGTGAAATAAATAGTTAAATACGAACATGCGCGCGCTTGCACAAAATGCATACCTATGCATAAATAAAAATGATAATAAGAAAATATTACTAAATACATATTATCTTCCTTTTTAATAAAGGATTGCAAAAATATGGGGAATCTTCAATCTTAGGTTTATACTATGTGATGATATGCACATTTATATTAAAGAAATATTGAATAAAATAATCAACACACTTTGTAATTGTCTTCATTTGTTTCATTAGATAAAATTTTCTTGCGGTTACAGCCTAAAATATTAAATATACTCAATATATATATTTATATATATATATATAAGCAAGATCAAAAACTTAACAAACATTTTACAGCATGATTCTAAAATGAGTAATAATAATAATAATAATATAATAATAATAATAATAATAATAATAATAATAATAATAATATATGTAATATTATATATATTACGCCAACAAAATTCTTATAATATACAATCTGTAGATATATATATATATGTGTATATATAAATTAACATATCTGATCTTCCAAACTCAAAATATTCTGCATTTGGCACGATGTCATGTAATGGAGGCAAATCAAACACATCATGTCTTTTTGATTGTCCCTGGCTAGTTAGAACGACACGTAATCTGCTTTGCTCCATATATAAGTGTTCTTTCTTTTCGTGTCTGTCATATATCATTATGTTGACTTCGCTTGTCAGCCGGTCGTAATAATAGCGCGCTCCGAATAAAATGATAACTCGAAATGAATAATCAGTTTGTGAATCTTTAGCACGATCGCGATGTTTAATGAATCTGCGCTAATGATAACGTACACATTAATATGTGCAATCTTAATACTTTTTTTCTCTCTCTCTCTCTCTCGCTCACTCTCTCACTTTCTACATAACGCAATTAATAAAGTAACAGTCTATCATTTCGATCCTTCATCCTGACTCCGCGATTAACGCATTGCACATAAGCCCATTCCACCTACGAAAACCGGCTGACTAGAGTATTTCGCCCAATGTCAGGATTAACTGGTGTATTGCTTTACATTATAACGACTAATCGATTTTATAATCTACATTTTATAAATATATCGATTAGCTACTGTGTGTATTATGATGACGATGAACGTGGCATCCCCAATCTCTCTTTCTACGGCCGATTAATTTATTAACTCTATGTGGAAGAACAGATCTTCAGTCGTAGCAAACAAACGCTAGACTAAGAGAATATTAACAAATCGTGAGGCTATAACGTTAATTTTCATATCTATTTGGTGAAGAGATGCCAGCTTTTGTTTTATTTATTTATTTAATTTTTTTAAATCGATTTCTCCAGTTAGAGTATTCGCATAAGGTGTGAGCAAGAATGCCAATCGATTAATATAATTATTTAAAGTAGATAACACATAAATTATAGAATTCTCTAAAACTTCAAATACAATAAAGTATATAACAGTGAGATAAAATCGTAGTTGATCCTTCCAATATACACTATAACAGGTAATAACAATAAAATAAAATTTTATAAAAGCAACAAAAATAGATTGCTTACGCGACTGTATAAAGTTTTACATTTACAATATTGAGCAGAATAGTCTCGATACAGCGATATAAAAGCATGTGCATATCGAATAGAATAATTTGAAGCCAGGAGTAGATTAAGTTTTAGAAGCAAAATTTCCCTTTTTCCAATTTTAAAAATATTTTTTTAAAATAAATTTTTCAATGTTATTATATTTATGTTAAGCACACGTGGCATTCTTTCTTGCACCTTTCGATCAAATTTTTCTAGTGTGTAGCTGATCAACTACAATCACATTAATTATTTCATGTAGCGCATCCTGTCAAAGTTCAAGTTTATGCGTGTTTTTCTTTTTCTCCTGGAAAAGTATCTCTCGTTCACAAGATGGAGATTTTTTTCACCCTTAACAGAGATATATTTTTACAGGAGAAAATTGTACTGCTGAATGTCATTAATTTATGGTTTAAATTATACTATTATTTTCTGATAGTATTTTCTACCGAATACTATTTAGTATTCTACGTATGAAACATGCAATCGTGCAAACGAGACTAACATATTCTACGATATCGACGATTAAGGATTCTATCGGAGGATCATCATAAGTAATTCCGCATGTGTGTTTCGAGGCGACAAAAATAAAACGCATCTACGAAAGAGGAAAAAAAGAGGAATTTCTAGGACACGCTTCATCATCGTGCGCATCGTGATATGTAGAAATCGATCAGGTTGCGCTACAACACAACACTGTGGGTGTGTGTGTTCTCCATTTCAAATTACTAATATTTATACTTTATAGTGATATTTTTAAGCTAATAAATTGCGTACCAGCGAATTATTAGGAAGAGCCTTTATCACGCGGGCAGCGCCCTGTAAAAATATATATTCTCTCTATATAGGACTACATATTAATGTATACAAGACCAGTTTACCTAATTACTTTCTCTCCCTCTCTCTCTCTCTCTCTCGCTCGCATTTTCTTTGTAACACGATTACATATATATCTTACAATTACATGGTTTTATATATATATATATATATATATATATATATATATATATATACCCTCTCTCTTTCTTGCTCTCTCTCTCTCTCTCTCTCCCTTCTTACAGTGTTACAATTTTTATAAAAATAGGTTGTGTCTCTGCTATTTTTCTCGTCTTCATCCCTCGATCAATATTATTATTATCAATCATATATTCATTCACTATACATATATAATATATATATATATATATTCAATCTCTAACTTAATATCAAAACTGGTCTGTGAATACATTAGAAGGTCTACATATGTACAACAATGTCCAAAAATCATCATGAAAGCCACAAAGAGAGTAGAAAAGATGTAAAATAATAAAATTTCCTTCTCGTTTTCAAAATCACGTTCAAAACGCGTATTTCAATATTTTTTTCTGATTTTTTCTTTCCTTTTTTCTACTTTTCGTTTTTTTGATAATGCGTCTGTATGTGTGTGTTTTGTGTGTGTGTGTGTGAGACACATATGTCGTACATGTGCAAAGGTGCACAAAATGATTGACATGTCGAATTCTCCCAATTTTTCTCGCCTGAAAAACGTTATGACAGAAAAACTGAACCACGTAAAAAAAGTGTATGCTTCTTAAATTAGCAAGCAACAATGTTTGAACTACAAAGATACAATAAATTTTGCGATAAGAGATATAATTATGACAGAAACTCTGGCAATACGGAATCGGAGGAGTGAATAATTCATGCAAAAGAAAAATTAACGAGTAGCCTATTCAATTTTTTTCAATGTATAATATTTTACCTTTTTATTTCAATTGTATTTTACTAACATTTTAAAAGATTTCCGAATATAAAGGCGCTTTGTTTCGAGCGGACAAAAGTTTCAAAGAACGCACACTTTTAACACTTAAAGTTGTTTTAAATACCCGAGTACTTGTTCGTTAACAGAAAAGTTAAAACTGAAGATGCTAGTGAAAGGACAATGAATGAAAATTATCAAGGGCAAACTTAGAAGTCCTATTAGTTTTACTTAGAAATCATAAAGTATCGAGAATAAAAAAAGAGGCATACATTTTTCCGTCATTCAGTTTTTCACATATTTACGTCATTTCTATGAGCAAATTCAGGAGTACCTTGTACATACAGAACTCCTCTATTTCCAACTAGTTAAAATTTTCGATCAATTGAATCTATATTCGCCCTCTCGGGCTATTTTTTTTAACCATACATAAATACGGAAAATAAAAATGACTAGTGAAAATTATGAACATAGATTTGTACGCGATTACATGCACATTTTATTCTAAACGCGTGCTATAGAATAAACGAGTGAAGATCAAAGAATAAATCAAGAATAAGAAAGCTAAATTTGAGATGTCAAAAATAGAGGAGTTTCAGAATTTGTATATGCATGAATGAGTATGTGTCGGTTTTGTTAATAATGCGTGCGATGTGTACACATCTGCATATACATGCACATATATATACACTTTAAATATATATATATACATACACATATACATAGAAATGTATATATGCGTTATAATTTTTTTAAATATATTATCAATTTCTTCTATCTCTCTTAAATACGTTTGTCGCAAAAATAACCAGACTAATTTCTTTTTATTTTAAACGAAATATACTAACACCGGGTGATTCGTTACTTTCGTATTTTATCATGTCACAATTAAAAAAATCAGTCTCGTTATTCTCGCGACGGACTTGACGTAGATGTGCTAATTTTACGCGCCTCTATACATATCTACAAAAAAGAAAAACTGATATAGGACTCTATCATTAATTAAACTCTCTATGACTTAATATGTATAATCGTCTCGCAACAGTTTTAAAATGTAATTACCGTTACTTATTCTCTCTCTCCCTCTCTCTCTCTCCAGTATGTAGTAATAATTTCTTTCATTGATATTCCACGAGCTATTAAATCGTGTATCATGCTTTAACAGTGTGTTTAAAAAGTATCTCTTTAACGCTACATCTCTATTATTGCTTGTTGTTTAGTGTTACCGAATGTATTTTGGCATATAGCATGTTGTAAACCCTGAGCAACCACACCAATCATTTCAAAATGCATTCAACAACCTTCTCCTCTCCATTCTAGCATAAACTAGAAATTATGGAAGAATTTACAATTGCGCAGTTTTTTTTGTATATTACGCGATGAGAAAATCGGCTCGGTCACACAAAAAGAGATTTTTCATCAAAATTATTGCCACGTTTTTTTTTTTTTTTAGAAATGTGGCGTGTAAATGAAGAATTTACAGACAATACTATAAAACGAAAAAGCGTTCCCTTTGTCTACTAAGACGAAGATAGAATTGATTTTCAAATGTTTTCCACTTGTCGCGCGCACAAATGGAAATGGAAAGCTCTCTCGACGATGCTACATACATACATTTTACGAAATGTAACAAAATTTGTTGACGTTAACCCCTAATCTGCTTTAGATATCGATTGCCCTCTCCCCATTCTCGCCATCTTTTGCGCCTCTTCTCAGAAGTGTTTGAGTAATCGTGGCTCGTGGCGGAGCGTCTTTTTGGTTTTGAATTACCTTCTGCTTTTGGCGGCGGATTAATATCTTGCGTTACCGGGTGATGTGCTCTACTGTGATTTAGCGCTGTACTAACACCGGCCAAATTCAAAAGAGCGTCCGCACCCTCCGCAATTTTTCTCTGTTCGTCAAAATCTACATTCAGTTCTTCTTCGCTCGAATGTTTGCTGTGCGGGAAATAAAGAGAAAACGATAGAGAATTCATTTATTTACGTAAATTTTAACATCGATCACACGCGCAAAATTAATGTATCTTTTACCTTCCCAATTTTATCGAGGTAATACAACTATAAGTATGGTCCTCGCTGGAACTCCTGGTGATCACAGGCACCAATTTTTCGGATTCCGGTAATTTTCGTTTACGATCTGCATTAAAATTATTGATTATTACATTAACGCATATATATAACATATAGAGGAGATATAAATATCTCTGCATCTGTACCACATCTTTTTGTCTAACTGATGAATGCAATAATAATATATTTAATACCTTTATTGTGATTTAAAATGATGGGTCCGTGTTTGAAGGAAAGCATAGCAGCTGCCGCTGCATCAACATCGCTATCTATCTCTGTTTCCGCGCTATCGCTGATATTGCTGGACGCCAGTCTTTTGGATAAATATGGAAAGAGAACCGGATCCGGGAGACGTGTATTTGCGCACTTTCTAGGTGGTTTTTCCGACGAGGACAGATTTTGAGTCGTAGGTGATGGGAGAGGAGCGCGAGATAACGCTTGTATCAGATTCGGGCGATATTGTGCATCCACCATCCATAACGATCCTTTGCCTAAATTCTGAATAAAAGACTACGATAAGCGTACAATACAATATCTCTTTCCTTTTTTAAAGAGATCACGGAAAAAAAATTAATCACCATAACTAAATTTTAGCTGTCCCTATATAACAAATTTTAATTATGCAACTAATATCTTTTAGCTCTATATAGTTAACAGAATTTTATAGCTAAAAACATTAGCTATCATAACTAGAATTTAAGCATAACTAAATTTCATGCGTAATATAAGGACAGCTAAAATTTAGTTATGGTAGCTAATTTTTTTTTCGTGATATACAATTATACCAAAGTATAAACTTTACCGGCGCCTTTTCCACTTTCCGAAAGCACTTGTTAAGGCTGAGATTATGTCTGACGGAATTCTTCCATCCGGTGGGAGCGTTCCTAAAATATGGAAAGTGATCCAGAATCCACGCGTAAACTTCCTTGACGGGTAGCGCCTTTACAGGACTATCCTCGATGGCCATAAATATAAGGCAGGAAAATGAATACGGCGGTTTACTATTTCTGTGTAAATGAGGATCATACGGTATATGGGTAGGATGCTTGTTGCGATTGGACATTGGCAAATTATTGTTGCTCAAAGAAATCTTCGTTTGATTACTTGGCGAAGTATTGCAGTGACTTTTCGCTGATTCCTGAAATACTTGCATCGATTTTTGACAATTCTTCGTAGAATGCTGATAGTTTTGTCCACTTCCGTTCAACGTTACGGTATTGGCTTTTCCATTAGTCTCTATTATAAAACATAGTAAAAAGAGGGATACAATTAATAAAGGAAAAAGAAAAGAAGAAAAAATTGTAAGAAGATACAATACAATGTATTTTTACCTGGACAGAAACTATCATCTAAGCTTGATATAGAATTTGTGTTTTCGGAAAAATCTGCCATATCGTCGCAGATATTATTATTTAGCATATTTTCGTGCTTCATATCTTTGGATGGGTTTGAAATGTCTAAACCCTTAAGTAAATTCTGTTGATGCAGCCAACTGAGAGATGTCAATTCATCATCCGACTGACTATTTTTTTCGATGTTTTTTTCAGTTTTTTCACATCTAGAAATTTCGCTCTGACATTTGTTTGTGGAATTTGTGTCAGCCAGCACGCTGGCGTTTTCCTTCTCCTTGTCATTCATTGTATAAGCTGTTTTTCCAAAATTATAATCCTGAGTAGAGTTCAGTTCTATATCAGTTTCAATACCTGATGCATCTGGCCTATCTGGTGGCATGTTGTATAGAGTCTTTTGGTCACTGCAAACATATTCATCTTTTTATTTTTTCTACTTCTGAATATCTGCTAAATATCTTATAAAAAATGACATAAAAAAAGTATTATAATCATCTAATTTGTTAATTATAATCGTTTTCTGATTGTGTGTCTTATGTATGAGACATGAATTAAATGTCATATTTTTTGTCATGAATTATAAATCAAATTATAAATTCTAATTTTGAAATGTAGAATACTAATTTAAATTTCCATTTACTGTATATATATTTATATCATGTATTAATTATATGTAAAATATTTTTAAGATAAAATTTTAAGATAAAATGCAAGAGAAACAGAAAAATGATCTGTCAATTGCAATTTGAATTTTTAAATAAAATAAAAATAGAATGCGTGTGTATAAATAACGATTATTAGGAACAAATTATGTGGTTCAAATTAGGAAAAATTTTATTGTAAACAATTCCCATTTAAATTAATCAGACTTTAAAGTAAATCAGACCTTGATTAAAATCATTTATATTTATTCTTTTTTTACGTTTCTAAACTTTTATAATATTAAGAAAATTTGCTGTTAAAAGAAATTTATTAATATCTGTCTATTTAAAAAACCTTGTAGTTTTTAACTATATCACTTATTTATAAAAAATAAGCTCTCTTTTTCTCTCTCTTGTAGTCTGCTTTAAGGTTGTATTAATAGTTCCAAAAATTGACTAAAAATATTAATATTTTTGAATAAAAATAAACATACAAATAAAACAGTTACATAATAATACATTTCTATAGTTTATTTAATTTGAAAAATGAATATTTTGATAGCAAAAATATATACACACAACTCCAAATTCCAGTAAACTTTAATTATTACAACAAAAAAAAAATAATCTATGAATCGTAATACTTTTATAATAAATCTTGATTACTTGAAGTGTTTTCACAAAAAATAAAAATTAATCATTCTTTTTCCGTTTTGCTATACGCAATAATTTTGTATTCTCTTACTTCTTACTGAAATAACTTTTGCTCCACTTATCATTGTAAATAAAATTGTCAACTTTAAGAAAAATGCAATATAGAACAATCTCCAATTTTGTTTTTCATTCCCGCCACCTGACACATAAATCTTAAAGACATGCAGAACTTTAAGGAATAATGATTCATAAATCGCCAATCATTCTCGCAACATGGATGAGCGCGTGAGAGACGACGAGAGGAGACAGATAAAGACAGAGAGAGAGGGAGAAAGAGAGAGCGCGTTACAATATATCGTGTTACGGTGTTAAAAAAAATCCTCGCGAAAACGACAAGAAATAAGGGTCCGGCCGCTTTTCTATTTTCGGAGCACGGCGCGCGAGAAACGCAAAGAAGAAAGAAGGGGAAGAAAGAGAGAGAGATAGGATATTACGAAGCGTGGCAGACACGCGCTGGTGTAGAAATTGAAATCTCCGCGCATGTTTGTCGCGCTCGCGTAGCACCTCGATGCCAATGGCGATTGTTTATCCGCCGATATACATACATATACATGCGCACGTAAGCGACAAAATGGCGGCTGGACTATCACGCGGGGAACGAGCATCTCGGAGATTTCGAATTTTTTGATTTTCTCGTCCGAGGAATTTTTTTCATCTCTCTCGCGGGAGAGAAACGTCAACTCCGAACGGCGCGGAATTTCTTTTATTCGGAATTTTATTTTCTCGCCATCGGCGCCAGGAATTTCGGCCAATGGCGTCTGTCACGAAGGATTTTCTCGGGCCTCGAGAATCGCGAGATTAAGAATAAATCGGTAGATGAAATCCATCTCGAAATCCCTTCTGTCAATGAAGGAATTTTTCGTGTATCCGGGGGATTTAATCGCGCGTTTTTGACACGTTGCACTGGGACAATTTTTTGATAGCAGCTGCTGGGCGTTTTAAACATTCTTTCTCGAGATTTTCGCGCACAAAAAATTCTCTGTATTTTGTTCTCGGACGGAGACACGTGTTTGACATTTAAAATTGCCTCGGATACAGCCCGGATTCGTTGACAGAAGGGATTAAATTGAAAATGTATATCGCGAACACACACTTGCTCCGATTTCTCTCTCCACCTTCCTCGGGGAAAACTCGAGACCGGTATAATTTTAGTACGGTTCGCAATTATTCCCGACGATTCCCGGGACGCGTGGCTGGAATTTTGGCTCTTCCCCGGGACGACGATCTCGGGAAAAATAATGAAAATTTCGGCGAGAAATCCTCGGAAATCGTCGACGTTGAGCAAGCGTGGCGACCCGCATTACTTGTTGAATTCAAATATGGAACTGATAATGATTACGAAATACTTGGCGAGGGACAAACACGCGAAAATGGCCACGGCATCACGCTCGCGTCGTCGTCGTCGTCGTCGTCATCGTCGTCAACATGCGTAAAAGAAACACGACGTGGACACGCGCTACGCAGGAGAGAAAATTACATAAGATTAAAGAGGAAATTCCGGAGGAGAATGAATTTTTGCTCTCTCCGGGAGCGAGGAAATAATAACGAAGAAATCGTCGCGAACTCCTCGGAGAAATTCCTAGCGAGAAATTTGCATTCGCTGGGCGAAACCCGTCCGACGAGCTCTCACCGTCACGTCGTCGTCGTCGGTGTCGGCTAAACGCGACATTTCGCGTCACCGCTTTTCTCGCCGCCTGCTGATGCCTCGCTCGCTCGATCTCGGCAAATGCGACTCGACACACTCGCTCTCCGACTCCGCCTCTCCTTATTTACGTTCTAACGCGAACGATCGGTACGCGCGGCGATCTCGGCAGAAACTGAACACTCACGTATCTCCACGGACGGACGGTGGTCTCCGTTAGTTTTCTAAAGACGGGCATCGCAGGGCACACTCTACACAACATCCAGCTGATTGAGACGCCATGTTCTCTGACGTCATCACGTGCTGCTCATCTCGACGAGTCGGCAAATATCACGCGTATTTGCGATTCGAGATATCGCGAGTTCACGTGTCGCCCGCGAATACACGAACGTGGCACCACGTTGCGCCGCATGGGAAACGAATTTTCGCTCGTAAATCATCAACAGCGTTTTATATCCTTGGATTCATTATTATATTCGAGACTTTTGGATATACAATATTTTATCAAAATATGTTATACACCAAATTTTTGAATTTTTCAGCAGAAAATTATTCTTAGATATAAAATAGTCGAAACAAAAATTTAGATATACCTATTTAATTAATTAATCCAATGACAATTATTATTATAATTGATCTCCTTTTATATGTATATATAAATATTTAATAAAAATATAATAGATTACAAAAAAATTTTGAATTTTTAATTAAAAAATTCTTACAGATATAAAATAGTTGAAACAAAAATTTAGATATATTTAATTGATCCAATGACAATTATTATTATAATTGATCTCCTTTTATATGTATATATATAAATATTTAATAAAAATATAATATATTACAAAAAGATTTTAATTTTTAATTAAACAATTATTCTTTCAGATATAAAAGTAAAAAAAATTAGATATATTCAATAAATTAATCCAGTGACAATTAATATTACAATCAATTTCCTGCAAAAATACATATTTTCAAACATATTGGCGTGATATAAATTTAAAAAAATATATAAATAAAAGCATAAGTACAAAGAATTACATATTTAGTATCTTGATTTCATCTTTTTAGAATTCTAAAAAATTAATTTATTTTTCTAATAAAAATAGTTGAAAAAAGATTAAGTAGCGATTTATTTTGAAAACTCAAGCTTTATTTTTAGCTACTTATTACTTATTGTATTGTACAGAATAAAATAAAATTAACAATTTTCATGTTTGAAAGATTCACATAATCCACGTGTAACACGCATTCCCGCAATCCTAATAAATACAAGTCTTCAAATGCTTTATCGATATTTAACAATTTGTCACAGCCACAAGATTTACACTTCTCATAGACAATATCTTAAAGATTTTCTCTTCTTAAAAAAAACAAAAGATCAGAAAATATTGTACATATGTACAATCATTAATATATATTACAATCATATACATATTCATATATATGATCATTAATATATATTAATAGATATTAATATATATATATTAATATATATTAATATATATTCGTATGCGCTTCACATGTGTGTATACAATTTTTTTCATCTTAACATACAAATTTTTAGTAATACATGTGCTCAGAAAACATTTTCATAAATATAATGTTAATCTATGTTTCTCTTTCGTAGATGTATAAAATTGTATTGAAAAAACGTAGTGTACATCTGCAATAAGAGTTGAGGGGGGGGGAGTTATTTTTAAAATACAATAACAATTATCATCATGGCACAATCATACATTCTGTACAGTTACATATGTTGAAAGTTATATGATTCTCATGATCATGTTTTAAAGACAAATACTAAATTAAAGCAAGGTTTTCAACTTTTCTCTTAAGATTTTCCTCTTGTTGAAAAAAATCTAATATCAATCTCAAATCATATTTTTAAAATGTTTATATATGTTAATTAATATACATATATTAAAATATATAAATAATAAAAAATTATTCAGAAAATTTTTTTATATTTAATATTAATACTAAAAAAATAATTTGTATATTACGTTGAATAAAAATACTAAATGTTTGAAATTAAAATGCTGAAAAAATGTTCATGTTTTAAAAAATTAAAATTTTTATCGTACGTTAAAAATTCTGTCCACAAATGTATGGCTGATCTTCAAGCAAGTAAATCTAAAAAATATATTCTATCACAATTAAATCAATACATAGCTTTTGTATATCTTACAAAAACGATTGTGTGTAAGAGATAAGCATTTATTTCATTTTGCAAACCTCTAGGATTCCTCTGAGATCTATACCTTAGGATCCTATCATCTGAGAATACTACTTTCAGTCAATTTCAAACGCAGGCATTGCAAACTCTAACGGGGTTTTCCCAGCCTCTATGAGGCACTGGTTTACGATGTTGCGAACATTCTTGACAAACCCCGCGTCCGCAAGCTCTGCAGTGATGTAAAGGAAGCGTATCGGAAAATTTTCGCTCGCATACGCAACAGCAGACAACCTCCGAATCAGGTGTCCAATAAGACGGTCGAACGGAATCTTTTATGAACGCTATGTAAATGGAAAATTTTAATCAGTTAATTCCACGGAATGAGAATAATTATACAAAAATATATCTGATAAAACAAGATGTTTTTACTTACATTTAGAGTAACTCAAGACACTTCCGACGGCGTTGAACGTCGACACCACGTGTTCCGTCACTTTTCGCACGCCGACGTCTTCGATAGTTTCGAGGGAATCGTCGCTGGAACAATTAGTTTCCTTTTCAAAGCACGAGTCGCAGACTCGAACAGGCGTGTACCAATTTCTGTGGGGCACGCATTTCGTTTTTGACGAACACTGCGCGCAGAAACCCTCTCCGCAATCGCGACAATGGTGCTTGTCATCTGTCGGGTTGAACAGGACTTTGCACTGATAGCAATGTTTTATCTCGCTGTTGGATCGCCAATAAGTCGGTGCCACTTGATCCGCGGCCCAGGCTTTTAACGCTTTCGTAGGCTGCAGAGAGACGTTCGCCACCGCTTCAGTGATGTACGAAACGCTATCGATAACCCGTTGCGCCGTATTTTGAGATGCTATAGAACGATTTGGCTGAAAGAGAATATATAAGAGATTAATTTGCAAAGTCACAAAAAAATAATAAATGCCAAAAATATAAAGATCCTCTCTCTCTTCTCGATATTTACCGTATTCCATACATGTGTGATCTTCTTGCGTATAGCAACATCTTCTGGATTATTGCCATACCAGTATTGTCTGCTTCTGTATATTTCTCCGCAATGTGGACAATTTATAATGTAGCCTGACCAAGCATTTTTCGCAAAGCTATACCAGCTATATTGATCTTCCTCTTGATACTGTCTAGTCACTTCGATTTCATTTCCATTTCTATAACATCTTTTGCATATGTATATCGAGTTTTCATACTGACACTGGAATTTACACCTATTGTTGCAATAAATATCAAAATTAATAGGAGTTAAAAAATCAATATGCAATAATTACACAGCAAAGTATAAAATTGGTATCTGAAAAATACCAACCTAACATTACTACTGTGTGATTTTCCTTCACGAAGATGTCCCATACTATTGTTACATCCACTATCACAACTCAGACACTTAATAGGACATGTGAAGTACTGATGTGGGAATAGAGTGTTGGACAAATTTTCTGTCTCGTTGGAGAATTGATCGTTCAAACTCTTAAGCGTGTTATACACTAGATGCGGTTTTCTGGCTGAACGGACTGTCGTATTATTCAATTCTGTTTCGATCGCGGATCGCAGTTGTTCGTAATCCGTTACATCATTTACCACTTGCAAACCAACATATTTGATAGAGTTAAAGGCATCGATTTCAAGGCTCATTTGTGCAAATCTAGCTCTCAAGATGTCTTCCGCACTTTCCGATCCATCTACAAATAAATGGAAATATATTATATTATAAATGGGGGTGATGCAACTTACATTTGCAATGAAATTCTCAGTTTGTGAAATTACTGTAATTTTGAGAGAGTAGCAATATGTACTGTTGGTCAAAGGTATGGTGTGCCTAGTTTCGTGCAGCACTATAATATTCGGTCCAAGTGTGCTCAACGAGTTGGAGACTCCTTCTTGCTGCCCTATCGCTTGTAAAGCAGCTTTGAAATAATGACTGTAAGCACGAGATGCAGCACCCAGAAATGTAAATAAGTCTCTATTCAGTCTTTCTGAGTAGATTTCATAAATTACAATGTCAGATACTGCAAGTACTTTGAGTAACATCCTTGTATGCTTGGTTTCACAATTTGTAACACCTAAATATGAACAATATTACTTGTTAAATTCAGTGCAGAAGATTAATTTTATATTTGAATGATAACATAGATATATCATACCTTGTAAACCTTCTGTATCCAAGCAAATGATATTCAGAATTGGATCAAACGCAGCCCAAACTCCTAAGGTGCAACAATCTTGTTCATTTGACGTTCGAAAAATCTCCTCACCCTTGAAAAATACTTGATTCATAGTATGACTCTTCCCATCGCCTGTATTTCCAAATATCGAAACCACTTTTACTTTAGTGTCCTCTTTAACACAATTTAATTTTTTCAGAAACTCTTCAGCATCGGAGACTTGCAGATTCTCCTGTCCATCCAATAACAAGAAACTCTTGTCGCTTGTATTGTTGTGACATTTCATACAAGAGTCCATCAGGGCGTTCTTCTCCATTATATATAACTTGGGATTAAATTCCGACAACTTGTCAAAATCATCCAAACTGCTGTCTAGACTTTTCATTATAGCAGGAGCTGTCGGTTCTGTCTGAAGAGGTTGCCAAGGTTGCCACAATGTGTTCATGCTGCGAATGAATTATTCATTGAAAATAAATACCTTGAACACCTTGGTTTCTTTAAACGGTAACATTTTCACGAGAAACAAATTAAGTTAATACCAAAATAGCAAAATAAACTCGACCGCAACTGCGACGTAAATACAATGTGTTCTTTCTCTCTCTCTTACCCTTTCTCACCTGTACGTCCTATGTCCTATATAGACTCGATGACAATTCAGCGAGCTCCGAGCATCGTCATCTGGAACGATCGGCAGGTGAATCAATAAGGTGCGACCTAAAACTCGCCAAGGATTCGCGGTGAATTGACGGAAATTTCGAATCGTGACTCAGGAAAATCGACGCGCGCCCATCACATCGCCATTATAGGATTGCATATCCAAGTCGCCGGATTTGGATCCGACCGACATCATCCAGTCACATCCGATTAATTGACTAGCCGTGACACGATGACACGCGTCGACGGTCAATTTTGAAACTTGGAAAAATCACTCCCGAAATATATATCATCGAGCGCGATCGTCGCATTTAAAGCGCAATAAGCGCTTAATAACCGGAAAAATTAATGCCCGTGCGCGCGAACAACAATAACATATATACATCCGGCTATACAGGGTGTGCTAGAAAATCGCGCGAATTTGAATATTTTCGCGAGACGAGAAAAATATATATATATGTGTCATCCATAAATAAATTCTAAATCTAAAGCGTGCATTCTCATCTCGTCGAGTAAACATATTCGATTAGATGATGCACATATATATATATATATATATACATATATATATATATATGAATTTCGCAATATTTAAATATTTTTTGTCAAAATATAATAATCAATTTTAATTTGCAGACTTAAAAATAATTTTAATTTTCGTAAAGAAGAAATTTATTATTAAATTTATAGAACAAAGTACGAGATGTTTTTCTTGATATCGAAAGATATCAGAAATTCATGATGCAATATGAATATCTTATCTAAAGTGCACAATAATGCATAACAGTTATAAATGTATGTGTATATATGTAAAAGATAAGAGGAGAGGGAGAATTTAATGACACATAAATTGGTATACACATATATATATATATATATATATATATATATATATATGTGTATTATTGGAAATAAATGACTTAAATTTTTAGAAAAGAATAATACGTACGTAGGCGTGCGTTGAACGTCGTTCGTTTTTTGAAAAAGTTGAAGATGACACAAGACAAGACCAACAATATAAATTGAACGTATTAATTTCTCGCATATTAACGATGAAACTTTTCGAGATTTGATTAAAATCAAAGATCATATCGAGGCGAACATTTGTTGGATTGAAACACGCTTTAATTGCTTATAAATTCTCGACTCTTATTGAAGAACTAACATTAATTTTCGATATTATGTGGAATTTTTGTATGATTTTGTATTTTTAATAATTACTGTAATATGAGAAAGACCGCGTGCGGTTGAAACGTTTATTTTATAATGATTGTAATTTTCGCTTAAGTTTGAGTACAGAATGTTTGTAGCTTTCACATAATGTTTTATGTTTAGTTTATACATGGAATAAATTTTATTTGACAGAACAACTCTAATATATAATTGCTCGATATAATTAAGTTGGCCTTTTATCTATCACTAGTTGTATTTACAATATACGAGCGAAACTTTGTATCAATTGATTTTTACATATATAAAGATAGATATGAAAGATAGAAGCAGCAGATGATATTTGTAAACGTGTTTATAATTATTCAGCACTCTCTAATTTCAAATGACATCGATATATATCGCTTTTAGTCGATATCGATATATATATATATCGATTGTAGTCGATATCGATATATATCGATTGTAGTCGATATCGATATATATCGAAGAGCGAGTTAAATGGCGAGAAAATGCATTCTGCACTTTCTCGCATTTCTCGGTGCTTGAAGAAGGACGAGTGTATCACGTTGAGACGAGGACGAAGGACACAGAGTCGCGGACGACGAGAGGGTGCAACTCGGAAGGAACAGATCCGATGATTATGAAGCGGGTATGATGCATCGCTAGAACGAACCTCGTCAGCAGGGCTCGGGCGAGGTTGAGTTTGCATCGCGGATCTTTTTTTGCTCCCGACGAGACGTCATTCCCGAGAGATCCCGCGTGTCCTTGAGCGTTATATATCAGGCTAGTTATTCGTTCGAAGTAACGCAACGAGGTAGAGAATCATCGACGAACGAACGAATTCTCGGTTGGTTTCGGCATGTCGGCGCCGTCTTTGACGGATCACCAGTCATCCCGGCGGAGTTTCGAGACATGCTCGCCGATGAATTCGCGGCAGTGACCCATCCCGACGAGATTGCCTTTACCCGGTGCTGAGTGATCGAACGATGGAGCACCAGGATCAAGCGGTCCAAGCGAACGGTAGGTTGTGCTCTTATTTGTTTATTATACCGTCGTCCGGATCAATTCCGGTCGTGTGCGTTGAGAGAAAGGGGAAAAAAATGATAAAACATGTAGGTAAAAAATTAAACGCCTTATACATTGCGTTGGATGTGTGAAGAGAAGAAATTAGTTTGATAAGGATTACGCAATATTACTAGTCGTTTGTTAATAATCAAACACTTCAAGTTGATGTTTGGACTCCTTAATTCATTAAGAGAATTATTTGTTATGATTTAGAGGATCAGCAGGCGAAGGTTGACAGATTGGAATCGGAAAATATTAAAATGCGAGAGGAATTTAATGTACAAAGGGCTAAGATGAAGGAATTATTTCTTCAGAAAGAAGGTATGTGACGCATATACAAACTTAAGTATTGAGCAAACAGTTTTAAGCTAATTATACTGAGTTTGATTGATAAATTTTGCAGAAGAGTTAAAACGAAGATTAGAGGAAAATATGATCTTACAAAACGAGAGTCTGAGACTAAAAAATGAACTGGATGAAGCTAAAAGCCAACTAGTCGTTGCAGATCTTAAAATACAAAATGATATATTGATGGAGAAGAGGAAAGCTGAAGAAGAGATAGCATCTTTACAACAAGTCATACATGAAACGGTGGAAGAGTCTTCTTGTTCGAGGAAACAGCTTGTCAGTGAAGTATCTAAATTACAATTAGCTCTTTCCAAGCTTCAAGAAGAGAATGCGCTATTGAAAACGCAATTGCCGCGCGATCCACCAACGGATGGACCACAAATCTCGTTATCTACAGTAACTAAAACATTAGCTAGAAAAGTGGCTTCACAATTAGGTGCAGATTCTTTATCTCTAGGTCCTGATAATTTAGAGGAAAGCATGCGGAAGGTAAAAAAATATGTACGTAATCTAAAACAGCATGAAACATTTAACTCTTCATATAATCAAATTCATACATATTATATAAAAATATATACTGCTTTATGTATCAAGATTATCATTTGCACTTTCAGAATAATATTTGTCACATTAAGATATAAATAAAAATTGTGCGATTTTTAGGCACAGGAAGATGCAGAAGTTTTACGTTCGTTGGTTGTACCGTTAGAGGAAGAAATAAAAGCTTTAAAAGAAAAATTAAGGTCAACCGACGATGAATTGCAAAAATCTAAAGAAACTTTATTAAAAAGGCGGCAGCAGGAGCCTGGCTCCTTTGAGCCGTCGTGTGATATGTGTGCAAACTATGAGGCACAATTAGTCAAAGTAGAAGCGACTGCCAAGAATTTGGAGAAGCAGTTGTTGGATTCTAAACGTATGCTACAAGCTCAAAAGGAGGACTTGGCTAAAGAAGTCGAATTTAGAAAAGAAATGGAAGGAAAATGGAATGAAAAGAAAGAGGAGCATAAAATCAAAGTTGCAGAGCTCACGATTGTCTCGCAAACGACGCAACAAAATATAACAGAGTTAAAGAAAAGTTTCGAACTATTTCAGAAGAGTGTAACAGAAGAGCTTTGTAGATTGACGCGAAATAGGGAAGAAGTACAGAGACATCTCACTGCGTAAGAACATTTTTTTGTGTTAAATTTAATTATATATATACATGGTGTTTGGTAACTAACGGACCAACGATCACAAATGGATTCTTTGGTCAATTTGGGAACGATTTTTCCTCAGCGAAAATGTCAAAAAAGGTCATCATTTTTACAACTTTCCGATATTTGTCATTATGTATCTTTATAACTAAGCCTCAAATTAAAATTGTATTATAGTAAACTCTACCTGAAATTAACTGAAGAATGTAATTATGTTAGACTTTGAACTCCAAAACGTTTAGTTTTCAAAAAATCCATTTTTTTCAATCGCTTATAACTCGAAAATTATTGACTTCTCAACATTTTTGCTAAGGAAAAATCATCTCCAAATTGGCCAGAGAATCCGCTCTTAATCATTGGTCCGTTAGTTACCGGACACCCTGTATATATATATATATATATATATATATAGTGATATTTTATAATTAAAATTTATAAAAACTAGATAAAAATGATATAATTATTGATAAAACTTTGTCCAAAATCTAATCGCGTATTTGTAGACTTCAAGCAGAAAATGAAAATCTGGTGGGTAAACAAAGCAAGCATTCACAACAGCTCCAAAGTGAAAGTATCAATATGCCAAATACCGTTGAGGAATTGCAGTTTAGCCTTTTAAGAATGCGCGAAGATTTAATTACAGCCAAAATAGCTCAGGAAGTGGCACAGGAAAAAGAAGAAACACTGCGATATGAAGTCACTCTTTTGAGAGAACAAATGGAACAGGAGAATAGAGTTAAAGAACAAGATAATTGTATATTAAAAAATGAAATTAGTGGATTAAGGTAAGATTTTTTATTGAACGACAATAAAAATATTGACAATTTAATATTACTAATCTGAAATAATCATTGATATAAAATTTTATTGCAATAAATGATTTATAGAGCTCAGTTAGATAAATACATAAGAGATCATCGTGTACTCGTTGATAAAGAAAAGAAACTTGATCAGTTGGAAAAACAGCTGCAGGAAGTTGAGAAAGAGAAGAAAGACGCAGACTCGGCTGTAACCGAACTACAACAAAGAGTTAAGAGTCTACAGCAAGAATTGGATACTAGTGAGACAGTGCAAAAAGACTTTGTGAGATTATCACAGTCATTGCAGGTAAAGAACAAAAAACAGAGAAATAAGAAGTATTTAAAATTGATGAAGAATTTTAATAAACACATCTTTTATTTATAAATTTTCTTATATATGTGACAAAGAGATTGTAAGTGTGGCAATAAATATAATGTATTATTTTGATCATCACACAGGTGCAACTGGAAAGGATCAGACAGGCAGGTAACGAAGTAAGATGGCAACATGAAGAGGATGTTGAAGAATGTCCTACTTGTCATACAACATTCTCAGTTACACGAAAGAAGGTAAATTATAGAAATTAATTATAATTAAATAATTCGATTACTTAATACTTTAATAATTTGTATAATAGAATTGCGAAAATTTAATGTTATCCGCAGGTACATTGTCGTCACTGTGGCCATATATTTTGCCAATCTTGCCTCTCGCACGTCGTGAACAGTGGGCCGAAACAAAGACCATCCAGAGTCTGTGATGTTTGTCATACTTTATTAGTGCAAGATACAGCACCATACTTCAGTCAAGAAGCTCCACATACACCTGACTAAATGTTCTGCAACTACGGGATTTTGGCGGCAGTTCGAAGACGTGCAATATCAGTCTGGTAATTGAGCATACTCTGAAATTATTATGTCTCAAGAACGTGAACTGATTATTATCGAATACCGCCTAACGATAACTCTCTTCTATTTATAGAGAGTTAGAAGGGTTCATAGTGTAAAAAAGTGGGGTTTAGATAAGAAATTCCTATTACCTGAGAACCGAAGTGATACAGTAAATATCGTGTAAATATAAAAAGTTATGTACTATCTATAAATAGTTACTGTAATTTAAACAAATTAAAGCTTTTGAATGTATGTGAGTTATCCAGAAAAATATCTTGAGTTTTATATATTACATTCGTTTGTATTTATTTTGATTCTAGATATCTCAGACATTTATATAATTGGCAAGTCTCACCCCGAAATAGATATTTGCATTTTATTTTTCTAGTTTACAGAATTTTCTCTCTTTTTTAAAGTAGAACATTTTTTTCGCTTTTTACTTAACTTTATTATATCTAATTTTACTTGTAAATTTATTGTTCTTTTAATATAATATACAATTGAGTTCATCATTTTATAATTGCAAAATAATATTTACAAGTTATTATTTAATTGATTATTTTATGATTGTTAAATTACAAATAATTTCACTGACAACAATATATCTGTGTGAGAATCTAAACATTCTACTTGTTCAAATATTAATTTAAATTTGAGTACAATGCTGTTAAATAAAGTACGCGCTATTAAATGTATTTTAAATTCTCACTAATCCTTGCGTCATATTGTTATTCATTGAATATCAAAGAGCTTTTATTATCTTTGTCTAATTATAAATTCACAATGGGTGATTTTATTATCTCGTTGCTTGATCATATGTACCGATATGTATCAAATGTGCCTGAAGATTTTCAAAATTAATATAATTAAATCCTGAAAAAAGTTCTTGTAGATAATTTTCTGTGCAAACTCGAAGAATTCTTTTTTTCAAGTTATTTTTAGTTTCATCGACATGCGCGCGTACCCATCTAATTTTTAATTAATTACATTTATTATGATACATTTAGGAGAGCATAATGTTTAATATATAAAGAAATATATAATATATGTAGAATATTTTTAAATTTTAGATAAAAGAGAAAATAACATTAAAGTTATATTTGCTCACCAAGTTGTTCATCGAAAATTTCAAGAGCTTTAATATCTATCTTTTTAATTATATTTTGTCATTAACATATAAACGCATCGGCATACGTATATACATTATTTTAAAATATGCATGAAAATCTATAAACACACACATTATAATCTTTCGAAATGAATAATGAATTAAATTTCAAATTATAAATGTGTCCAGTAAAATTAAAGAAAATGTTTTTGTCTAAAAATTAAAATAATTTTAAAAAAATTGTAAGGGAGAAATTAAGATATCAAGTTTTAATAATGAAAATTAAAAGGATGCAAGTTTTTAATGAAGTTTTAAAATTGTTTTATGTCTTGAAATATAGTATAATTTTCTTTTATAATTATGTAAAAAAACATCAAAATATACATAAAATTCAGTGAATATATTAATGCTACTTTATGAAAGTCTGTCTATTCTTTTACAAAAAGGTATTATTTTATGTCAAATATATCAAAATACTAATCAATATAGAATCTGAAAAATTACACGAAGAAACTTATATATTAATATAGTGAACTGTATTGGTAAGTAGTAACTATATATAATTTATATCATATATATATGTATGTATGATGGAAATTTTCATTATATTTCTATGCATTTTACAATTATTTTTTTTTAACTATTTATAAAGAAAATCATTCTGATATATATATATATATATATATATATATATATATATATATATATTTGATTTTATTCGTATATTTATTTGTTGTGCATGCATCAAGTAATAGAATCACTATTAATTCTAATTCTAATTACTAACATATAAGTAAAAGTCTGCAACAAATAACACTGAAAAATTAATTTGAATTTGTATAGTAAGGAGATTTAAAGTGCAATTGCGGCTCTTATGTTCTATATGTATACTATTGTATCACTGATTGAACATCGCATTTTTATACTATACTCTAATATAAAAGTTTACACGAATATATGTATTTAAAGTGCCTAAGTAAATTTTTAAGACTAACATAATGTAAATCTGCAATAGTACTTGTAGACAATTGAAAATAATTTCTAATTGTTATTTCTTGCGGTATTTAGAAATAAAATATGTTTGATACGATTTCTTATATTTTAGGAACAAAACATATTTGATAAGAAATGACAGGATGTACATATAGGTGTGTATTTTTAAAATTCATATATCAAATTTTACAAAGAAAGTAACATTTCAAACAACAAAACATTATTCGTTCATCAAATGATTATCAAGAATTTTAAGAGCTTTAATATTTATCTTTTTAATTATATTGTTACAATTAACACAAGCGCATTAATTACTGTTATTTAAAAATTATGCAATGCATGAAAATTTACAATTATTGTTTATTATAATTTACAATCTTGAAATAAGCAATAATAAGCTAAACAAATTATAAATGCGCCCAAGAAAAACTATTAAAGCAAAATAAAGATATTTTTATTGAAAAACCTGAGTAAAAAAACTCTTTAAAAATAGAATCAACAAAAATAGCAATTTTAAAGTGTGTTATACACACAATGTACACTCTCATACACACATTCACACACACACACACACACACACACACACACACACACACACACACACACACATACACATATATATATAGATATATATATATATATATATGTCAATATAAATTTTTCAATCTGTATATAATCTTATTTGTGTAAAAAAAATTAATATAAATGACTCATTATCATATTCTACACATCTTTTTGTTATATTAATATTTTTTATATCATTAATTTGCTATTCAGTAATTTCTTAGAGCTATACACACTAATTAAATATTTTACTAAAACAAATTAATTTATCAACAAAAACATATTCCAAACAAACAACAATTAAAATAAAAGATCCAAGCATGTTAACAAATTTCGAACAAAATGCTTTAAAAGTTGATGGTTTTGGATTATTTTGGATTTAAGAAAATTTATATATTCAGGTGGAAGAACGTTTTCTAAACATAAACTTTGTACCAATAGCGCAACTTCGCATGTTAAAATTAAAATATTTTTTTAATTAATTTGATATATTTAAATATTTTTTCATAAAAAACAAAAAACTGAGTCGGACAATGTTTTAAAAAACACAAGTTTCACTTAAGAAAAAGGTGTACTTTGCACGCATGCACATAAAATATAGTGAATACGAAGAAAGAATTAAACCAGCTAAGATTATTTAATTTCGCTTTATATCTTTTTTCTTCGCATCTTAAATAGTATCAACTGTGTAAACTTGTTAGATTTCCATAGGACTTCCTATATACATACGCATATACAGAGATAAATAAGATTATAATAGATTGAAAAATTTATATTAAAATAACATATATATATATATATATAACATTTAAAAAGAATATACATATTTTTATGCGCAATAATCTTCGATACATAAAAATAAACGTAGATAAACATTGAATCCAGTTCAAAGCCAAAGATAATTAAACTCAAAACTAAAATAATAATAATACAAAATAATTTACACACACAAATTTACACAAATTAACAATTTTTTCAACGTATCAATTAAATTTAAACATGTTGATAATATAACTGTTTTAATGCGATATCGACTATATGCATGTGTATTATAAAATATCGACACAAGACAGACAGTTAATTTAATTGTACGACCAGATCAGTGATTTATAAATCTTTCTAACGTGAGTTATGTAATTTCTACTTTGGCCCAATGTCTTGTAAACGCAACAAAGACCAACAATTTGCTCGATGATGTACAATGACATAAAATTTGTTGAATTAGACACACTTATTGGATATATCACATAGAAAAGAACACATTTATTATGTTTGCGATGGGCTGTGGACGTTTCTGTACATCGATCGGCGGATCTTCAGATTGAGCGTGTTTATCTCTAAGTTCCTTCCAATGATTTAACGTATCTGTGTATTCCAATATTTTCTCGTATTCATCTAATTTATTATACACGTGTAAGAGTCCTCGATAATCATATTCTAAGCCACTGTAACTTTTTCCGAATAACTTTAAACCTGTGGATCAAAATTGTCCCGTGATTCATCGTAAAATGTCATGCATTTTGCATTCCTAATAATTCAAAAGTCGAATCAAATTGCATATAATTATACTTACTGATTGCGATGCTACGATAATAAAGCTTTTCGGCGTCTTTGTACCGGTTCATATGGAAATTATATAACGAAGCTAAATGTCCTATGCTCAAACCTACTTCATAGTCTTCAGGACCTAGTAACTCTTCTTTGATGCGAATCGCTTTCAGATGCATTGCTTCTGCTTCCTACATGCATGTTAACATGCAACAAAATAAATTAAATATCTATATGCGTGTGTATAATAAATATATATTATAAAAATATATTATTAAAATACCTCGAACTTTCTCATACTCTGATACAAGCGTCCCAAGTTCCCGTAATGCTTCGCCGTTTGTACATTTCTCTCGCCAAATGCGGTTTTGGCTAAATGTAAAGCGGATAAATGAAGACACTCGGATTTGAGTAACAAGTTTTGTTCGGACAATGGCGTTGACGCATTATCTATAGCGATCTCTTCGAGGATAAGCGCCTTCACTCGTTTAGCACTCGCGAGCATTAAATGATAAGTAGGTAAGAGTTTCTCCATAATATCTATAGCTATTCCAGCGTGCTCACTGCAATCAAATAAAATGGAATAAAAAACAAATAAAACCAAATGTTATATTATCAAGTGAAAAATGTAAATTGAATATAATTTAAATTAAGTATTACCTTGCTTCATCAAACTTGCCAGAACTATATTCGTATACATAGAGAGCATAAGCTAAATCTTCGTGTGCCAAAGCAACATGAAGATTAGTCTTGCCAAAAATCGCTCTTCTAATATCTAACGCAGTCTGAAATAAGATGGATATTTTTTTTCAAAAATTTCCTATTACAAAAATTCGTGAAAGATGTATTAAAAAATAAATACCTTGTAGACGGATACACTATTGATGATGCTATCGTAGTTTAATAAGTAAAATCCATAATCGATGAGAACGTCGCTATATTTCGGATGATCCGTATCGAATATCTCTCTAGCGAGATATACAGCTTCTCTGATCAGTAAACCAGCCTTTTGAAATTCGCGTTTCACTACGCACGATTTCGCCGCTTGTCTGAGAACATCAATAATGACCCGTGCGGGAAGTGACGGATTCAAGTGCTTTAACGCTTCTATACTCCACCTAAAAAATGATAGCTGTTAGTAAGCCCTCCTCCTCGGTTTTTTCCAATTCCGCCCCGAAAGAAATATATGCGCTGGACAAAATAGGTAAAATAGACAAAACTGAAAAAAATTGTTTAAAAACAAGCTCAGACAAAATAAACTTTATTAATTAAATAAGAACTTTGGTTTTGACAAACTTTGGTTGTTAATAGATAACAAAACTCTTTATCTCTCATTTTATCGATTTCTATATTATTTCATAGTTCGTCCATTTCATTCATTTTGTGCATTTTGTTCACTTTCTTCCAGTGCCCTGGACAAAATGAAAAAGTGGACAAAATGCTAATCCTGGTTAGTAAAGTGTCGCGAAAAGAAATAAAAGCTAAACAAGATGGAAATACTTAATTAACAAATATACCTGTAAGCTTGATCATATTCACTGCGTATGAAGAATAATACACTGAATTCTGCAAAAAGTGCAGCGTGATTACTGTTATTATACTGTGCTTTTTTTAATTGTTCTATCATTTCTATGGCAAGTTGGTGAGTATCCGCAGCTCCAACAAAAGTACAGTACGCTGCTTGCGCATGTAACAGTCTGAAAATATAATTATTTTATTCAATTGTAATTTAATTGTAAATATCATTTAAAATATATCTTCTATATATAAATTTATTTTATATTACTTAAGATAATTTATATTATTATATTATGCAATATATTATATATAATATATATAGGGAAGACCAGGGCGAAGTCGTCATTATAGTTATCTCGAAATCTATATGTTATGTAAACTCATTGTTAATATTATAAACGCTATTTATGATGTTCATATATATATATATATATAGTGATATTGTTCACTGCTTATAATTTATATATATAAATCTTAAGTAAAAATGTTCTCTTACTTGTGACAACAATCTAATGTTCTACACCAATCTTCAGGAGTATGATTGTTGGTGATACACAATTCCTTGCAAGCCAACAGTACTTCTTCACTTTCTGGATACCAACCAGCATCGCTGAGAAATCCACCAAGTCTCAAACCTAGATTTATAATCTTATCTTGTGCAGCAGGATTCTCCCTTGCTTCAAGACAGTGCACGTTGTAATCAATGGCCAAATTCTTTCCTACCCTTATACCGTGATACATTGGAGCCTTCAATCAAAAGAACAAACATGTAAAATATTGTTCTCTCTAATGTCGGAAAAAAAATATCAAAAAATATACATGACAGATAGCTACTGATCTCGAAAATCAGTGAAATTTGATGATAATGAAAAATCACCTGAAAGATTTGCAGAAGGTGTATTCGACGATTGGTGACCTTGAGCATCTTGGAGAAAGTCTCCAGATCGCTCAATTCCGTTCCCAGTTGACATAATTTCCTCTCTTTGAACAGCTGAAATATAAACCGAGAGACTCATCAGAGATAAAGCGCGATGGACAGCGATCAGCTGATCGATTATCAGTCGAAACGGAGTCTCTCCTTCTCTTCGTAGAGAAAGAGAGAAAGAGAGAGATCGCGCGTCTTTCGCAAACGTCAAAATCCTCAACAGCTGAGCTCGAGGACGATGACTCATTAAGCGATCGCGCGTCGCGAATCTCTCGTCCAGCGGAGATAAACGCTAAACGCGAGATTCCGCGAAGTGAACGATGACGTTTGTAAAGATAGAGAAAGAAGAAGAGAGAGAGAGAAAGAGGAGAAACGCACAAAAACAAACTGATTGTACACATACTGGACGGAAGCACCGTGTGGGGTCGGTGCCGTCCCGTCTTGACAGCTTGATGACAGTTTACCTGATAGTAGAGATCGAACCGCACGTTTTTCGGCAGGTCGACGAGATGCGGCTTGTAACTGTTAAACTTCCCCGCCACCACCGTCACGCACAAATCGTACAGGCTCTTGGTGGAAAACGACCGTGACTCGCGTCCATCGGCCATTTTCGCGAACGGCCTTTGATTAGTCACTAATACAATCTCGCGGTTTGCATGCGTGAATGTGACGGGCATTTGTACATACATATATACATATATATATCATTCTTACGGGACACGTCTTTGCCTACCGAGCGCACGCGCCCGCGTGCTTCCGCGCGATAAGAGGTGTCGCGCTAGCACAAAATGTCTTTTCATCACAATATATATTATAACGGATATACATAATTATAAATATTTTGCATATACAAATGTCATGTAATGTCTAGCGTAAGTCTTATTCTTTTTTTAGAGCTGAATTCCTTGCACCTTTTGTCTTTTCTTTCACTTCAATTTAAAAAATTATGAATCCAATTATTGTAAAAAGAAAATATACATATATAATTTTTAGTATATATTAGCAGAAATAAATTTTAGATACTAATCTCCACAAAGACTTATATAAAGACTATGAAAAATGAAAAAGGCCATAATCGACATATCACAGCTAGACTGTCAAACAAGTTCTCGCATAAAGAATATGTCATCATGGCTTTTAAATCAGTGATGTCACATGAAGTTTTTTTTCAATCTGATCTCATACAAACTATGTGACTACCTCGACAGGTTCCTATTTATTACAAGGAATCTTCGATCCAAATTTAATAGCATATGTCATTGATATCCTAATTGAGGTCAAATGTTAAAAACTGGCAAGGCAAACCTTTTTGACCTTTTGAGTCATGTTAGATAATAAAAAAATATGAAAAAATTAAACAGAGAAAAAAATTGCTGATATTTGAAGAGATAATGTTATTTTCTTAGGTCTGCATAAATAAGTAAACAATTCGATCTCCATAAATAATTTCATTATTATTAGGACTCAATTTCACCCAAGTAGATTTGTTTGTCGCTAGATCCCGAGCACACTGAAAAAATACAATCATATTATACTGTGTGCATTAATTAACAAAAATATATATTTTATACATTTCTATGATAAAATCATATACGAAAACAAGAGAATGTTATCACAAATATTTTACCGATTGGTTCCTTTGGATGAAAATCAATGTCGTTTACGGATCCATTATGCCCCGGCAATTTGTATAATATTCTACGACTCGTGGTATCCCAAATATAATGAAATCTGTCTGACGATCCAGCTGAAACCTTGCTACCATCCGGTGACCAAGCGCATCTCAGAAGATTCTAAAAATTGTGATGTTTCAGATCAGCTCACTGACATTAATAGCATAGATGTCTTTTCTTTCTTTCTAGTTCTCATAGATAATAAAAAGATAAAATAGAGCATTGGAAAAACGCATACCTTTTCAAAGTTATGCTGATGCCCGGACAATATTTTTACGCAGCGTTCGTAGGGCGCGAATGGCCGTACGTCCCATATCTTCAGCGTGTTATCCATAGCGTTGGAAAGTATGTACGATCCATCAGGGCTGAGACTCAATCCAGTAATGGTGTCAGTGTGTCCCTTCAATTTGTAAAGTACTGCATTTTTGCGAAGATCCCATACTTTTACATCATTATCGATACCGCCACTGATTACTTGCTCCGCTGTGTCGTTAAATGTTACTGCAGTGACCTATAATTGTATCCACAAAATTGTTTGTGTATAAATATTATAATATATTTAATAATAATATAATATACATTATATGTATATATTACATATACATCTACATAATTATATTTATTATATATTATATGTTATAATATTTATTTATTATAAATAACATATGTTTTCTTAATAAATTAAATATTTATTATATATATTATTAAATATTGAATATTAATTATACACAAGCTAAACACATTATTGGATTACAAGTACCTGATATGTGTTGTTCAATGTATGGCATTGGCCACGTTTTCTAGGATCCCAGATACGTATCGTGCTATCGTCACTGCCTGAGCAGAGTAACGTGGGTCCTCTTCGCGCTCCTGACACAGAATTCACAAACGAAGTGTGGCCCTTCAACTTCTTGATTCGCGTTCCAGCCACTATGTCCCACAAACCTAGCGTCATGTCTGTGCTAGCTGTATACAGATGATTGCCGTCCGGACTGAAATGTAGTTCCATCACTGCGCCGCTGTGTCCAGTCATGATACCGATATTCTCGCATTCTCCGTAAACATTCCAGATAACTGTGAATCACGAATAATTATTTTATTAAATGAAGCAAGCATTCGATTAAAAGATAAAAGATACGTACAGATTTGTCGATCGAATCCCGTGGATGCCAGATACTGTCCTTCCGGATGAAATTCCAAGGAGAAGATATCTCCTTGGTGTCCCTCGAGCAACATTATCATCGACATCAAGGAGGACGTTCGCGGTGGACCCTTGAAAATTTTTTCATATCAGTATGTTATATCTTCCAGAAGAAAAATTATGTAACAAAAATAAATCAATTATTCTGCTTGTGGATTAATGCTAAAATTCTCTCAAACAAAAATTTTTTTGGGATTTTTGGTTGAAAGTGAGTGCTTCCAGTCAATACTGACTATCTTACATATATACAGTAGTGGATGCTGCTTAAGAGACTGCACACAATAAAAAGAATAAGGAACGAGGTATAAAAAACAGGAATGGGAAATAAGAAACAGTTCAATATCAAACATATGACATGTAATTTAGTAATGCAGAATAAATACATTTTTCGTTGTTTATTCTCTACTCCTGTTCCCTTCTATTCCTTTTATTGTACGCAGCCCCTTATTGTGTCTATAAAATTCTCTATGTTATATATGTAACAAAATAAAACAAAAAGAAAGAATAAAAAAGGGAAACAAAAGAATTATAAACTAAATTAATTAATATTATATTAATATAATAATAATTTGTCAAAAATAAGAAAGTTAGGCTAGGATTACATATCGCTTACGCTTTGCACGACCGCCTTTTCTCTGCTGCTGAAGACGACCTCATTCTTGGTCCTCTTCGAGGCGGGGACCAGCGCCAGAATATCATCGCCCTTTCTTTTATCCAGGATCGGCATAATATGTCAAATGTCAATTCAATTTCTCATAAACACAACACCCACACATTTATTTATCTCGTCGAACACCGGGCGTCTTCGCGACGAAGTTCGAGAATTGTCCAGTCGAAAGATCTCGCCGCTTCGATTGATCGATCGATCGCAATCGATCAGCTGTCAAACGTCAAAGCGCCAAATGGAACGCGCGCTCTAAACGAAAAGCCATAAAAGGCAAAAACCTATGCAATTGCAATTTAAATATTCTCAATTTGCAATTGTCATCGTCAAAGTTCCACGTATACATACAGCTGAATTAATTTACGGCAGAGATATTGTAATGTTGAAGACGATCCTGATTGGTTTACGAAAGATCGCTTGAAATAACCGGCGAGAAAAAATTCGGCAATTGGACCGTTTCGCCGCTTTCGTCATCAAATCTCGCGCGAATTAAATTTCTCGTCTTGTGTGGTTAGAATTAGAATGCTTTCCGAAAGCGTCGTGTAAATGAGTGTTTGGTATCGTTATCAGAAAATTGAATCGTAATTTAGATTGAAGATGTATAATATTAAAACATGGCTGAATTGACTATAATTAGATAATAATTAGTAGGAGATAGAAAAAAAGGAGAGGGAGTTACCAAACGGGGAGTTACAATGAATTTGTAGTAGATCAGTATGAATCATGTATAGGTGTAAAAATGAGCAGTGTCAGACATAAAATATGGTTCGTATATGTCTAATATCTACTGTATAATAATAAATATATAATAGAAATTAATAATAAAAAATATAATATATAATAACAATAATAAATAATACAACAATAAATATATAAGATACATATAATAATATAAAACGTTATAGCTCTGTCTTGCTATTACTTATAAAAATCACCTGAATTTTGTACATTATAATTTTTTCCAGCATGGTCTCGGATTTCTTTTATCCAAATATGGGCGGCGTCGAGGAGCATATCTTCAATTTGTCCCAATGTCTGCTAGAACATGGACACAAAGTGGTGATACTCACTCATTCCTACGGGGATAGAGTAGGCATACGATATATGACAAATGGATTGAAAGTACGCATTGTACTTTTCTCATCTTCATTACATTTCATCCTTGTAACCGATTCAATTTTAATGTCTATTTTTATTTAAGGTATATTATATTCCCGTCAAGGTTTTCTACAATCAATGTGTTCTTCCGACGATGATATGCTCCCTTCCACTTATTAGGTACATCTTTGTAAGGGAAGAGATACAGATAATACATGGACATTCTGCTTTCTCTGCGTTAGCGCACGAGGGAATGTTGATTGGCAAATTAATGGGACTGAAAGTAAGTTTTGACAGCTACATTAGCTGTTTTCAGATGGAATTAAAGATTACTATTAATACTAATATTAATGTTTGCAGATAGTTTTCACCGATCACTCCCTTTTTGGTTTTGCAGACGCGTCAGCTATTCTGACAAACAAATTTCTACAGATATCGTTAGTCGATTGTGATCATTGTATATGTGTATCTCATATTGGCAAGGAGAACACAGTGTTACGAGCCAAAGTGAAGAAGGAGAAGGTATCAGTCATTCCAAATGCCGTTGACACCGCGCTGTTTACGCCTGATGTCAGTAAACGGAGCAACGAATTTAGTAAGTATAATGAAACTTGAAATCTTGTTTTATATACTGTTGCATTACATTACATCGATTACATTAGAAATGTATTACTTTCTAATTATTGTAATGTAATTGTCAATTTCAGTTACTATAGTAATAGTGTCGCGATTGGTGTATAGGAAGGGCGTGGATCTTCTAGCCCATATAATACCCGAGATTTGTTTACGTTATAAAAATGTACAATTTCTAATTGGCGGAGATGGGCCGAAGAGATGGCTGATAGAAGAAGTGAGGGAGAGAAATCTGCTGCAACACCGAGTCACTCTGCTGGGCAGTCTGGAACACTCTCAAGTTAAACACGTTTTAAATAAGGGTCACATCTTTCTCAATACGAGTCTGACAGAGGCTTATTGTATGGCCATTGTAGAGGCAGCTTCTTGCGGGTAAACATTGTAGTTTTCTCGCTTACTCTCTTGTAAAAATCTATATAAAATTCATCTTAAATCTTTTTTTAACTCTTTTCCCATAAATATTAGAAATATCAAATACATAGGTAAAAATATTAAATAAAATATTTAAAAGATATCAGATATATTTAGGTATAAAATTAATATTATTTATTTAAATAAATTTTGAAAAATTAATATTAAAAATTAATATTAAATATTAAATAAATTCAAGTTAAATAAATAATTTTCTTAATATTCTTTACCAACAAAATTTTACCAAGTATCAGATGTGATCGATATCGTTTTGCAGTTTGCAAGTAGTGTCGACAAAGGTCGGAGGGATTCCGGAAGTTCTGCCATCAGATTTGATTTATCTCGTCGAACCCACTGTACCAGCGTTAATCGAGGGATTGGAGACTGCTATAGCTGATTATAAGAAGGGCAACATTAGATGTCCCTTGGAGATGCACAGGAGAATAGGTTTATATTACAACTGGTTCAATATCACAAAACGTACAGAGATAGTGTATAATTTGGTGAAACGTGAAACAAAGAAAAATCTGGGACAGCAATTGACGAGTCAGCTGCAAAGTGGTGTATTGGCCTATTTGCTTGTGATATCTTTGTGCTATATAATATTACAAGTTCTCGAATTCTTTGTTCCAAGAAAGGTAAAATATTATAAATATATAGTAGGATTACATACATAATTCACGCAATATTTACATGTTTAGCTATTTATATACATTTTGCGTCTTATTACTGACTTTTAAATGTCTGTTTCATATGCTTGTGTTTGTGCAGCATATATCAAATGTATATCAGAAAGGGATTTTTTTACATTTATAATTATAAATAAATAAATTTTCAGTACATCGATATTGCGCGGGACTACAACGAGATTGAAGTTATGCCATCCAATGGGAAAGGAAAAAATGATTAACTGTTATAGAAGCCTGGAATGTAAACTTCTTAATGTGTTCAAGTATTTCATACGGTCCATTTACTTTGGAAACATTCCAGAAAATTTACATTCTCTGCAAATTATCGTTATATAAATTATCGTTATATGAAGAAGACCAATCATCATGTTGCATTTATCTACAAAATTTTTAAAGAAATATAAATATATATCTATGTAAAGATGTTGTGCATAAACTAATATACGACACACGAAACAAAAGTACGCGAAAGGAGAAAGTACAAATCGCCGTCATATATACTTGTATATAAAATTATTACAACTGAGACGACTATTTATAACAATTTTATTTATTATATCGTGCTGCTCTTTGTAATCTCTGTGTATCATTCCAAAAACAAATATAATAGCGCATGATGTTCAACATCCGACGTTAGTTCGTTTATGAAAATAATACTTTATCCGTTAAATGTGTGGATTTTTTTTTATTATGATACATGTGTGACATCTCGTATGAATCAATGCATAACACGTATAACAATTTGTAACGATATCCAACGTCGCTCGCACCCCGCATACACATATAGTTACATATGCTTAAGAAAGATATTTATTGCATCATTAGCATTACAAAATATCGTCGTGTGTATTACGGATAGTTCGTGCTTACGTTTTAAAACAATTCGCGCTAATCTTTAAGCAGTTATTTGTAGCAATATGTGTGGAGTAGAAAGGTTTATTCGTGTTCGTGTAATTCATCAAACCGCGCGTTATACAATCGATAATTTTTCGCGAGTATTTTTTCTTCTCTCTTTCCCCGTAAAAAGCAATAAAGTAGTAACTTCATCTCTCTATCTCTTTCTTTTTTTTTAAACGTTGCGATTAAAAATCTGCCATACTTTTGTTCAGCTAGTAATCATCATCTGCGCATACAGAGTATACAAGTGTACGAAATGTATAAAATTGTAAAAAAAAATTTTTTTTAAAATAACATTCGTACTTTAAAATAAAAACTTAATACACATGTTGCAATACTTCAACTTCGCGATTAATAAGAAATAAAAATTAATGTAAAACAATAAGAAAGTTAAATTAAAAATAATAATATTTATTTTAGTTACGTTGTATGTTAAATACAATAATAGAATATTGATACAATATTAATTATTTGTTAATTATCGCTTTCGTCTGTTTGTTTAATCTTCATCGCGCGTATACTCTGTACATTAATCTATTTATACATAAATCTTTCACGTACAAGGTTCTACGGATCTTCTCCTACTTATTTTTTATAATCTTAAGCAAGAGAAGATCAATGAACCTTACTTAACAACCATCATAATATTACGAGTGGTCAGGTCTGTCGCAATATTACATCCTTATCTAATATCGCATCTATCGATGCATATTAGTCAGAGACACAATGAAACGAATGTCCTTAAAAAGTGCTAAAAAGGTTCCCCCTTTCGGATCTTCAACTACAACACTTACAAGAGAGTTATAAAATAAAACTTTACAAAAAAGTACTCCGCCTCTCTGATCACGTGTTGTGTATCATTTAAGTCTCCCCGTGTAAGTTTTTCAAAGTCTTTTCAAATTTTTTTTTTAACTATTAGATCGACTACAAGAGGACTACGACAAGTGAGAATTTCCACACATGCGGTTATCAGTGATGTCACAATTTCATCTACGCTGTCGCGAGATTGTGTGGAATTAATAATACAAATATCTTTAAATCACTATTGCTCTTTCTTCTACTATAAAACCAAAAGTTTCTAATCAAGAATGCTATGTTGAAAATAGCTAGTTTTATTTCATAATTACTCTTAATATCATGAAAGAGGATGCTGAATCTCTCCTTCTCTTTTTCTCTCCCTGTTCATTCGTTGTTACAGAGAGTAACACGAATCTTAATCATTAATATCTGCGTATGCAATACTACTGTTGTGTATACATGAAATTCTGCTTAAAGTATCATTATTAAGATTGTGGTATTATTATAACGGCGAAAAAGTATTATTAAAAAAGTGAAGGAAGAAATTTTTTCGTGCACAAAATGCATATGGGGGAGGAGGGAGAAGATTAAATCATTTGTAAAATCTGTTGTACAAATACAAAGCGCGCGAATCTTCTTTCTTCTCGACGAATATATATCTGCGACGAAGCAAAAAATCCATAGGATTCAGTGAGGACAAATACTGACGCACCGCATATATATTCAATTTGAGACGCAGAGATGATGGTTTTCGCGATCTCACAACACAAGCACGTTTTAATATTTATATGTGTGTGTCTCTGTATGTGTATATATATATAGATATATATACATATACATATTACTTCTTTCTCTCTCGTTGAACACCTTTACATACACATATTGCTATTGACTGCCATACAGCTTGTTATATCTCTATATATCTTTTTTCTCCCTTTTTCTTTCTCATCTTGTGGCTTAGGGATTTAAATGACAATGGTGGTGAAATGTTATAAAAGTTTTCAACTTTAATTGTCGCGCGTACATACATAGGAAAAAGTAAGTCCGTCCTCCTCTTTCTTTCTGAAATATTCATCTTCTGAGTAATATGTACAATGGAGCTTTTTTTCTGTTTAATGTAATAAGAAAATAACGCCACGCTCAGCCACAGTTCTAGACTGTCATCGACGATTGATTGAAGGACGATCGAGTTCTTCCCTTTGAATCGTAAAAAGTATTTGTATGCTTCAAGAAGAAGGTACCCTAGTGTTGGCGGGCGATTCTTCTCAGCAGCATCCGTTTGGCAATGAACAATAAATAAATAACGAACCGTTTGCGATGTGTAAATCGAGAGCGTTGCATCATTTCCACGAGGTAAATTGGCGAAACAGCTCAGACTCCTTCACCGTAATCGCGATCACCTACGTTAATACGATCGGGGGCCGCGGTTACACTGAAGCCAAGGATTCTGTTGTCCACCTTGAACATCTTTCCCTTCTTTGGTTTTTTGGATTTTCCCTAAAAGAAAGAAGAGCGGTTATTATCTAACATGTTTTGCACGATGTAATTTCACCCATAAAAGTATTTAAAATAATTAACTTTCTTCTATGACAAATAATATTAAAATAATGCTTTATTAATCTTTCTGTCAATGAATGGGCACTCAAAGCAATTTTAAACATTAAAAATATATCAGAATTTTTCTTCGAAACAAAATACAAAAGGCCTTTTCAAAACCTCCTAAAATAATTCAACGAGAAAGAATGTTTAATGCCCAGCAGCTGTTGTAAAAAAAAAATTAGTCAGTGCAATATGTCAAAACGCATACATTGATGAAAAAATCAAAAAATTATGTATTAACAGAAGGATTAAAAATATCTACTCTAATATAGATGTAATATTTTAATATATCTCAAAGTATACAAAAAAAAAAAAAAAAGAGATTGTCACTAACGTTAACAAGAGGTCTGTTTTTTTCAGCTGAACTGGCTGAACAGAATTTATCTCTTTCCTTTATAGTCAGTTCAGTTGAAAAGAGCAGACGCAAACCTTCACTTCTTGAAATTCTGCAGGTGCATTCGGATTAACGGCCGGGGCCGGTTTGCATAGATCGTCCGCTTGTGCCTGCGGACGCTGTGCCGATCGCCATTTGCTTCGCTTCTCCAAGAACTGCTTGGCGAACTCCGTGCTCTGTTTGGTATCGCCAAGATAATCGCGAACGTACTCTTTCACCTCATAAGCCGATTCTATGTCCCGCAGGAATCCAACGAATGTAGGGACTGCAAATGCACGTGATAGGTGTAGTAAACATTCAATGACATTGATAAACTTGACGCGCGATACTTACTATCCACCGACGCCTGTATACCGCCCAACGCTTTGTTACACCATTGCGTGAACTCGTCGGTCTTGGCAGTGTTCTGTTCAAATAATTTCTTCACCAGTTCCTCTTCTCTTTTGTTTTTGCTCTTGGATGTCTTATTGTTGCTATTCTGTTGTTGTAGTTGCTGCTGCTGCTGGCTAGGAGTACTGGATTTCACGATCGCAGTTTGCTTAATAGCTGGTTGTTTCATAGTCGCGGACGACTTGACGGGCGCAGGATCATCCCAGAAACCACTATTACCAGAACTGGTCGACCACGCATGGCTAGTCGACGTGCTCGAGTTGGCCCAGTTCAAGGCCTGCGATGCCGTACCCCATATCCCAGCATTCTGCAGCATACTCGCCGATTCTTTTTGGTTGGCCTTCTCCTGTCGTTCTCTTTCCTGTTGCTAGGGAAAGAATATTTAATTTCTTGTCGCACGGGTCTCTTTAAAACAAGTTTATTTCATCGCTGGTATAACTCAGGAAGCAATAAGTACCTTTACCTTAGCGATGCGTTCTTGTTCTTCCTGCTGAATCTGCGCGAGGCTCTTCACTTGAAGTGGTTTATTAGAAGCGATAGCCTTTTCTGCCCATTTGAATTGCAATCGTTTGGACGAGTCAATAGCCGATGCTTCCTGCGCGGCTTCTATCACCTTTTGTTGCGCCGCCATCTGTTGCTGGATCAATTGAACCCGTTGCTCTTCCTGTAAGATAGCAAGAATAAAAATATCACATACATCACGCGCATAACAAATGTGATTGCTTAAAGATGCATCGTTTACCGCTTTCTTCTCTCTCTCGAATCTTTGAATATCAACGAGCGAGGTATGAGCGGTAGAAGCCATCGCGCGAGGAGTCTGAGCCCAAGGAGCCTTATTTCGTTCCTGAAGCTTACGCAGCGCCTCGGCTTCTCTTCGCCGTTGTTCCGCGCGACGCGCTTGTTCCTCTGCTTCCGCCTGCCGTCGCATTTCCATTTCTTTCCTGTAAAAGTTTACAAGCGTATAAGTTTCATTCATTATTTATTTATTTTATTCGTTTGCTGCATACATACCTAAGTCTCTCTTCTTCTTTCTTTTGCTCTTCCTCCAATCTCTTTCTCTTCTCTTCCTCCTTCTTCAGTTTTTCCTCCTGTTTCTTAAGCTCTTCCCGCTTTCTTCTCTCCTCTTCTTGCTTTCTTTTCAAGTTCTCTTCTTCCTGCTTTCTCTTCTCCTCCCGTCTCTTCTCCTCTTCTTTACGTTTCTTCTCTTCCTTCTTCTTCTGTTCTTCTTCTTGCTTGCGTTTCTCTTCCTCTTTTCGTTTCTTCTCCTCTTCCTTTCTCTTCCTCTCCTCGTCTTTACGCTTCGCTTCTTCGATTTGTCTAGCTTGTTCCTCCTTTTGCTTTCTCTTCGCGTTCTCTTCCTCCGCTTGGCGTTGCAATTCTTCTTGCTTCTTTAACTCTTCCTTTTTTCTATCCTCTTGTAGCTTAAGATTCTGTTCTTCCTAAAAAGAAGAAAATAACGCATTAGTTTTTCCATATCTTTGAAAATGAAGTAAAAAAATCGAATTACCAGTATTTGCTGTTCGGTTTTCATATCTTTAGCGTGTAAGTCCCACAGAGAACCGGGTAATTGTCCAGGAGGCATGGCGGGAATGGGTCCAACCTGGAAGAAAGGAGATATGACAAATAAATGAGATTGAATTCACTTTTCAAACGCATAATTTTCACATCTGTGCAAACTTTGAATATTACATGACGCAACGCACCTGCGCTAACCAATTTTGCGCATTAAACTGTGGAGCTATTTGTGGCGGGGGTTGCGGCCAGACAGTGTCCATGTGAGGCGCCTGCGGATGACCATTCGTATTGACGTTGAGTTGACGTAGCAGAGATTTTATCGGATTATCCGCCTCTTGCGTTGGCGCGGGGGTCGGAGCAATATTTGGTTGTTGCATGGCAGGTAAATTCTGCATACCGCCAATCTGTTGAATCAACTGCTGTAAGGGATCTACTGTGGCCGGATGGGGTGATGCGGCTGCATGTGGATTCGTCGGCAGATGTGTTTCAGGTTGCGTCTTCGCCTGCGCGAAAAATAATGCCTCAATGTAATATCAATGTGCATGTCGATGTAAAACATCGAATTAGCCTACTGATGCGGTACCTGTTGCATCTGAGTAAAGAGTTGCATGACAGGATTAGTCGTCTGAGAAGCGAGATGAGGCACAAACGGGTTTGTTATCGGTACTTCCGGAATCTCTTGCACTCCGTCCTGCATGACATACTGTAGTATCAGTTGATTTTGCTCTACGGGACTCAGCGTTGTCCAATGTTCCGACTGCGACAACTTGGCTATCGCCGATGATCTCATCTGCCTGAATAACATCTGCTGATGTAACATCTGCATTTGCTGATACGTCATTAACAACAACGGATCATCCATTCCGGCTTTCGGTATAGCATTAGCCGCCGCCAACCCAGCTGGTACGGTAGTAGGAACAGGCGGGATTACTTGTTCCGTCAACTACAAATCAAAGTATATTTGATATTAATGCAAACATATTTAATAGTAATTACTAGAGAAATTGAATGCAAGATAAAAATATGTAACGTTTTATAAATGACTATAAATAAAACTCATTTTCCTTTTACTTCCTTCCCTCGGATTTGTCAAGTTATTTACATTACAAAAATATAATATAAAAATTTAAAAAGATTGCATAAAGTGAAATAAACCTATCTTTAAAAATATATCAACCTACCTTTAAAGGAGGTATTGGTGGACCAGGTGTAAATGGTACTCTTCCGCACATTTTGATCAAATCACCGAGCGTAGCGTACCTTTCATCGCAATTTCTTCTCACTAATAATCCTGTAGTGAAATAACCAGCTTTGCACCATTCGGCCATTTCAGTAGCCAAGAACGGTCCTTGAACTTCACCCTGTGGATCGCGGTAAAACCATTTTTCCTGATTACCCGTGGCGGAAACCGCGGAAGTTTGATTACCGCTAATTGCGGACGGGACACCGGTAGCGATCGTCTTCTCCTTGTGGCTTTCCTCATCTGCCATTAATTTGGCTACCAACGCATCGGCCTCTTCCTTCATTCTATCGAAGTCGTCTTCCGTTCTCTGCCTGATACTAGCAGTTCCTGGATTATGCACGACCTTCGACTGCTCCAGAGGAATCTGTCGATTGATCGCGGTAGCAATTATTTGCGGCTCTTTTATAACCTCCTGTGTCTGCGTGTTCTCTTTATCATGAGCTTTACTCGGGGGTTCGCCAGGTTTCTCACCGGTCTCGACTTTATTCACACTGACGGATCCGATGACAGTTTTCTTCTGTATAAGATCCGAAGGTGTCGTCAAGGTCTTCGTAGGAATGCTCTCAGTCGTTGGTGCAACCGGTGGAGAGCTCTGCTTGGCAGAGGGCGAATTAGATCTTTCTTTCTCTATAGAATTATCCTTGTCCTCGAGTGAATCCAATGGTTTCGATCGTTCCTTACTTAATGTACCGACTGTATTATTTGTATGGCGATTCAACGATTGGACAGAACCCGTTCCGAAAGTCAATGTCTTGTTACTAGATTTCACTACGTTAGAAGCACTGCCTTCCGAAACGCGTCGAGTTCTACCTTGCTGGGAAGCACCCGCCACACCGTCCTCATCATCGTCTGAATACATTCCACCATGGAACGCGCCCGAAGCGTCGAAACTGCCGCCGCTTTCACTCGGATTTTCCGTCGCCCTAAAATATCAAGTTTAAGAAATAAAATAAAAAATAATAAATATAATGTATACAAACACCGTAACAATAAAATTTAATATTAACCACTCGGGTAGATTGTCGTGATTATCATGATGATTCGATTCCCAAGAGCGAGCGGTTCGTGGCGGCGGATGATGACTTGAGTCGTGGGAGGGTCTGTGATTTCCACGATGTTCCCATCTTCCCGGTCCGCCACCTCTGCTTTCCTCTCCGTCACCATCATTTCGGTCCAGCCTATCCCGATCTATATTGCCACCCTCACGCCAACTACTTCTTCCTAAAATAAATATGTCGTTTCATTACATAAGCTCGTATGTGTATATATATATATACATACATATATATATATATGTGTGTGTATGTGTATGTATAATACAAAATTCTCTTTTTAAATAAACGAAGCGATGCGCGTATACTTACCCCACTTGCGCCAACCATCATCGTCTTCTCCTCCTCCGCGATGACGTCTCCAATTGCTTTCCATAAGCGAACTACCGCTAGTCCCACGACTTAATTCTTTTCTCGGACTAGTCGAGCCGTTCCATTCTCCCGGATCTGCAGCACCATTTCTCTCTGGCCAGCCACGTTCGCTTTGGGACCTATCAAACGGCCTATTTCTTCCCTATAAAAAAAATCTTTGAGCTTTTTTCATCCTGCGATAGCTTGGTTAAACTTTTGTATCTAATTATGATTTAATCATGATTTAATCAGCGAGTATTATCTCTTTTATTTATACTTTTGTAAAATTCATTAGTAAAAGAATGAGAAATTGATGCAAAAAAAAGAAAAAAAGAAAAAATATATGTATCGAAGAGATCATCTCTTAAGAAAAGAACACAAGCTATATACCTGAAAGGATTGGCCCTCGATTCGTATCCCATCACCGGAATCGTCCCCGAAACCGACCCCGCGTGAATAATGAGACGAGTATAAGCCTCCTCTTCCAGTCCTACCACGTCCACGATCCACGCTGCTACCTCTTCCACGGCTGCCAATACTAGATATTCCATTCCACATACGCTGCAAGATACACATGAATATTATATAACAATTGACAAAAAAAAGATAGTTTTCTCAAATAAACATCTTATTTTTTACAATTTTAAAATAGTAACACAAAAGAAGATTGTCCTGAATAACAAACACTATGTAAACTTATGCTTTTAAAAAAATAGACATTTATTTCTTCTAAATAATGTTGACAAAGCAGCAAAAAAAACATATTTATGTTAGAAACATGAAAAATAGAATAAATATCTATTGAAAAAACTATTCTGTTTTTCATTGACATTTTTTTATAAATCTGAACACAAATATTTAACATTAATATATACACACACATTCATACACATACAAGTATACATACATATGCACGTGTACTTGCATATATACATATATAACTCAAAAAGAGATGATGTTGGATAAAAAAAAACAAAATAAATCAAAAAACGAATTATTTTCAAAGCATAAAAAAGTAAGTTGTTTAGTGAAAAAAAGAATTGAAGTGAGAGCTCCAGTATTAAAGGGGCTCCAGTGTTATATTTTTAGATATCCTATATTCCTAATATAGAACAAAGTAAAAAGGAGGGGACAAGTGAGAGACCAAGATATATAACAATAGAATAATTTGACCTTCCTTCTTTCTACTATTATCAAAAATAACAAAAAAATAAATTAAACTATTACTTTGCATAATAAAAATATAAATTATATAATACCAGAATGCATTGCAATAATTAATATACAATATGTATGTTTAATTACCGTTTCATCCTCTGTCATCTGTGTAAGAGCCAATGGAAATTGAGTTTTCTCTACATACAAGGCTGGAAAATTTGTCAACTGCTCCGGAGCTTTACAATTGCGGTCGAACAAAGCCAACATTTCCTCCCGACCATATCTATGCTCTGCCAACTGATACCGAGGTGTACTCAAGCTTGTGCTTCCTCCGCCACCTCCGCCACTACCACCAGTGCGCAACCTACAAACAATATAATCATATAACTACAAATGTCACAAATATAAATTAATGAACTCCTCAATAGCAATAAAAGTCACGTACCACTCTGGACCAAACTTCATGGAATCCGTCATGATGAACTATCTCCTATAAAAAAGAAAAAATCAAATAAGACCAGTAATTTGTAATACAAAGTATACATCTAGCCGCAAGTGCATTGTTCTATGAAGCCAAGTATTATAAAAGGCATCTTACAAAATATCGAATACGCAAGGTTCTGTTGCATAACATAACACTTCATGTTTCATTTTTTTTTCACCGATATCGCGAAATTTATATATTTATAGGGCCAGATCGATACAAGGGTAACACGCAGAAAAGACAACCGTGGTAATGCAACTTTCTTCGAGGAATCCTGAAGTATCATGAAAATTCGCCGTGCATCGTGGAGGAGAACCTTGTCATCTGTTACATTCAAGTGTGCTTTGAGAGACGCGTGAGTGGGCGACATAATAAAGAGACAGAGCCGTCCCTTATTAGCGATCTCTAATCAGGGCGTACCGACCAACTCGTACCTGTTGCTCGACAGGGTTGCTCGCGAGCTTTGATGGACGAAGAGAGGGAAAGAGAGGGTAAGAGGACGAGAGCGTGGACGAAAATTCTGCGGAGTGACACAACCAGCAGCGACTTATGCGCGACTTCCTCGGAGCATCTTCGGGGAGTCTCGTGACCTGGACGCGTCGTAGGCGAGACGTGTCACGCGGGGGATAATCGCGATCCTGACACGTTTTCGTCCCGATTTCGGGAACGAGAGCCGACGTCGTGCGATCCAAGGTGGCAACGTTAACCAAACTTTTTTTTCGCCCCGTGCGAACATCGGGGAGGATCGACGCGCGCGACGTGGACCGCGGTCCCGGGATCAGCGGGGAAGAAACGACGGCCGGGCTCGGGGGAGGGTCGTGGATGGGCACGACAACGGCGTTTCGGGTCTTCGGGACGAGATACCTTAGCTGATCTTCGAAATCACTGAGTACAGCGATACAACACACCAATATGGCTGAATTTTTTTTTTTTTTTTTTTTTGGAACTGAGCGCATGCGAGAGTTTCATAGCGGAGTGGTGGTGGGGGTGACGACACGCTCGCGAAAAGTCACTAGAATCGAGACGGAAAAACATAAGTGGCGCATGCGCGTCAGCGCAGTGGCGACCAATCAGCTCCCGGCCACGAACGCAGGCGCCAAATTCAAATATGAAATTTATTCTATTTTACGATATATGAAAACACAAAATTAGATAAAAAGTACATATATAATAATTGTTATATAATACATATAATAATAATTATATATATATATATATATATATATAAAATGAACTAATTATAATAAAACTAATTAAAAAATTGATTTTTAAATTAGTCTTGTTTTTCTGACAAGCATTATGTATTATATATATAAATTTTTAAGACACACAATTAGATAATGAAATACATATATATAATAATAATTATAATAAAAATAATAAACTAATTAAAAATTGACTTTTAAATTAGTTTTTGACAATAAACATTGTAAATTATACTATTGTTAACAAATGTCAATCTCTTTTGAAAAAATATACAATCTATATATACAATTTGAACAATGTCCATAATTTTGTATACAGATCAACATATTAAAATTAGTTATGTATCTCTTTTGAAATAGCCTAATGGATATCTAAATTGTTTCCTTGCGGTCAATTTCTAATAAGTGGTTATTGCTCATCTAAATAATGAGAATGCATAGACATAGCTAATAAAAGCAAGCATAAAAATGTTCTGTCGAATGTGACAAAAATAAATTGATTTAACCAAGCTCATCGTCTTTATCTAATGTTTACTGTAAATTGTCTCTTCTTTCTACTTTTGATATATGTATTTTTCTTTCGTTACTTTGCCCTGTCTGACTTGTTTACGAGCGATCGCGCACGTGTGTGTAGAAAGGAGGGGATGACATCCGATCAAGGAAGCTTCTGATTGGCCAATCTAGGAAGAAATCCTAAGTCGCAAGTAATTATGGGTAATCGCAACGTGGGCAAAGAGCACGGCTTCCGGAAATTTATAATTCAAAAAATAACTGAAGAATATGCAACATATTTTAGATACATAAATATATATATACATATATGAGTCAAGATAGCCCAAAGCTAATTAGCTTTCGTCATATTATGATCATTCTTTTGAATAAATAGTGAGTTAATATAAAGAAAGAGTTCTATTATATTCAAATATAAAAAACTATTTACTGATGTAAAGCTAACTACTACTATTGATACTACTACTACTACTACTACTACTACTGATACTACTGATGTAAAGCTATACATAAAAATTAGAAACTTTATTTTTTAAAATATATATTTATCCAGCCACATTAAATAGTTTTCTGAGATCTTTACTGGTAAAAATCAGTATACAGCAAAACAATAATGTTTGACAAAATTCAAATAATCACGATAAAGAAAATATTTGTAAATAAGACGGTCTCGCACAGCCGCAATAATTCTAAATCTTAACTATAAAAAGTACACACACATTCTGCTAATAGTGTATATATATACAGACTTTTAAAAATACCTGAGCAACAATTCAATATTTAATCTTTAGGAGAACACATTAATCATTTTAAATGTTTACATATACTTTATTAAAAAAAAAAAAGAATAGTTTCTTATTTTGCCAAATAAGTTAATTTTATCAACGTAGTATTCAGTCTGTTCAGTCTGAAAGATACAGTATAACATAATCGGTTTCCCTTTGGTAAACTCTGTTTCTTGATTTATTATAAATTGATGAAAAAATATTATATGTGAATTCAATCTCTAACTCGTAGGCCCCAAATACTGGTTCTTCGAATTCCGACTGTTGGTCTTGCGACAGAACTATAGAGGTATTTGTTAATTTCTGGCACTTCACGGCAACTAGTTTGTAATGACTTTAGCACTGAGTCCGACATTAAGCCGAAAACGTCTAAATATAATAAACATGGCATATGAGCTAATCTTATATATGCAGACTGCGGAATGCTGTAACAACGGCTGAGCGATAAGTGTTCCAGTCTTGTAAAATTTAATAAATTATGAACAGTATGAATCGTCAGCATAGCGCAATCACTCAAATCTAATTCTATAATATCTGGACATCTTTTTGATAAGTCTTTCACATCTGAAATTAGCAAAAAAGAAAAAAATATTTTTCAAATATATGTGTGAATGTGAAAGTAGATAAATATCAGAATTCATTATATACTTACTATCATCAGTTATTGTTTTTCTACAGCCTGCTATATTGAAGCGTATAATGGATGCTGGTAATGTTTTACAAAGTAAAGTCATACATTCACTATCCAAGCAACACCATGCCATGTTGAGGGCAGTTAAGCTGAAATATAATTTAATCATGTACAAGTTAACTGAAATGCAATGCACATATGTACTATATACATATAGAAATAGATAATCTTACTTTTGGAGTGTCATTAAATCCGTAATACACTCAGCATTCATATTCTTGCACATTGTTAGATTCAAAACTTCTAATTCAGTGTTTTGACTAATGGCTTTACAACAGTCTCTGTTTAGTGTACACTTTTCCAATGATAACTTTTTCAGATATTTACATTTGGATAATAATGCAGCTAAACTGGTTGGCGATATAACTGCCATGGATAGATCCAAATATTGTAATTTACTGATGTACAAATTGTTAAGAACTTCGCTACCCTCGTAAAAAATAGGATCTGCGATCTCTGCCTGTGCCAATCTTAAAATTTGTACCCCTCGAGGTAGTATATAGCCTAATGTACCCTCGCTTAAAACCTTACTACCTAGATCTAATCTAGTCCATAATGCTTCGTCACGAGCTATTTGACACCAACGTTTGCATACAAGCATAGAGCGTACCTACATGCAAGTAATATATGTATAAATAAATGAAACATATACAAATATAAATTAAACATATTGCAAACATTTACAATTTTCCAGCTTATAAATATTTACTTACCAAATATTTTTTAGGTAACCATTTTAATATCATCAAAATTATTTCATCCGATAGCTTGTTAAACTTATCTTCACCTTCGATAGAAGGCTTTCTTTTTCTCCTAAATAGACAAAACTGATCTAAACAAGCCTGCTCACTCTTATTGGCAGAGGTATTCATCTTTTCTTTAGTAAAGCTTGCTTTTGAATCCCCATAATAATCAGCTTCAACTCTTGAAGAATAGCCAGATTCATTTTCTACACTAGCAAACACAGCTAGATCATCCATATCATATGAATCTTGTTGTATCCTACAATTCAAATAAAAATAAATAAATGAAAAAGACAAATAGCTCCCTTTAAAATAGCTTCCTGCTCTTACAAACCTCTCTGTATTAACTGTTTCCAAACTAGAACTATAAACTTCTTGATATTCAAAGCCGCTACTTTCATTTGGCGATGATTTTTTGTTATTAACTAGACTGGCTGGTGAAATTACACATTCTGTGGATGGTTTTGTATTTTCACAAATCATTACACTATCTTCTAACATACCAACTCCCATGTCCTCCAGGATTTCAGGTTCTATAAGACTGGCATTTGCAGAGTATGACCATCTTGTATTACTTTGAGACTCGCTATTGACAGTACTGTTTAGATTGTTATTGCTGCCATCATCTAAGCGTAACCGTTTGCTACAAACATAAAGGATTCTTTTCAGTGCAACATACACATATATTACCTTACTTATAAACTGAGATTGTAAATAAATTATATAAACCTGTTCCACCAAGATATGATAATGAAGAAGAGTCTTTGTTCACTATTATATTTTATATTTTATTTTATATTTACTCGTTTAAAAAGGACAAATATAGACAGTTAGATTTAATCACAGAGGTCAACGTGATATATCTCAATGATACAATTATATAAATAAAAAATTATACTTCTTATAAATCTTTATGAACTTAATTGTATACTTGTTTTTTTAGATACATTGTTTTAATAATAACAAATATAAAGTTGACAAGAGTTATATAATTTATATAGTCACTAAGGGAAGAAGGAACAAACAATAAAAAAATTATCCTCTATATAAATAAATCTTTGCTCCAAGTTCACATCAAATATGCATGATTTGTCGTTGTTTACTTTTATACAGAACTTTCGTTTGCTCGAGATATTATCATAGAAAAATCTCACACTTGAAGGTTTGATAGCTGCAAGAAATTAGAAGACTTGAAATATTTTTCTTGGCAGACGACTTCAATTCTCACGAAATGTAGTAAATTTCCTCGAATAACTAAAGCCGATTAGATAGAAGAGATATAAACACAGAAGATAGAAACTGACAGTGTGGCAATTTCTGGGTTAACACTCTCGGCCGTAAAAAATCTCGTTGTATCAAGTAATTTCGTACGGAAGCACAACAAAAGCAGCAACGGTCTACTGTGCCTTTCAATGCTATCCGCGGCTATTCCCTTAAAAGGATCGGGCTAGATCAGGTCAGAGAAATACGAGCACATACCTGGGAGAGAGTGAGAGAGGGAAAGAGAAAAAAAAGAATCACCAAGATGCTTTCAATTTCTGCGGGTGTGCAACACCTGCCTGAGATTTCCCTTCCTCCTCCCGTCTCATCATCCAAAAGCAACAGAGTGAGGTTTTCGTTAACCAACCAAAAAAGGAGCATAATCGCGAGGATGAAGATTTCTCTCACCTGTCGGGCGGCGAGAACTCCTCTGATTTCGGCAGGATGGAGTCCTCCTCGTAGACTCGTGCGTGCTCGATCACATCGGAATTCATCTCTCTTTCCTTCTTGGGAATTATAGCCCTTCTTCTCCTTCGGTTCCGGTCTACTCCGTTTTTGTGTCCCGCGCGGAACACCGACGAAACGATCGTTCACCAACGGCTGCCGGCAACGCACAACGGCGGGACACGCGACCGCCCCGCGAGCGCTGACAGGTTGGCGGCGAGTCGCCGCCGCTGATTGGTCGGCCGCAAAACGGCGGGAACGCAGCGAGATATCGAAAACGCGCGCACGCGCCTGCGCGATGCGCAACACAGCTGACGCATTCTGTCGATTAACGGATACCCGGGTATCCGAGGCGATTTTAAATATTATCAAAACACAAAATATCTTTGCATCATTCAGAAATCATTTAAAATATAACGGGGAGGAATAAATATTTATTAATTTAACAATTGTTTGATGCCCGCATACTTTTTAATATAAATTTTTGGCTCTTAATTCTATTAATTCTATTATTTTTCGATATCTATACGTATAATTCTTAACAAATGTACATGATTATTTCTTAAATTGATTACGCGCGTATAATATTCTCTAATTTTATATATGCATAATTATATGAAAATATAAAAAGTACAAAGATTACACTATTAATCGCATTTCGATTTATTAGATTATAATCACTGAAATACAATTATGTCAATATATCATAGTGAATACTTGCTAAATTGAATCGTTATAATTATCAATTTATTGTTTAAGACCTTTCAACTTTCGATCCTCGGCGTAAATTTTCATCTGAAAGCTCACCAGGTCCGATGTTCTCTTATGAAAATTGAATCGCGTGTCCTTCGGATGTATTCCTTTGTCGTGCCACCAACCATAACTGAAAATAATCAAAATTAATTTCGTTAGAGCTATAAATAACTGAGAAATTCGTCGATAAGTCAGGATTACGTGTGGCTGGTCAAGAATGGTGACTGATAAAGACGCCTCGGATTTCCATCCTGTTCCGCAGCAATTCTCTCGAGCGTGTCATTTACGTCAGCATTCCGCGCGTCCTCGAATTCCCTCGAGTAGAATTTCGGCGTGACGAAGTCCGCTGTAATTTATTTTACACCTCGCGTGCGCATTTATTCAGATCGTATTACGCTTGGTTCACGAGAATCGAAACCAAAAAAATATGTACGATTACATCGCAAGCATAGATATCAAACAACGCACAAGCGCACGCTATTCTTCAAATACTTAAACTCGAATATTTTTTGACAGAAATCAGCTGATAACTGTCAAGAAATTAATCGAGTTTGAAAAACTATATGTTGTTATTTTAATTTTTAAAATTTATTATTATTTTAAAATTTAATTAGTAAATTAACGCTTCAATCAACTAATTTCTGTCAAAAATATTAATAAAGCGTTTACTAATTAAATAAATATTTTATAACAATAATATAATAAATATATTAATAAAACAGTAATATGTTGTAAATAATGTTATATAATACTTTAAATTCGACTAATATACTTTTGACAGTTATCAGCTGATTTCTGTCAAAAAATATAACCAATTTAACAAATTAATATTACAAACTGAAAAATTATATAGAAAATCTTTTGAAATAATAAATCTAAGAACGTATTATGAAAATCACAAATTATATATATAATTTGATCGAAATTGATATGGTGTCATCAATAATTTTGAAATATTTATATTTATAAAATATTAATAAATTGCAAAATTCAGGCCTGTTTAATTTTCAAGTTAAGCGCGTCAATCGACCAATGACAGTTGAGCGCTGCTTACGATTACGGCGCGACGCTCGGCCAATCACAGCTGAGCGCTGCTTACAATTACGGTGCGACTCTCGGCCAATCACAGCGCGAGTTCAACAACTTGAGATATTCAAAAGCGAGATTCACTCAGTTACGCGCCTCAACTACCGTCTTCGGGTCTTCGGTCGTGTCGGTGGTGGTCCGAATTTAAGTGAATTTCGCGAGTGTTTTGCGATCCTGCCTGGATCAGATAGTATTACTTGCGATACAGATCGAGAGGGAATAATCGAACGTAAGCAGTAAGGCCCGAACGACGATGATGCGATCGATCCGTGCACCAAATGCATCGGATATGCATTTGCCGGACGCGAGTGTCGGGAGTGCCATATATATATATTAAGTGATTTGTGTGTTTTATTTCGGTCGGCTTAAAGTGGAGTAAATCCACAAGTGTCTGTGTGAAGTGATAGTGAGCGTGTTGCTGGTGCTTCACCAGTTCAAGGTCATTGTGGATTACGAGAAGAAAGTAAGGCTATCCCCTCCCACCTCCTCACCTCTTCCCTATCAGGATTCATCGACCGGTGAGAGCATTCGATTAATTACACCTGCGTTGTCAATTGTTTATTCATGCGTTCCCGATGATTGTTTAATCACGCTTTCGTGATCACTCTCACGATATTTCATCGTGAAACATTGATTTCCGTATTTCATTGGAAAGTGGACGACAAAGCATCAATATACGGGTGAACAAAATGGCGGCGAAGTATTGATTGTAGATCGTGACAGTCGGTAATCGTTGATTTATCCTGCGAGGTATCGTTACTTCGAATAGCGTTTGACAGGTGGCGGCACGGATGTCTCTGCATTCTCGATCGCGACCCGCGGTGCAATTTATATAGAGAAATTCCCAAATATTATAATTTCGATATATTGTTATCATATGACATAAAACATTAACTTTGCTTTTTGAAATTTAAACTGAGTTTAAAGAACTAAAATATATTACTTAAAACACATATTATTATTTTAATTTTTAAAACATTATTTTAAAATTTAATTAGCAAATAATCAGCTGATTTCTGTCAAAAATATTATTAATGCGAAAATATGCTAATTAAATTTTGAAATAACAATATATGTTAAAAATTAAAATAGTAATATGCTGTAAATAATATTTTATAACACTTTATCTTTGATCAATATTTTTTGACAGAAATCAGCTGATAACTGTCAAAAAAATATTATTCGAGTTAAAGTATTATAACGTATTATTTACATTATTATTTTAATTCTTTCTAATATATTTTGATTTTAAAATTTAATTCTTTAATAAGCTGATTTCTGTAAAAAAATAATATTGCAGTTTAAATAAACTTTATATTATTTTTTTAATATTATTCTCTTTAATATAAAATTGAAGAATAGCGCGCGCTTGTATTATCTTTAATATTATAAATAATTGCAATTATAATATAACAGTAGATTTTAAATAAAAAATTAAATATCATTGAACACACAAAAAAGGGAAATTATTAATCGGAAGGAAAAAAACTTAATTATCTAAGACAATAGATTAAATATCTCTCTTTTTAACTGTGCAAAAAAATATTAAATCAGAAAACTTATTCGCAAAGTATGCATATAACCGATTTATGACTTTAAAAGTCTTCTATATAATTGTATGATATAAATTTTCTTGTAATGAAATTATATTATGTTCTTTCTGAGAATTGAATCCCCCTTGTTCGATTAAAATCGCGTAAGTTAATTGCTAAGAAGATTCTTGTACTTTTTGTAAATTAACTTATTCATATATACGATGACATATATCTTCAACGCAATTCCAAGAAAACGTACCGTCCGTTTTTGACACGCTAGCTTTGGATTTTCCGGTTTGCTCCTTCTTCGAGAAACACAATTTAAACGGCGGTCTCTCCGATTTCTTCGACGTTACCGGTCTCGAGTCGTACGAATCCGTCTGCTGTTCGGACATATTTCGGAAATACGACGACGAACTTCCGCCCCGCCCCGTCAATACGCGACTGAGCTGTCTTCGTCTCTGGAATTTATTTAAGGACGTGCCGCCGAGGAGATGCGTGCCTGCGAGTCACCTATTTGATCAATATCGCCTGCGAAATAACAATTGTTGGAAATAAGGGTGACAGGGCGTCTTCGACTTGGAAAACTTATAATTTTACAAGTTTCGTGTTTTCGCGCTATATCCGACAGCCGTAAAAAGAAATCAAATAGGATATGAAGAATAATATTATAATAGAAATCAGACGAAAGGAAGATTTCGAGGAATAACGAGCCCAATTTTTTTATATTTGCCTCTTTCTTTATTTTATTTTTTTTTTTTTTTTTCGATTTTTCCCATTAATAATTCATATATTCCAGTAAAGTATATGGCTAATAATGGTTAAATCTGACGCACCGATATTACAAATTTTTCTCTCTCTCTCTCTCTCTCACTCTCTCGATTCTCTTTCATTTGCCTTTTTATCGACTTTATTATACCTGTCCTCATTCCTTATCGTCGTTAACATCCGCGCTATCTCTGTTCACGCCTCTGTTTGCCGATTTTTTTAAACGTCTACGTCTCATACGAATAAAGTTCTCGAGAAGAGAAGAGGCGGCCGTTTTCTATGATTTTTTTCTTGCACAGGAAAACTCTTTTTCGATAAAGTTTTGGTCTTGCTCACGTGCTTTCTGTCTGCCATCACACACATATTCTTTCTTTCAGTCTCTCTTGTATAATACAAAAGAAGTATTTCCTTCAAGTATATCCTCGTATTGACTCACAAAATTATCTCGTAGGACGTTTCCTTACGCCGATTTTTTTTTCCGTAACGCTTTGTAAATTTCTCAGTACATCGTCAAATATCACAATCGTCTCTCTCACACACAATTTTTTCCCCGTACTTTGTATCAAAGAACTGATGAGACCGGTTGCATCATATATATCACTTCAATGAGAGATGATACAGTGATACGAAAAAGCTCGCGACGTTATTACATGGTGTATAAATCGCTGTTATACTACGGATATTACTACTGATATATGACAATAACTCTGTTGTTGCGTAATCAAAGAGTACGTGCCACCGAAAAAAAATTTATTGAATTCGAATAAATATATTTATTTCAATACTGCCTAATAAATCATTTATTTGAAACTAATAATATTGATTTGACGTGAAAAATATTTATTTGATATAAAAAAATCCTTTTCAAAACAGACAAATATTTATTTGCTTCCAATAAATGATTTATTAGACAGTATTTAAATATATATTTATTAATTTAATAATTTTTTTTCAATGTACTAATTGGAGGATCACCGTGCGATGACATTCCATCAATCTCTCACGCTTTCTCTCTCTCTCTCACACACACACACTTTCTCTCTCTCTCGTTCTCTGCTTCATAGAATAGTTTCAAGATTTGTCAACAACGGATCTCGTTAATCCCGAAACCATGCAACTGCAATTAAACATCGGAAAAGGTCAACAAGGTAGACTCTTACGCGATCGCTGGTTGCTGATTGATATAGAGGACGAATTTCCTTACGATTTTATCACGAAGAACGTCTCGAGTCCTTATAGAAAAATATTTGCGATCCCTCCAAGGATACTGGAGAAGGATTTGAGATTAGTTTCCGATCGGCAGTGTTTCTTCCGGACAGGAGCAGATGTATCATATATATGTATCTTTTCCCTTACCGATTCCTCTTTTTTTTTTGTTCCTAATGATTGGTCGTATTCGAATTGTACGTTCCGTAGTATCCTTAAAGCTATAATATTTTTCTATATAGGATATAACCGATCCGAAAAAAATATCCTTCAGCTTTCAATGGAGCGCGTTTCGTTGTCGACTGAGGCTAGTGAAATGCAACTCTCCATTTTAGTCCAAGGGGAGAAAAATCGGCGTCGTTTTCTTTGGAGAACAAAGAAACGATCCGATGGATCGATAACTAGAAATCGATTCGGATATACAATCGAATCTTCGTATCTTTAATGAACAATAATTCTCTATTTTTTTCTAATGAAAAAAGTATTAAAATCGAACTATATAAGGAAAAACAGAATTCAAATCAATCGTGAAATTCAATTTGCGGAATTCCTACTCATTATTAACGTTAAAAAGAAAGGACACGTCGATTCGATATCATATATGTATATCCGATCACCTTCGCCGATGTACAGAGTTATTTTATAAAAAGTGTAAAAAGCATTGATATAATTTCTCGAGATATTTATAGTCGTACCTCTGTATTTTTGGATTCGTCACGTGGGCCTAAACATTTTTTATCATTTTCAATCTATACTCCTTCTCAGTCTCTTATTTCCTCCCTATTTTTCTTTTAATGCACAAAATAAAAATGTCATTTTTTTTTGTTTTACTTCACTTAGAATACAGAGGTTCGACAGTATCTCAGGGAAAAAATATCACGACTATTTAGATATTATTAGGAATACGACATTTCACTCCTGTTTTCCTTTACTCGAAATGACCCCTTCCCGACAAAACTTCTTTTTTTTTTTTTTTTTATACTCATTAGAAGAGACCCGCGCACGCGTATCCGGATGTTAACACGAAAGTTAAAGGATTTGTACTCGTATATTTATATACGCTTGTGGCCGACTTTGAATGTCGACGCGCAAGGACGGCGTAAACGTACGAAAATTAAAATATGACCTCTCTTTCTCTCTCCCTCTCTCTCTCTCTCTCTCTCTCTCACGTCTGATCTGGAACCGCGACCATGTCGAATATATATTATTTCCCCCCAAATCCTGTCGGAATAACGTCAGAAGTAATTTTCGATCCGCCCCGACATACATATTATCTTAATTTATAATAAAATTATATATAAATCTCTCACTTTCATCTCTACATTCTACATTTTTAACGAATTCTTTCGACATGGACACGATTTTACACAAATCTATCTATGTCTCGGGGGGCTAAGATCTTCCCTCTAAATTATCATACATTTTTTACGAACGAGATTCGTGAGACGATTTAATCCTCGGAGCCTCGAGAGCGAAGTTCAAATTTTTAAATTCCAATAGAAAATATTCGTTTTTTTAAGTTAATTTTTAACTCTTTTTTTATATAACTTATTTCGCATTCGGTTTATCAATAAAATCGAGCTTCCGAGAATTAATCGCGGAAGAAATTCAACATTCTTCCTCATGTGTTCGCTTATATATAAATGATCTCTTAGATTACGATGAAACGAGATTAATCTGACTGAGCGTCTCGATCTGTTTAACGATCATGAAACAAAACAAAATAAAAATAAAAAAGTAAGTACGATCGAGGGATACGTGTAAATGTGTATATATGAACGTGTCAAGGGAAGAGTATGTAGTAAATAAAGTAAATTATTTTTTAATATTTCACTTAAAAAATATACATTTTAATGATCAATCATGAGGGATTAATGACAAAGATTTTTCTTTCTCTTATTCGAATCACGCCATTGCCTGGTTGTTCGCAATCAGATTTATGGATAATTCGAGTCGTATAGGAATAATTACTGCTCTGGGAATCGAAACCAACTCGCATTGCGCGAGCATTTTTTTTTTTTTTTTTTTTTTTTTTTTTTTACGTTTTCTTGGACGCGACGATCGTGAATCGTGGAGCGATCAACATGTTTTTTTTTTTTTTATATAGTTTACAGGTATAATAAAGGTTCTTTTGTACGTTCGTAATATCCAGTCTCAACATTTACATGTTTCGCTAGGCTAAAACGCGCGCCACTTAAATACGAATAAAAAGTACGTCGAAAAATTAGCGCCTCCTGCTCACGATGTGACATTTAGAATCCGACAAACAGTCGTTCTCTCGGTTTTACATTACTCGAAGAAGATTTGCACGGCGAATATCTAATTTTATCGGTCAGATTTTTATAATTAAAATTGAAGAAAGAAATTTCGCTTTGTGACATTTCTTACAGAAAAGAAAATAGGACGAGAAAATACGCGCGTGCTGAATATATATTTTTCAGTAACGGAAATAGAAAATCGTACGTGAGCTCATTATCAAGTGGATTTTTAGCCCTTGTTTTCCAACATTTTCTCTCTCTCTCTCTCTCTCTTCGCTGAACTCAAGAGTGACTTCGGTTTACAAAAACGTCTAATACTAAGCAGTAAGATATCGCACCAAACGCAAGGAATGAAAGGGAAGTTATCGCATCCCCCGACATCTCTCCCTTTCTCTCTCTCTTTCGAGATAGAATTGATCAAACGAAATGTCGAGAAATGCGATACAGCCGCCTCCCTTTCTCCGCAAATCTCCGTGTCTTCTCAACCGTGTCAAAAAAATATATCGTTATATATCCTACATACAAGTGGGTATGAAAAATAAAAAATATTTTTTGGCCATTTTCCGTTTTATAACAATTTTTTTTCTCGGGACGCGTGGAAGAAGGGACCGTGTGACGTGGGAGAAGGATTCGGTGATCGATATTCGGAAGGAGAGGAATGTTTCGATTATGCGAGGAAAATCGGTTTTAGAGAAGATCGTGAAAATGGGATGCTTAAAATGTTTGAGGGATAGGACGATGTCGGGAAAGATGAAAGGGAGGAGGAGGGGAGGTAGGGGGGAGGAAGGGGATGGGGTAAAATTCGGGGAGCGTTATCGATCTACTCTTTTTAGGATATAGGCACTATAGCTACTAGATAAATCTTATTTACATTCTGCAAGTATTTTTTTTTTCCTCTTACTATCCCACCTCTTTGATCGATATATATATATATACTTATATATCGACTACGATTACAAGAATATGAAAAGTGCGATCGAAATCTGCTCGTGTCGAGTCGCCGCACACTCTTTTTTTTCTTCGACAGAGATTGAAATCCGAAACCAGAGACCATCGAGCGACGCAAATAATTCGCGCTCGATTAATATCTCTATAATTTTTTTTTCTTTCATAAAAAGGAAGATGCGCTCTCCTCTTCATAAAGATATGTGTCGATCGCGCGCGATCTCGCGGCGGGAAAAGTAAACTCCACGAAGAGAGTGTGCGGTTCTAGAAGATGACGAGAGGAACGGGATGCGATGCGTACCGAGATATTTATGATACGTGATCATTTTTTTTCTTCATCCTTCTTGCCTTTCCTTTCCTCGGAAAAAAAGGTAAGAAATTTTCGCTCGTTCCCCTCTCGTATATCTAGGATCTTATCTTCCGCACCTAGGCGCGACACGAATCAACTTTCTCTCTCTCTCTCTTTCTTTCTTTCTCTTACATCCTCCATCGTCACAACTGCTCCGCAAAAAGACTTACAACACTCTGCGTATTACAGGGAAGAAAATGAGAATGATAGCGTTCGCATTTCGCGTGTATGTTGCTGACCGACCGCTGCGCTATACCGAGCACTCATCAAAGATCATATATATATTATGGTCCAGCAGCCACGGCGAAAAGCATTATCACAATTTCAATCTTCGAAACAATCGTTATGTCATTCCTTTTCTTTCTTTTTTTTTTTTTTACTCTTACGATGCGTGTGTGTGAGCGAATAAAAGTCTGTGAAAAAATTGGATCCGCTTGTATTCGAGATAAATGTGTGGGGAGATGTGTAAAAAAAAAAGGATCAAAGTAAACAATTAAATCTGATACTCCGATCGGTATGACTCAGCGGTACCTTTATGCTATATAAACTTACGACAAAGGTGCTTTTTTTCTTCTTAAAGGCTAGTAATTAGTTTCATTTTTCTCCTCTCCTCACACATACGCACTTTCACACATACACACACGCATAGATACGCACACATACACACATCTAATATATATATTCTCGCGCTTTATTATACAATCTTAAACTCGTTACGCTTACAGATCTGCGTATTATGGCCATTTGTATATTTTTTTCTTTTCCTTTTATATTTTCTTTCTCACGCTCCCGCACATTCCGACATTTTTCTTCTTCACACACTTTTATATATATATACTCTCTTATATTTATATATATTACTTCTCTCCTCTTTCGTTTTTCTTTTTCTTTTAAAAGAACGTGTTCAACTTATACACTTCGAGTCTATATCGATACTTACACGCACGCTCGATACAAGAAAAAAATCTCCCTCATTTCGCGATAGAAAAAGATAATGAACAATTTTAGAGCGTATGTTTAATTGCTTGATTGGATTGTGTATCGTATGAAACTTCGCGCAAGACAAAGTAGGAAAAAGACACAAGCGGGAGAAATTAATTTTTTTTACGACAAATAATTTCTGACACGCTACGGCTGATTAAGGAACAAAGTTATTTTTCTTGACCTTGCGCAAAGAGGCCGATAAATATATTATTATAATCTTCCAACACTTTCTCTTATATATAAGAGAGCTCGCATTTGTATATTGCTTTCCATACCTCTATATCGTAGCTTTTCTATTTACACGGAGATTTTCATATATACATATACAATATATACTATATATATATATATATATATATATATATATATATGTATATATATATATATGTATATATATATATATATATATATGTATATGTATATATAATATACGCGTATACATGTATATACACACACATACACATACATGTATATAAAATCCCATCTCTACGCGTGCGCTATAAACACTAATCTTTATTCTTACCAGTACTTACAAAGTACAAAGAAGACAGAAGTTGACAAAAGCCGTACCCGCCTACAGCAAGCGAATGACTTTCTAAGAAAGTTTCCAATGATGCAATTATAATGTACAAACGCATATTACACGTTCGCAGTCCTCCCTCGCCTTCTTTCTCTCAAAATTACAAGATTCTGACGTGTTACAATCGCGGAGAGGAACTGCGCGCTCTGTAAATCTTACAAATAGAGCTCTTTACATTTTTCTCCCAGCTTCTCTCAAAATTGTACGAGCGTATGTTTATGTAGAATAACGTACGCAGCGGTCTCTTCCCAGCTGCCCTGAGTAAAATCGGTCCACCATCATCAGCGAGAAGTGAATGAGAGTAATTCTTTATTCCTTTTTCTTTTCTCTATAAAATGCGCGATTATTAGGCAAAAGAAACAAAAAAGTATCGACAATTTGTCTCTACACGAACCAAAGTGAAACTTCTTTTATCACGCAACCTTTTGTTTTCGTGGATAATTAACAAAACTTTAGAAGAACGCAAACTCTATTTGTTTAGAAAAAAAATATATAAAGCATTATCGGGGAATTGAACTCTCTCTCTGGCGTTAACACAATTTTAAAACAATTTTAAAGTCGATAAAATTCTACGAAAAATTTGTATAACATCATTATTCCCGATAAACGTGAAATTTAACAGAAATGCGAAATTGCATAGTTAAAGTTTTTGAGCGGCCATTCTCTCTTTTTTTTCCATCCACTTCCGCGCTTCCACCATCCTTTGAATTGTCGCTTTGAAATCTCGCGTTGACTTATGACCTATCGCGTTTCTATTAATCTATAATATGAGCAAACTATAATCTGCACCTGTGGGCTGAGACACGTTCACTCCGTTTATTCCGATCGAGAATATATACATATATGTATACACATATATATGTATATATAAATATATGTATATACATGTACATATATGTATGTATGTATGTATATTATGGCTCGAATATACTTGAAACAATATCAAAAAAGCAGTAAAAGGAACATGTTTTTCGCCTTGCGTCAGTTGTGTTCGTCGATTTTTTTTTTGTTTTTTTTGTTCTTTTTAACTGAAAGGGATTTCGCAAACAAATAAAAAAAAGAATATTTACGTAATAAAGCATTCGTGCGTTAGAGCAGCACACGAATTATCACGATTACGAGGGTCTTCACCTTTGCTCCCTCTTTTTTTTTTGTTAATATAATCTGTCTACACATAAACGCGCGTTTTGTATTTTATCGTACGTGTTTGATACGTAGCGAAAGGATAAGATCGCATCATCAAATGCACTTCCGAATCATCTACGGGATGTTTTGCAATACCGGTACTCGTTTGCATATGAATGCTGACACGTAAACACGATTAAAATATTTGAAAGTCGATTTTCCATTCGCGAATGACGATGACACAATTGTGTGCTGGATGCGCGTGTCGTGTAGATAGCTCTGTACAATATGTAACAATATATATAACTGCGTGAGTAACTAGTAACACGCAGCAGCAAAGATTACGCGATGTTTGATGAAATCAGATTTGCTTTTATTTCCAAGACTTGTTCGCGCGTCGAATGCAACGTCGAACTGCGACATAATATTATCTTTATATTTTCTTTTTTTTGTACCGATCATGATAAATATTTTCCTTGCGTATCGCAAGGATATGCTTAGATGCACAGTTGCAAGCGCATATATTATATGATTATTACAATCAAGATTTACACTCTAAACAAAAATACCTATGTAAATCCCTTATTTTATACATTACTTTAATAGTTATGCTACATAATGTTACAACTGTAATATGCTGCGTCGCGTATTATTCAATCAATTTGCAGTTAATAGTCGACAACTGGAATTCTATCTTGGAAAGAAAAAATAATCTGGTTGTCATCAAACTGTCTGCTAAAAAAAAAAGAAACAAAAATTTAAAACAAAAGAAGCTTAACAGCTACTGAAAAGAAGGAAAAGATATAACGGTGAGATAACTCTTTTCGATCATTTTACCCGGCGAAAATACTTTTTTTTTTTTTAAATTCAATTATTATCGCTGTCGTCAACTATCGTAAATGGATTGAGCCTGTTCTCTCGTTACATCCGCGCAGAATCAGAGACTCGACTTACGGCTATACGTTAGCTTCCTAAGCCATTGGAAAAAAGTATTGTACATCGTTCGCGTCCTCACGTAGCTACAAAGAGACAAGTGATACTGTAATCTGTAATGAGAAAGAGCGATCGGCGGTACTAGGGCGACCTCTCAGCCACTCGGGGACGCGATCACCGCTTTGCCGGTCTGACGTTCGAGTAGATCGGAACGTGCCTTCAAACGACGCTGCATCAGACGACTCTCGGTGGGCGGCGATAGCCCGAACCAGTTCTGCAGCGAGTCTTTGCCTATGACGCGATTCTTACCGATGATCTTCGTGTCGTTCAGATCGACGCTGGAACGCCCGGAGCAGGACTTTTGTCGCGTGCCGTCGAACTCGCTCGAGGAATGCGTCGTCAAGTGCTTGCTGTTCTCGGACAATTCGCTGCTCGAGTCGGACATGTGACCGTACGGATGATTGTCGTCGTCCGTAGAGGACGTGGACAGTCTAGGCTCCCGGTTCTCCGTCAGCTCCTCGAGATTTAGAGAGAAATGCTGAAGTACCACACGATTCACAGCCATTGCGGACTCAGCGAACGCTGAGAGTTCTCTTGCGGAGTTGTTCCTCCTGAAAGCAAATTTGAGAATGCATTTTATTTGAGATGCATTTTATGTAGAGCGATTGATAGAGAGAATTTTTTCTCTTAATATATTTACCCTGAAAATCGTGATAATCAGGGGACAATATGGTATTGGAAGAATTTTATATACGCAATAAAAAAATATTAATATCTATCACAATATTATCCCACGATTACCATGATTTTCAGGGTAAATTCTAAGAGAAAATTTTCTTCGTGTAGAAAAAAGAAAAAATGTACCTTATGATATGAGGCGTGGTAAGTGATCGATCGCCAGTTTCGACGGAAGTCGGTCCGGGATTAATCCAGGGATGCTTCAAAATACTATCGGCGCTGAACCTCTGGTGTGCCTCCTTGACGAGCAAGCCTCTGATCAAATCCTTCGCGTCCTCGGAGATGCATCTCCACTCCTTGTCCGGAAACTCATATCTGCCTTCCTGGATGCTGGTGAACAGCAGTTCCTGACAGGCCTGACAATTCTCTCCCCTGCCCCAGCCGCAGTCGGTGCCGCAGTTTCCGTAGAAGGGCGGATAGCCGCAGAGCAGAATGTACATGATGACCCCGAGGCTCCAGAGATCGCAACGTTTGTCGTAGTAATTGGCCTCGCCGATGAAGGCCTCGACTACTTCCGGCGCCATAAACTCGGCGCTGCCCACCGGCGTCAAAAGTTGCGGCGTTGCCACAGGACTAGACAGCGAGTTGTTGAACTTGATTCCTGATCCAAGATCAAAGTCGCATACCTTGATCGGCGTCAACTTGTCCGGATACACGCACAAGAGGTTCTCGGGCTTGAGATCTCTATGAGCGATCCCTGAAATACACATGATCAATTTATATATTTCGTTCAACAATTCCTATCTTGCTCGTATAACTCGTTAAGGCTCTTGGCTCCTCGCCGATCATGTTAGATTGTGACGTCAGAGGCGAGAAAATCTTATAATAGTGTTTCATCAAAATATCTTTTAATGAAAAAATATCTGGAGGATCCAGGAGCCTTAAATCGTTTCGTTATTAAAAATTACCTTTCTTATGAAGAAAGTCCAACGCGCTCGCAATCTCTTTGACGATTTGACTCGCTTCTCTCTCGGTGAAGTGAACCCGTTCTTGAATTCTGTTCAACAATTGGCCTCCGTTGATCTTCTCGAATACGAGGTAGAACCTCTCCTCATCCTCGAAGAACTCGATCAGCTGAATGATGTTCGGGTGGCCCTGGCAATGATGGAACGTCTCGACTTCCTTGAACACCCTGCCACGCGCGTGTCCAGGTATCTTGTCGATGATCTTCACGGCGTACTCGAGATCCGTGTACAAGGACGTGCAGGTCTGGACCGAAGCGTAAGCACCTTCCCCGAGAATTTCTCCAGTCAGCTTGTACAGTTCTGCAACAGTAATAACAAGTCATTTACACACTCGTCAATCAATTCTATTCCAAGAGGAAGGGAAAAAATGAACAAAAGTGCTCTCGATGATTTCATTTTGCACATCCTACCATGGGTTTCCGCAGAGGATAGCAATGGAATTTATTTGCATATTTAATATAAAAAATGAAGATAACAAAAAATTAAATTAAAAAATTTAGAAAGAACCAAAAATTAAGAAAACAAAAATTTAATTATGCTCCTGCATTTTCATCCATCCACTCTGGTGTTGTGGCTATGTTTTCATGTACCCTCGGCGACGAATTTCGCAACGCGTTCTCGAAAATCATTGGAACGAGAAACAGTACAACCTTTGATTCCGTGAATGTGCCAACATACAATGGATTCACCACCGCGGTGAATCAATGCGATATTCATTCGACGTGGTATTGCGCGTCGTTCTACGAGCACGCGATCGACAGCAATTATTATATATGTATACGTCGCACCATCACGTCGCATTGTCACTTTGACAAGAGAGAGAGAGAGAGAGAGAGAGAGAATTCAATTTTGCGATACTCGGTTCTTTTTTTAACTCTTCTGTCAATGAACGGGTACCCGGATACTAAAGCAACTTTAAATGTTAAAAATGTGTCGAAACTTTTCTCTATATTGGAAAACAAAAGGGCTTTGTATTCCAAAACCTTTTAGGGTATATATAATCGATGTCCAGTAGCAGAAATTTTTGCAATGCAATGTGTCAGAAAAGTATTTAGTACTCGTACATTGATACAAAGAAAAATGAAAACTCGACGAAACTTGAAACGACTCTTCAAATGCATCATCATATAACTACACAGAGAATTTTCTCTTGGAATTTACCTTGAAAATTATGGTAATGGAAGAATTTTATAAAAAAGTTTCTTCGATTATAATATTTATCACATTAAAAATATTAATATCTACCACAATGAGATATAAAAAATATATTCAATTATGTACATTAAAATTTATTATGTATTTACCATATTCATATTTTTTATTGTGGTAAATATTAAATCAGAGAAACTCTTACCATATTGTTCCACGATTATTATTGATTTTCAGGGTATTTACCACAATAAGAAATATTAATATGTACATAGTAAAATTACTCGACCATATTTGATATCTTATAGTGAATATTAATATTTTTTATTGTGGTAAATATTAATCAGAGAGAAACACTTATAAAATTCTTCCGATATCAAATTGTCCTCCGATTGCAATTTCAGGATTTTAAATTCTATGAGAAAATTCTCTCTGTGTAGAAAATCTATTCTCTCTCGAATAATCCTAAAAATATTAATGTTTTTTATCGTGGTAAATATTAATCAGCGAGACCCTTATAAAATTCTTGCAATACCAAATTGTCCTACGATGTGTCCCACGATTTCAGGATTTTAAATTCTAAGAGAAAATTCTCTCTATGTAGAAAATCCTCTCGGAGAGACGCGCAAAAGTCTGTCGCCAGATAGAACGAGTTTCCACTCGACGTTATAATAGAAAAAGAAGAAGAAAACAAGGGAAAAAAATTGATCGATCTTTTTTCGACTACACCGCGTTCCAATCGCGATTACGCCCGAGAGGTCCAATTATCCCCGGATTCGCAGATAGAATATAGCCTGGCGTCTCTCTCTCTCTCTCTCACTTTTATACGCGCAACGCGCGTGACAGCGCGCGCGGTGTGTGTCCTGTGTGTGTTTCCGACGACCATCAAGTCAATGTCAAGGTCGAGAAGGGGTGGCCGAGATCGGAGCGTGGAACTACGACGCACATACACCGAATTTCCCTCTCTCGAAAGTCCGAAGCCGCCGCTATCGCGGCTCCTTTCCTCTCCTTCTCCTTCCCCTGGACCCTCGCGTTCCTCATCCATCCCCATCCAGCCCTCTTTGAGCTTTACGCGGCCTACGTTGCCGCGTCGTCCCGTAACATCCATTTCTCGCTCCGATTATACGTCGTCAGGATACGCGCGCATGGCAGCGTCGCTAGCGCCTAGCAACCAGAAGCCGATAATATGCCTTCGCGAGTCTTTACGTTCTCTCTCTCTCTATCACTCTGCCACAACATCAATTTTAACGGCAGCGGAACGAATATGCATGTACAGGCGTCGTACGCGAAAATTGCGCGACCACCCACGCATGCGCGCGATCAATCGCTTTTTCCGCGATTTAGTTTATAGGTATTTCATATTTAATATTATTTAAATATTTTATATTCATATTAATATTATATTTAATATTAATACTAATAATAATATTATATTTAGTATTATATATTAATAGTATATTTAATATTATTTAATATTTTTCCTATTATGTGTAGAGTCTTACCGGGAGAGAGAAAATGTTACGATGAAAGAGAAAAAAAAATCGAACGTTCTTCGCGGTTTAATGACCATCATTTGCTAATAATATGGATCTTTGAGGGAAATTGAGCTTTGATAGCTTTCCTGATGATCGACGATAGAATATATGAATTTTTGCCGGACACAAAACTCGCTTTCTCTTTATCTATCGACCTTAGGAATATATATGCTGCATAATTCTAGCGGGGGTTGGAAGTTTCTCGAACCAAACCAGGGGCTCTCGAATCGATCACGCGAAGTATGACGCAATCGGCCGAGGAAATGTAAACTCTGATCTGGTTGACATTGAACTCTTCAACATTTATTTTTTAATAATTTAATACATATAGATTAACATTTTCTTTAATTTTTATTTTAAACGACTGACGTGTACCGATTCTTTAAACCAAACAATAGATTTATAATTACTATTTCATAATGAATAGAATTAATTAAATTTATAACTGGAATTGTTAAGGTCTTTCTTATTCCACAAATAACAATTTTAAGTTTTTGAACCATCCATTGTTTTATTCTCGATTATATTACTTATTAACGAGAATACAAAATGATGATTTACAGAATTTTGACAAGTGTGTAAAAACTAAATAATTGTAATTAAGGAAACATTTTGAAAGTGAAAGCGCATATCCTTGGAATTGTTGAAGGAATAAAAGGATCTAAACAATTTATAAGTTATAAATAAGAGAGAGACTCTCACAAATTGAAAAACGATAATGAGTTATATCCTCTTTGAAAAATCGTTCAAGATTCAATTATATTTTGACAAATCGAAGCAAGGTGTCCAGCAGACTCAATGAAAAAATTCCCTGATTTTTTCAGATTTTCCAAGACCAGAAATTAATTTTTCTCTGACTTTTTAATATTATTTTTTCCAAATATATAATTTGCATATATCTATGTATGATAAATCAATTAAATGTTAAATTATGAAATCCTCGAGATATTTTTGTCAACAATAAAAAGATTCGGAAATTAAAACAAAAATTTAAATCAATTATACAAATCTTATGAACGATAATCGAAACAAACTATTTAAATAACCACCTTTTTATTTATATTATATCAAATTTTTTAATTTTGTCTCTAAAGTTTTTATATTTATTTAATAAAAAATATAGAATAATGTGAAAAAATGTGGATAAATAGTCAAATTTCTTGACTTTTCCCTGACAATTCCAGATTGATAAAATTCCCTGACAATGCCCGGTTTTCCAGATTTCCCTGACTGCCAGACACCCTGCGAAGGATTGATTAATCATTCAGTTAATAATATACCGCGGTGTCAATATTAATAACTCCGCGAATAATTAAGCGCGCATATAACGAAATTGCATAAATTATTTCCAATTAATTAGAATTGCCGTGTCGCAGATATCCTCTCGCGCGGGAAAATGGAATAAATTGACAACACACGGTCTCTCTCGGCAAAGAGCGAAAAGCACCTCCGTGCAGCGAATTCGTGCAGCTCACCCCTTATTCCCACCCCCTCCCGTGGGGTCGCGTATCGATCGTATGCGAGCGACTCGGTGGCCGAATAACCGTATTTGCCAGCTGCGCAACTCGGATTAAATTCCGATCCCGCTCTGTTCTTCGCTACAAGAGACGGAGCCAGCGTACAACCAGTTTAGAAACGCGAAGGAAGCGAATTATCGCGATCATCTCGCGAGTAAAACACGAGAGAGGTATACGAGATATATGTTTCCCCCTGTATTTTTTAATTGCATTAAAATTTTCACGGCTAAGAGAACAGCTGATCCTCCCTTTCTTTCGGCCGCTTCCCTGAGAACTCTTCGGTATTATTATCTCTACGGCCGGTCCTTCGCGAGACTATAATCTCTATTTTCTCCGGAGTGGGGGAGGGGCGAAGGGGGAGGGACGCGAATTTCCGGTGTTTATAAACACAAGCGGCGGGTCCCGCTCCTGGCCTGGCGTGCAAAATTCCAGGCCGCCTGCGCGATCGATTATCGCCGAGTTTCTCGAGCGTTCCGAACACTTGTCCAAGGTCATACGTATATACCGAGGAGAGACTACTGCAAAGTCACCGTTGAGCTACGCATATACAGCCTGTGTAATACAGGGGATACACGACGGTACGTGCGCGTTACTTATTCGAGGACGGCCGTCCTTACACGAGACATCCGTTCTCTCCCTCTTTCTTTTTTCTTTTATCTACCTTGTGATAGAATGACGGGAAGCTTGAATTATTCTTTCTCCTTCTCTCGTTTCTTCTTCTTCTTTTTTTTTTGTATTACACGTGCAGGCAAAGTGGCACTTTGTGTACGTGTTTTCTGTACGGAAAGCGGCCGATTTCCCACGCCGCCATCTAGCGGCGACGCGGTGAGTGAATAAGCCATTGCCTACGGCTGAGCCGCGTTCAAAGTCATTGCCCACGGCTGAAGCCCGTGGGCAATGACTTTAAACGCGGCTATTCCCGCACCGTGCCGTCGCAAGATGGCGGCGTGCGATCGGCCACCTCGCGCACAGAAGCGCGCACAAAGCCACTTTGCCTGCACTTGATACACAATATATTATTTTTGTTGCTCTGTGAATTTACCTTGGAAGCAGGAGGAGACCACGGACGAGCCGGAGCGTCTCTTCCTGCGCCTTTTGCGTCTCGCCTCTTCCTGACGAGCCTGCACCGCGCTCATGGACTCCCCAGTGGAAGCTACATCCCGGCAGGTGCCATCCCCTGAAAGCCAAACACTTATCGTCAGACTGAAGTTCGGTGTATAATCGATCGCGCGATCGCACGCACTATAAATTACAATCATGGGCGTCCGTAGGATTTTTTTTCTAGGAGGGGAAATTATTAATATTTCTTGTTCTTTTTTAATATTAAATATGCAAATTAATTCCAGTGTGCAAATTCTTGATTTTTTTTTTACTAATTCCAGGAGGGGGCTAATGCCTCCCTCCCAAGGACGTCCATGATTACAATATATTATACATCGTTACGAATAAATACACTAATTATTTTCTATACATTTCTTTATCGATTTCAAATATTTAGTTAAACATTTTTATTTTTAAATATATATACATTTTTTTCTATTAAATATTTCTATTTAAAAATATATGTAATTAGAGTTTCATTTATATTTATTATTGGATAAATTTTTTTTCAATTTTTTAGTCTTCTATATATTTATACTTATTAAATATTTCTACAATGTTCTTAAATATATTCAATAGAGAAAAAAAATAAAATAAAATTCTCTCAACATTAAATATTTCTATTTGAAAGTAAAAATATATAATAAAAAGAGTAGAAATATATATAAAAGTGAGAAATATATATATATAGATAAATAATTTAATTTTCTGTGCGATATTTAATAAACTTGAACGAAAGTTCAGGGAGACGGCGAAACTTGAAATTTTCCATCAACTTTCTCACTCTGTAATTAATATAAATAGAGAACTCTCCACACAATTTCTCGCGAAATAAACTCGACTCGAGGCTAAGAAAGGTTGAGAAAATTGTTCCTTTCTCAACGTTTGCGAATATGTGCATCACGACGATGTGTGTTTAAAGACGCGGAGTTACGCAACACACGGGTGTGTTTATTTTTGCAAACAAAGTAAATCCACACGTGACGGAGGAGGCTGCTGCGCGTTATCGTCGTTTATTATTGCGAACTTATCGACATCGCTCTTAGTCATTTCCCCCTCAAGAGTTCATCCTCTCTCCTTTCCTCTCTTCCATTCCTCCCGATAATTCCCTGCTGTCAGATACAGGCTGTTTAGAAGCGAACATCGTTCGCGTAAGAGAGACAGAGGACGCGCAATAAAAATCAATTAGTCCATTGATAAGGGTAGAAAAAAAGACGCTGGAACTATTACGAGAAAGCGATTATCGTGTCACGTAAGCAGGGGAACCTTGCATTCATCGGGTCTCTCTTTATGAATAACCATACTCTTTTATTGAAGAGAGGTTTAAAATAATGCTCTCGCGCGCGGAGGTTATAATTATATATCGCCCCAATAAACGTTGACGTGTCATCCCCGGCTATTTGCGACCGCTTATCGTAGAATAATAAACGCAATTTTCGTTCGACATATGTTTTCTATACATGTATTCCCGATTACGTAATTCATACACGTGTCGGGTTATTTCGCGATAACTGAGGGAAGTCCACGTCAAAGTAAAAAAAGAATGGTAAAAATAACGGAATAATAAAAAAAAAGATATCGAAGATTGCCGTTTTATTTCTCCGATCGCGAATATAATTTTGAAGGCTCTCCCAGATATTTCACGGGAACAATACCTTCCTGTATTAATGAGACACGCGGAAGGGAGAAGGAGAACTTTGCTTTTGTAGAAGGAGGTATACCTCGATTATATATAGAGGAGGCTGTACTTTTGTGCCCCGGGTTGTGGAAACCCGCGTAATCGATTCAGCCGGGATAAATGAAGATGGGAACAATCCCGACGCAACAATGCCTTCTCTCGAAATCTCCGATGATATACCTATCCGATAATCTTGGAATCCGAATAAAATGTGACAGTCTTATTTTTTTTTGTTTCTTAGATCTTTTGAACGAGATCGTTTATCGAAAGCTCGTACAAAAAATAAGGAATGTCAAATCAACACTTATATACGTAATAATATATATTATCTTTCTTGTAAGAATTTGCTGAATCTTAAATTTCAACAATATTAGTCTTATTTAAATATATATGTATATTGTTATCTGAAAAATATAATAAAATGTTATTTATATGAAAATATTTTTTTTTGGTTGAACTATTGTACCTATATATAAAATATTTTTATCCAAGCAAATTTTTGCGAATAAGTTTTGATTTGACCCTTTTTTCTGTGCAAATAACTTGATCTACCTTCGGAAAAAAATCATCAAATTCGAACGATGATTTCGCGCAGTTGCGTCGTCTAATATAGGGTACAGATAGAGATTCTGTCTCTTCGCACTTTCTAATTCAGTTGCTAAAAATGGGCGACTCTCGGTCGCCGATACCAGCCCGTCGTGCAGAGAGTTTGACGTTTCTCTCTCTTATTAGTCTCTTTCTCTCTCTCGCTCTTTCGCGCTGGGAAAGTTCACTCGCGCGAAGGCGAGACCCGGGTAACCGGTACGCGATTCACAATCCTCGTTAACGGAGATATATATATTGTATATACGGCGGATATTTACGCGAGATGCGTATCTCGTTGGTATCTCGAAGGGAAAATCGCGCCGTAATCTAAATAATAAATAAACATCCACGATATTTCCGCGACAATCATAGAGTATTTGCGTGTATATTAAATATACTTATGCTAGTCATAAAAACCTGTCGAATTAAATAGCGTATGATCGATCGAATATTAATTATATTTATCAGGATTAAATCTTATCTCTAAGGCAAGTTTTTCTATTTCCGCTCCCATTGAGCCTTTCATCTTGAATTAAAATCCTTCGAGAAAGAAGGATATAATTATACATCGAAAATTTCAGAATAAAAAAACTGTTATATAGATACATAAGAAGAAGACATAGTACAGTTTGTCTAGATAACGTCGGTGGCTAAGTGCGGCACGCGTATTAATAACCCCGGTTTCTTGACTCTTCGCAGCCGATGCGGAAAGAAGGATGCGTGCCGATTGTGTGGGCGGAGAGACCCGCTGCACGATATGCAAACGCGGCGATGAATAATAAAGTATACACCGAGACGAGACGAGACAAGACTCTCCGCGCCACTCCTTCGAGAGCGGCCACACGCTCGGGTCACTCGCTCGCTTACTCGCTCGCGTGGGTCGAGGAGAAATCAGAACCGAATCGAGAACGAGTCTCCCAGCGCGTAACTGTAAGCCGGTCTTCGCTCGACTCCTCTCTCATTGTCCGCGATAATCGCAATGACCGATTGCCGGAACGGTCCTCGCAGCTACGGTCAAAGTATTTATCGGAATAGCAAGAAAGAGAGAGAAAGACAGCTAGAAAGAGTAAGAGAGGTGATAAAGAGCGATGGAGAATGAGAGAGAAAGAGAGTGAGTGAGTGTGAGTTAGTGTGCGTTAGCGTGAATTAGCGTGCGTTAGTGAGAGAGAATAAAAGAGATACACTGAAAAAAATTATTAAATTAATAAATATTTATTTCAATACTGCCTAACAATCATTTATTTGAAACAAATAAATTTATCTGTTTTGAAAAGGATTTTCTTATATCAAATAAATATTTTTCACATTAAATCAATATTATTAGTTTCAAATAAATAATTTATTAAGCAGTATTGAAATAAATATTTATTCGAATTCAATAAATTTTTTTTCAGTGTAAAATTGAAACAAAAAGTCAATTAATAATCGTGTCCATCATTAAATGATCGTCGAGAGGATTGTTTGATGTCATTCGAAACAATGGTTCGTCGAAACGACCTGAAGAAGAGATTCGGGTTTCATGCGGATCCAAAAATAAATGTAATGACGACAACGATGATGATGATGCACCGTGCGTTCGTCTCCGAAAATCCTTCCCAAGACTTCTCTATTTCTCTTTCTCTCCGGAAATATCCGAAATTTTCGTGCCCGAAGAACTTCCTCTTCGACCGATCTCTTCAGAAGTCATCAACTTTCGAGAAACGCTGGCTTCTCGACTCCCCCGTCATCTTCATCATCTCGACGATTTTCGCGCGTCATCATATAATTTTGGGCGAATGTATTTTCGTGCGTCTCGCAAACGCGACGTCGTCGGCGTCGACTTGCAACACACACATGCACACACATACACACGTACGTTGAATCCACAAGAGTTCAATGACTGGCACAGAAAAGGAACGCCGCCATCTTACGCGAGATATACACATACGATAATGTTTCATTCGCGCTGGTGATTACGCGAAAATCGTCGCCGTACGATTTCCTTTACGTAAAAAATCGTAAATAACATTTCCGCGATTAAAATTCGAAACATTTCTTTTCCCAGAAGACAAGAAAGATAAGAATGCTAGAGAGAAAAGCCGATACTTGTCGGAAAATATAATTGGGAGATATTTATTTTTATTTATATTTATTAAATTTTAATTTTATCTCTATAATTTGTATTTTTATTTCATTACATCTTATTTTAGTTTATTTCATTTTTCTTTCCTCTCAGCTATTAACCTAATATTTTTTTTTCTCTTCTCGACGCAACGGGATTTCCTCGCGCGTACATTCTTTTAATTAAAATTAAATAAATAGCAAATGTCAAACATGAGGTAATATATTTTATTATTCCGGGTCGTGATCTCGAGATGTGTCTTACAATAGAACTATGGAGCGTGCACGTAACGAGTGTCTTATTATTAGCCTCGGACGAGGTCCGAGAGAGGAAGGTGGTGGACGACTGCGCGTAATAATGTATCATTAATAATTGTACATAAATTAAACGAACAAAGCGCGACGCTACACGGAACGTCGTCGCCCAATTAGAGGGTCAGGCGGAAAAGGGAGTATAATCACGCGACGTGCCGGAGCGTGACTTTCGGTTATATTTTTTTTCCTTTCTTTTCTTTTTAGCCGTTACGTGAGGCTGCGCATATGTGACGTAGAAATTTAGCCGCGATTAGTTCAACCCCGATTTTTCCATCCCGACGAATAAACAACGATTATGTGTTCACTTCTCGCCCGATATAATAATCTTTCGCGCTAGAGATCCGAGAGTAAATAAGAACAAAAACGGTTCATAAAGATCTTACAAGAGAAAATTCTGATTTTTTATGAAACTTTACACACCTGTAAAGAAGGATAAATAGATGAATTTAGAAATTTTGCTATAAAATAAACTATCCTAAAGAGTGAAACTACACAAAGAGAATTTTCTCTTAGAATTTATCCTAAAAATCATGGTAGTCATGAGACAATATGGTATTGGAATTATTATTAATGAAATTATTTATTTTGATTTATTATTTAATATTTTTTGCTAACAAAAAACGATTCTAAAGAATGAAACTACACAGAGAATTTTCTCGTAGAATTTACCTTCAAAATCATGTAGCAATCGTGAATTTTATGAGTTTCTCTGATTAATACTTACCACCCAATAAAAAATAATAATTAAATAATTCCATTAATAATAATTCTAATACCATATTCTCCCACGATTATCATGAGATTTTCAGAATAAATTCAAAAAGAAAATTCTCTCTGTGTAATAATATAATATCTCTGTATATAAAGTATTCTTGCTTTTCTCGATATATATATATATATATTTACGAAAAGGCATTCGAGATATCAAAAAATATTTTATACAACAGATTCGCTGTAAAAAATACCTCTATTTAATCACAATATAAAATCAAAAACAATAATTAAAAAAAAATGATTTTTTTATGCGATTAAATAGATATTTTTATTATAAGCTTTTCTATAATAATCAGAATCTTCTCGAAGTTCCCTTGCTAGTTGCACTTTGTGTGCCACGTCATTCGGACCGTGATACCGTTGTGTGTCTTACATCGACCTTCCTATTCCTCTTATATTATTCCTTTACACATAGATTATACATATGCATGTCTCTCTCTCTACACTCGATAAATGTTTTTTTATTCATCGTCAGGCGGCGAATATCTTTAGTCGCGTTATTTCTCCTATCGACAGAGCGCTCTATTTCTGGTATTCCCAAAACAATCCCGCGTCTATCTCTAAAAGAGTAGCAACCTTAATCTAACTTTAGCGCGATCGAAACGGGATATGCTGTGGTCGTCGCGTCGCGAGAGGCTCTTTGTTCCTCGGAATCGTGCGTGTTTCCCTTTAAAAGCGCGCCGAACTGACATGCGCGCCCGGGACCCTTTCTCTCCCTACGTTCTTTGTTGGGTCGCCCTACAACCGACCTCGCGTCGTGGCGCCGAAACTTCTCGAACCAACATCGCGTCGCCCGGTGTATACCGACTACTAACCCACTTCGTTTCTCCGTCTTTCTCCTGCACTCCACTCTCTCTCTCCTTCTCCCTTTGTTTCTCTCCCTTGCCCCTTACTCCCGAAAAAAATAATAATCCGACGTGCGTCGTTCGGGAGCGACGTTGCGAAATCTCTCTAGACGCGTGTTTTATTTCTCCCCTTGAAAAAAAAAAAAAAGTGCCCTTTGAGTTTCGCGCTTCGAGACGCACATTTTGAAAAAACGAAAAAAAATCGCGATCTCGCGGGAATCAGCGAGATTCGATTCCAAGGCGAAATAATTTCGCTGACGCGAACGAAAAATGAAAAGGAATTTGAAAGGTGGTGTATTTTTGTTCTCTCTTGCGCGAGATATCCTATTTCCTCGTATCTGATTTTTTTTTTCTTCCTTTTTGCACAAATAAGGAGAATTTAAAGATTACGTATCCGTTAAGAAAAGACGGATCTTCGGCGCGAAGCTAAATAAGGGAACTGAAGCAGTGGTATAATTATCTTTTTTGTTTCGTCATTTCATTTCACGGACGTCGCGTTTCGTTTTATATTCATTTTATTTACTACATAACCTGTGTAAAGCGTTGCATAATTTAGTCGCGCGACGTTAGGAATTTTTTTCCCCACTCTTTCCCTTCCACGCCCCTGAGTTTCCGCTTTTAGGAATAATGAAGACCGGTATACCTAGTAGGCGATATAATTAGCGTTCGAGCCTCGCTCGATTGACAAGCGATTAGAGGAGAACTCGATGGGATATGAAAGTGTTGTTTATGTAAACACACGCGCGTATTTTTAGAGCGACTTGAATGCACTTAATTCTTTTTGTATTACACGTGCAGGCAAAGTGGCACTTTGTGTGCGTGTTTTCTGTGCGGAAAGCGGCCGATTTCCCACGCCGCCATCTAGCGGCGACGCGGTGAGTGAATAAGCCGCGGCTTCAGCCGTGGACAATGACTTTGAACACGGCTATTTCCGCACTGTGCCGCCGCAAGATGGCGATCGGCCACCTCGCGCATAGAAAACGCGCACAAAGCCACTTTGCCTGCACTTGTAATACAAAATAGTATGTGTATCAAGTGCGGAAAGTTGACAATTGGTCACGAGTGCAAGGGATGGACGCACGAGCCGAAGGCGAATATATTATTACTTGCGTCTGGCGAATTTTGAAGTTTAATATAAGCTTCTGGAAACTTCGGGGCGAAATTATCACTCGCGATAAAAAAAATATCGATACCACTCGTAATATATGCATATTCAACGATACAGTCATCGAGGCACACCTAATCGATTAATTTATCGCGTCACGAGATCTCTAGGCTGCATGACGAAATTTATTTGCATGTTTGCGCCAACTCCGGAATTGCGTCGTCGCGAAAGATCAACGAACGCGATTCCGTTTCGTGGTTGACGAATATTTTGACGTTTGCTTCATTTTTCTTACTTTTTGGAGCAGAGAGGGGGTGGGGGGAAGAAGAGGGGAACGAATACAACTCGTCGTTTAATCGCCGGTCGACATGCGAGTTTTCGAGAAAGTTCTCTCGTTTTCTCCCTTCTTCTCTCGTTGATTCGTATTCATGGCGCGATTTTCGCGACGAAAAGCGAATTGTTAAGCAAGACGAGCCACTTATCCAAGGTATTCTCATCGCGTCTCTTGTTTTTTTCTATCGACGATGCTCGAGCATGAAACTTTTGGCCCTTCTGTCAATGCCTCAGTTTTTTACCTTTTCATCAATCAATATATGGTATATACGGAGAGAATTTTGTCTTACAATTAGAATTTATCCTGAAAATCATGATAATTGTGGTACAATTTTATAAGAATTTCTCTGATTAATATTTATTACGATAAAAATATTAATATCTATCACAATAAGATACAAGATGTAATTTTATATATGACATTTTATTAAAATTTTAAATATTATTTATTCTCTCATCGTACGCCAATTTTCGCCTAAAAATATCCAACATTGCTCAACAAAAGCATCCGCGTCACCTACACGGAGAGAATTTCCTCTTAGAATTTACCCTGAAAATCATGACAAATTGGAAGAATTTTATAAGTTTCTCTGATTAATATTTACCGCAATAAAAAATATTAATATGTACATAGTAAAATTAATCGAACATATTGTGAATATTAATTTTTTATTGTGTGAGGCAAATAAAATAAAATTCCTCCAATATTATCTCACGATTTTCAGGGTGAATTCTAAGAGAAAATTCTTTCCGTGTAAGAAGTTACCAATTATTTATTTTTGGACAAATCGCACTGCTACAATTTTTTTATAGCATGGAACATTCTTTTCTATTAATATTTTAGGAGATTTCCAAATACAAACTTCTTTTATATTTTTATGTTTACGAGCGAAAAGTTCATTTAGAATCGCTCCGGGTTTCATTGACAGCAGGGTTAATCTTCCTCTTCTCGTGTTTCGAGAACCTCGCAACAACAATGAAAACGCAAATCGCGAAGCACCCTTTCTCCCCCCGTCATACCGAGTCGTTACACATCGACCGGTGAAAATGGCTGCCGCCGACTCCGGAGTTAGCCGGTTCGCAAAAAACAAACATCAATATACAACGAGGTGTGTTTCGTAACTTTAGCGATAGATTATCATCCGGCGAGTTCGGATCTTTTTTTTTCCTCTCGAAAACAATGAAATCGCAAGTGTCAAATAAAACTTTCTTCGATAACGATTTAGGGAGTAATTAGAGAGTGTTTAATTGTAAAGATGTAAAAAAAAAAATTATAATTGTCGCAAAAAAAAAAAATGTCAAAAAATTGCGAACTGTCAAAAAGTCGCGAACTGTCAAAATGATTCTTACCTCGTCCGGCCTCTTGAGTGCCGTCCTCTCTCTCCTCCAGAATTTTCTCCACCATGTTTCCTCTCGGCGTACTCTCCGCTGTCGTCGAACGATCGTCCGGGAAAGATCGGAGAATACTTCCGGTTCACTGATTCTCGAGAGAGATCTGTCCGAGCGATAGGTTCTCTGCGCTCTTCTAATTCGCACCGGTGGCAATAATTATAAAAAAGAGTCAGTCGTATATACAAAAAAGCCTATCCACTAAGATACTGATATAATCTCGCTCTTCGGAGCGATCTCTCTCTCTCTCTCTCTCTCTCTCTCTCTCTCTCTCTCTCGCTCTCTCGTTTACTCCTCCCGAAGAAAGTCGATGTATATCAGCGTCGATATCACAGATATAAATAAATATATAAAGCCTATCTCTCTATATATCTCTCTCCTCCGCGCGGTTATTCGTCCTCCCTTATTTTCGCGAACGACGATGACACGTCCACAGGTGCTGATGTCGATTTTGTTTTTCTTTTTTTTTTTTATATATAAATACTATCACAGACTTTGACACTGCACTTTCTCTCGGTCGGTCATCCTCCGCGCTAATTCTTCCTCCTTTCTTTCTCTCCTCGCTCGTAACCAAGAAGCGGCCACCAAGCCTTTCCGATGAGAAGCCAAAGCTCTCGTCGTCAGCCTCTCGCCAGAACCTTCTCCTGCTCTCGGCTACCTCCTCCTCTTCTATCCGCTCCTCCGCAGCTCCTCCTCTGCTGAAGGCAGTTTTTAACCGGATGTACCGGGTCTTTTCGCACGCGAAAATCCCGCGATGGTCGTCGTGGCTCCGTCGTCGCTATCGCACAGCCTCTCGCACGTAGCGGCAATCGGGCTCGGAAGCGCATTAAAAACCCTTCTGTCTAACACATCTGGCCTCTCTCTCTCTCTCTCTCTCTCTCTACCACGTCACCGTTCCTCGCTGCTCGGCAGTTGGTTTCCGACTGAGCCTCGACAAGATGGCCGCTCTGCTTACTAACACTCCGGCCGGCCCCCACTCTTCGCGAAAGCGTCTCTCTCGCTCGCCGCTCTCTCGCCACCGTCGATCCGCGAATCACGAGGCTCCGTCGACGCCCTGCGAGTCACGTAGGCAACGTGGCTCTCAGATCGCGGCTCCGCTCCGGGAATGATGCAAATGACGACGCTTATTAGACGGAGACACGACGCGACGCGATATGCAAATTGGAGATCGCGATTTTCGCGATACTAACACAGTTACCGGTTCATGTGTTTGCGCGAAGTCTCGCGGTCTAATCGTATTTACGATCCTCGTCTATTTTGTCACTGATTGCGAGGCTTTTTTTTTTTTTCGTTTTCATAAACTTACTCGCGCAACCAGTTTGCCGAATGTCATTGCATTGTTGTTCTTACGATTTATCAGGGTATACATACGCGGAGAATATTTTCTTGGAATTTACTCCGAAAATCGTAGGATAAATCGTATGGTATTGAAAGAGTTCCTTCCTGATTTAATATTTACTTAACAATAAATAATATTGATATCTACCGAGAAAATATAAAATAGGTTTGATTAGTTTTACTATGTACGTAGTAAAAATAAAAATATCGATACGTAGTAAAAATAAAAAAATATTATGATGTACATGTAGCAAAAACTTTATTAATGCACATATTTTTTTTATAGTGCATGGTGAGAATTAATTATAATAAAAATTAATTAATAAATAAGAAACTCATAAAATTCTTATCATGATTTCAGGATAAATTTTAAAAAGAAAATTCTCTCCGTGTTTATATATGTATAACACTGATGACGAAACGCCGCGGTTATAAAATTCGCGTAGCAGGTGTCATAACGAAAGTAGGGATAAATGATTCTCCCCTTCCTTTCGTCTAACAAATTTGGTGCGCGAATTCCAATCAGCGTCGCTATCTTGCTATCCGTCGATATATAAATTCGAGAAACGCGATAGCAATTTCGCATTCGCGTGTGATAAATCGACGACTTCGAATCTCGTCCTCCAATCGAAAGCGATCTTTAAAAAGACTCGAAATAAAGACAGGATGTCCAGCGGACTCGGTGCAAAAATTCCCTGATTTTTTCAGATTTTCCAAGACTAGAAATTAATTTTTTCCCTGATTTTTTAGTATTATTTTTTCCAATATAATTTACATATATGATAGATCAATTAAATGTTAAATCATGAAATTCTTGAGATATTTTTCTCAATAATGAAAAGGTTCAAAAGTTAAAAAAAAAACAAATTTCAATCAATTATATAATCTGCATTATGTACGATAATCGAAACAAAGATGTCACTATAAATTTAAAAGTAATCACTTTTTTTTATTTATATTATATCAAATTTTTTGGATTTATCTTAAAATAACACGACGATGAAAATATAAATTAATGAACCCAGAAAATTAGCGTGCTTGGAGTCAAGGAAAAGTTTATATTTATTTAATAAAAAAATGTCAAATTATTGAGACAAATGTAGAACAACGTGAAAAAATCCAGATAAATAGTAAAATTTCCCGACGACTTTTCCCTGACAATTCCAGAGTTTTCGACCGCTAGATACCCTGGAAATAAAGACAGGGGACGCGAGAAGTGAGAGTCGCTGATTCTCCGGCTTCGACCGCGCCATTTTGCGCGTAATAATACGGAGCGGCGTTTTCTACGCCGTATGTATACATATACATATATACACGCGTATACATATATTCACCATCGTCCGACAAAAAAAAAAAAAAAGGGAAGAAAGATGATCGCCTTCCCTCTCGCACGGGCGCCCTTCCCTCTCGTGCCCGGCATTTACCTCTCCTCTCTCGACCCTTTTGTTTTTTCGTCAGCGGCGCGTTTTCGGGCCGAACCGAAATCGAGAGATAAGAACGAATGACCGATGCCGGTCGCGCTGCTGCGTCGCGGCCGCTCGCTTTTCGGCGGCGAGAGATGCGCGCGCAACTCGCTCTCCGGTCACGTACGCCGTGATCGACACGTATCACGTGGTCCCGCGGGTATGCGGGAAGTAGGGGGGGGGGGGGCGAGCGTCGCGGTGGGGATGAGACGCGCAGAACGAGAGATGCCAAATGGAGGGAGACAATCGGCCGCCCAGCGTCGCACGAACCCGAAAAATAATATATTATAGCCTTCCGAAATTTTCCGAGTATTTAATAAGCGACGATATTGCAGGTAAATATTTGACATTTGAAAAATTTGTATTATTCGCGCGATTTTAAGCAGCCAAGTTATACTATAGTTTCGATGAGAATATCGAATATTCTTTTATTTTGAATATATTATACAATATTATTTTTGCAATTTTATAATATATAATATATGTATATATTATAATATAGGTACAATATTATTTTTGCGATTTTATAATATATAATATATATATATGGATATATTATAATATAATATATATATATATATATACATTATATAATATATGTATATAATATATATATATAATATGTAAGATATAATATATAATATATGGATATATTATAATATAATATATATATATTATATATTATATCATTATATTATATATATATTATCTACCTTATTATATAATGTCTATATATCTATATATTATATTCTAATATATCCATATATTATATATTATATATTATAAAATCGCAAAAATATATTATAATATAATATATACATATATTATATATTATAAAATCGCAAAAATAATATTGTATAATATATTATACAATAATTATACGAATATACGTGTGTTCGAAAGTATACTGTTAATGTTAAATCGATTCTAAATTCTATCGCTATACGCGGATGTTATCCGGGTTAGTTCGGTATTCTTTCCTCGCGTTCTGCGTGAAGTTAGTCGAGAATTTGAAAAGTACAGTCGCGTTCGCACATCTATAAGACTGCATACACACGGATAGTACGTATATGTACGTATGTACACACAAGCACGTCGAACGCGCGATTTGTTGACAGGGTAACATACGATCGGCATCACGCCAATTTACTTACGCTAACATCGTGTACCATTGCGCAATCGCTATTAGCGATTCAATAACCCAGCTGTTTTTTCTTCTCTTTCTCTCTCCTCCCCTTTTTTCTGCTGCGATCTCCGATTGTGCCGCCACTTCTGGGTTTCGTTTCCGGAAGAGAATTCTGTACCGGTTGTAAATATTCGCTCCTTTCTTCCTATTTTCGGAGCAATTCTTCGAGTTTGTCCGATTCGTTACGCGTTTTCTCAAGTTCAATGACAAACTTTATATATGACTCAGCCACAGAATTTGCTGCTATCTAAATAAAATTATATAGATGATCATCTAGATTAAACTTTGCGGCGACATCTTATTTTTATATGTATAGATAATAAAAATATACGTATTATCTATACCTGCATCTTACAATTAGATGAAAAAAAGAATACTTAAATAGTAGAACTTAAACAGTAAGCAATAAAAATTTATATATAAAAATATAAATATATATATTTTTATATATTTATAATTTATATTTTATAATTAATATATTTTTTTATAACTGTGTTTACATAAGCAGTCATAAAAATTATTATCTGGAAAATCATCTAGACGAATCGCCATATAATTTTGTCTTTTATGTAGATATATTTAAAACAAAATCATCTAAGTACAACACACACACTGCTCATCCAACAATCTCTTTAAGATTATGTTTTTCTTTTGTAAATAATTAAAATTTTTTACTGGAATTTGGAGTTGTGCATGCGTCAACAACATATATTTGCAAGATATACCTATTCGTGTCCAAAATATTTCGAAAATTGCAAGATTAAAAGTTTATTATTTCCTCTCGAGAATATTAAAGAATATTAGAAAATTCTCGAAAATAATAGCAAAGAACGCAGTATTAAATTGAAAAAAATGTTTTATTCAACTGTTTTGTTTATACATATATGCATTATTTTTTACCTGGAAAATGTAAATATTAATATTTTCAATTCATTGTACAGGAAGGGCACAATCCAATTTAAAATTGGTTAAATAAGAGACAAAATAGAGATAAAACGCTTTTTCATCAGTCCAAAGAAAGTTTTGCGATAAAAAATTATGGTCGTTAATCGCGAATTTGCAAAACCACAGTGACTCGCGTACTTCTACACGGAGAGAATTTTCTCTTAGAATTTACCCCGAAAATCATGATATATGGTACGTGGGACAATATTGGAAGAATTTTATAAGAGAATTTTATATTATAATAATTTTTTTTATTCTATAAATTTTGTTCTCTGATTAATATTTACCGCGATAAAAAATATTAATATGTACATAGTAAAATTAATCGAACATATTTTATATCTTATTGTGAATATTAATTTTTTATTGTGATGTAAATGAAATAAAATTCTTCCAATCCCTATCCCATGATCATCATGATTTTCAGGGTAAATTGTAAGACAAAATTCTCTCTGCGTATAAGAGAGAAGAAAGAGAGTGAGAGAAACTAAGACCTCGTTCGAGAATCGCGTCGTCGCGTTGCGTAATCTCCGTTGTTGGACAACAAGAGCAGTCGTCACAACGACGCACTGTTATTGCCAGTTACCGAATTTTGTTTACCACCTTGTGAAGTGCGCGCGAACTCACTCTTTTCTTTCATTTCCTTGAGCAGGATATTTTCTAGAATGAAGCGTAATTAAATTTTTTTTCTTTATTTTTTGTTCTTCATTTTTTAAATTTAATCTTTTTGTTATTTTGTTACGCTCTCGCTCTCCCTCTCTCTCCCTAGAATTTTTTCCAGGAAGAGGCATAATTAAATTTTACTTTTTTTTGTTAAAAATTTTTATTTTCGAGAAACTTTTTTCTTAAAAAATTTCTTAACCTTCCTTAAATTTTTCTTAAAAATTTTTATTTCGAGAGCAGACTAAATATTCTTAATTTTTATTTTGTTACGCTCTCGCTCTCCCTTTCTATCACTTCCTTGCATAGCCGTCTGCAGGATTTTTCCCAGGAGGGGGCATAATTAAATTTTTTTGTTTCTTCTTAATTTTTTGATATTAAACATGCAAATAAATTCCAGGGTTTTCAAAAGGAGAGCAAACGCTGAATTTTTTTGTACCGATTCTGCCCATGTTTTTTCGTGTAAACACACGATAGAGTGTGCCAATGGTAGCTCTAATACGGCTCTCTAAGTCTAACATTGCACGATGAGCGGGATAGATCATTCGGAGTGGCGTTCGTCCGATTTATTTGCGTTCGCGTACGCGAAGCAAAAATAGTTGTGCTATCTATCGCGTTAAGTAATCGTCGTCACGTCCTGATATCGCGCGGGCTTTTCACGCAACGTGAGATTAGCGTTTGCGTCATCTCGTGTCTTTATCTAGACGAAAATATCAGGCGACCGGTTAATTCGCGAAAGAAGGAAAGTGAGGGAGAGAAAAGCACAGGAATGAAAATGCGCGATAACTTTAATCTTTCGTCTCTTCATGCGTGTTTCAGGCATTCCGTTTCAAGGTCGAGATAGAGAGAGGAGAAATGGCGCCGGCTCTCTTCCGTCTCTTTCTCGTCTGTGGAAAGATTTGCCATCGACTTCGAGGATAAATCGTGCGAGCAAAGTTGCGTAATCAAAGTTGCATCCACGTCGATGAACGAATGAAATCATGGAGATTGACAGGGTCGGGTAAGTCAATGATTTTTTCAAACTAAGTTAATTGCTTATAAAATTAATTTAGTTAAGTTAAAAGTTATGCATGAACAAAAAATTGATTCAGTTAAAGTTAAGATTAAATTAACTGAAATTGAAAATCAAAAGTTAATTTTTAAAGACATTTATATTAAATTAAAATTTTGTTTGTTAATTCTTTTAAAACGTATAAGAAATTTTGATTTTTATATATAGAAATAAATTTTTTAGTAATTACAATTGATAACAAATAAACATAAAAATTAATAATACTACAATTTAAAAATAATACATTTATAACTTGATTCTGATCCTCTTTTTGTAATATGTTGTTGTCATAATACGATAATGACGTTTCATTATTGATATCGTTAATAATATCCGTTAATTATGAATCGATGAAAAAGATTGTTTTCATAACAATCCGCAAAAAAATGTTCTCTCATCGCTTAATGTGTTGATTCTCAATTGGTCGACGGCATATATTCATTATATAATCGCAATATATATTTACATAAATAAATTCCATTATTGGAGAATTAAAACTGTTTACAACAGGATTAAATTATTTTGTCGTTTATTATTAGCAGAACTGCGCGTGATTATTTATATTCGTATTATGAAAATAAATTTTTTAAACCCGACTTAATTATTTAATTACGCCATATTAATTATCTATATATATATATATATATATATTTATTCAATCTCGTTTGATGAGTTACATTTGCCAACTTGTAAAAGCTATTGAACTGGTCTTCTTTAATATTATGCTAAATAAATAATTATTTAAGTAAAATAAGATAAATAAATCAATAAATCAATTTTCTACGCAATGACATAATTATAAATTAATAATGAATAATTTATATATGTTGTTATAGTTAATAAATAATGACAGCTACATAAATAAATCAATATAGTAACAAGGACTAAATAAATGAATATATTTCCTATATAATTTCACGATATTGAAGTTTGATATTTCCTCGAAAAATGTGACCTTGAAAGGGGTCGTCAATTAATCCGATGAGCTTGTTTCTCTACGAGATTTACATCTCCTTAAATTTACATTTTCTTTCTCCGAAGAAGTTTCGAAAAGTCACTCGTGAGAAAATTCTTTCTCGGTCGCGTACTGCAAAATTTAAAAAGACTTTCGTATCGGCTCTCTCAGCTTTGAGTCGTCCCTAATAATCGCGAAAACCGGTTTCTGCACGTGGCACGAGTCCTCTCGGCAAAATAACCAGTGAAGGACCAGCCAACATGGATGCAACACTCTCTCACGTGACTTTCTTTTTCGGACATTTCGATGAGCTCGCGTGAATGAAGTTCTTTTCGTTCGATTCTACCGGAAATCGCGCTTGTCCAAATTACATTTGTCGTTCGATCATGCTTTATTTATTATCGACTTAGTTGTTACCGTCGATAGCAAATTTAATTATTTTTTATTTTATTATTTACATAGTCATTTATTTATCAAAACACCAAACGAGATAAGCTCAATTTAACAATAAAATTCCTCTACATCAAATAAGAGCAACGAGATCGATTGCATAATATACATATATAGTATATATAATCATTATTAAAATAATTAAGTAATTAAGATTGTAATGCAGACGTGGAAAAAAAGACTTAACAGAAATATCGGATTTAAAGATAAATTTTTAAAAATTATATTCCGAAAAAATTTTTCTTCTAAAGGGAATAAAAACACAATATATACGTCAAATAAAATAAGTTCGAAATTGCACATGATAGGTAAAAGATTAGAGAAAAATAAGGAATTAAATATTGTTAAAAATATTTAAAATAAAATTGTAATTTGCACATCAAATAAGAGCAATGAGATTGCATAATATACATATAGTATATAACGATTAATATAATAATTTAATAATCAAGATTATAATGCAGACATGATTGTGGAAAAAATCAGATTTAAAATCTTATTTTTCTCAATTACATCCCGAAAAAATCTTTCTTCTAAATAGAGTGAAAAACACATCAAATAAAATAATAAGTTCGAAATTACTCATGATGAAAGATTAGAGAGAAAAAATAAGGAATCATGAAATATAAATTGGTTAAAAAATGAACCGCTTCAAAGATAGCTATACGAGATCGATATAATTTATCACGCGCGTGATTCATTCTCTTAACGAGGTGACGATATTTTCGACCGCGTGTCAGCTTAAGCAGACGGAGCTTAATTAATGCGAATTGTAATGATTTCATATCGTGCTGCGCAGATCGTCGTCGAGGATCGCGAAATGAACGCTCGCTATTTCATAAGGCGTCAGGTTTTATCGCGGATTCTTATCCGCTCGCCTCTTCCGATGTGCCTTAATAAGACACATTTACCGCGATAAAGGTAATATCTCGCGATTATTAACGCGCGAGCGCAACGACGCGTAAATGATGAATGTGTATATACGATTTCGCAAATTCGAACGAAAATTGCAGCGTACAATATTCCCGGAGAATTTCGTCAGAATTAATCGCCGTAAATAAATTCGCGCCTGATTGCGCGGGACAGTTAAAGAGCCGCAACTCATTTTTTAACGAGGAAGAGCGCGTTTATCGCGCCGTTCCTATGACTCACAAATCTACGTGTTATTGTTGCGCGACGATTACGCAGTTTGAACACAACGCAAGCTCATTCTGCCGAAAAACCTTTTATTCATTCGTATTTTTACGAATATTTTACTTCCCTTTTAAATCGATACCACCCCATGTATGTATGTTTGACATTTTATTCTACTGTTGCAAGTTGCAAATATTATTTTTAGAAATTTATATTAATCAATTAAATTATTAATATTGATAAATATTATTAATATTAATGTTATTTATTAATTAATATTAATATTAATTTTATTGAAGCCTTCGATCGAAATTCCAGTGGTCGAAACGTGTATATATATATATATATATATATATTTAATAATTTTTTTTAGTGTACCTCTTTCATTCTCTCACTAACATACGCTAACTCACGCTAACGCACACTAACTTCGATATATATATATCGAAGAGATAAAATTGAATTTTCTGAACATTATTTAGTAATGTTATTATATAATAGTGACTATCTTGATTAATTGAATTTATTGTGAAAAAAATTACAATTTTTATTCTCGACTCTTAAGTTGATATGATGAAAATATACATATAACTCGATACAATTCTCGGGGCGCAGATACTGCGCAGGCGATGTCGCCACACTTGTATATATCACAAGTGCAAATATTTCTGCGACGTTTTTTTTCCTTTTTTATTTGCAAACACGTGCCTCTCTTTTCCTTTCCTTTTTCTCTCTTCAAAGGCCGGATACACGCCTCGGATGCGCGCAATTCGCGAAGCGAGGAGATGGCTGAAATGGATTTCGGGCGTATACTTTTTGCGCATCGTGTGCGGAACGAACACGAGCTTAAAGGAGAACGATCATGACGCGACGGCAGGGAGGGGGGGAGGGAGAGGGTTACGTAACCGAGAGAGGGAGAGATGGAGGGAAACCGACACGCCGGCCGGCCGGCCGGCGAACAAAACACCGAAGCCGGCGTTTCTCACCCGGGTATTTCGACACCCGGTATTTCGCACAGACCCGTGATTTGCCCCGACGAAGGAATCTTATATACATTGCAGAGAGCACAGCCGTATTTATTTATCTTATTTATTAGGAGCCATTTTACTCCTCTCCTTTGGAATCATTAAAAATCAAGCATTTGCTCTCCTTATGAATAAAGACTGGAATTTGTTTATATATTTAATATATAAAACAATTGAGAAATTATAGAAAATAAGAAACAAAAATAAATTTTAATTGTGCCCCTCCTTGGAAAAAAATTAAGCATTTGTTTTTAGCCTTTTTAAGACTGGAATAAAGACTGGAATTTATTTGCATATTTAATACAAAAAATTGAAAATAAAAAATTAAGAAATTATAAAAAATAAAAAACAAAACAATTTTAGTTATGCCCTGCTCTCCCTTGGAATCAGTAAACAAATTGATCATTTGCTCTCCTTTTGAAAATAAAGACTAAAATTTATTTATATATAAAAAAATTAAATTAAAAAAAATTAAGAAACTATAAAAAATAAGAAACAAAAATTTAAATTATGCCCGCTCTCGAAAAAATCCTGCGGATATGATCTCTCCGTGAGTAACGCAATATTTACACACGAAGAAATGATGATTCATCGGTTTCCTTTTTTAAAGGGAGCTGGTCTGCGAAAATTGTCGTGCGATATATCGATAAAGACGAAAACAACACGTTCGTTTCGTTTATGTTGGCGAGCTTATCGCTATCGTTAAGAAATGCCTTTGTAAGAACGTTCGTACGAAAACAAAAAAACACATTTGCAAGATAGTAATAAGTTTAATAATAAATGCGAAAAAAAATCATCGATTGTAAACAGAAAACAATTTTTTTTTACAATGCTGCTAATGAGGTTTGAATGTATCATTTGGACATAAATGTTTCCAGGAACGAGAAAGTCGTTTCGATTTTTTTCTTCGATTTATAAGCTGACGCAAACAATCAACTAATTTACATTTTTTTTTACGTATTAAGAGATGGAGGGAGAAATATGTGTATTTGTGGAATACAATATTATATATTCTAAAATTATCTCCCGCCTTCTAGAACAGATCAATTTCGATTGCGCTAATAAATTCTAAATTAGCCAGATAACTTTCTGTGCGTAGTCAGGAAAGATAAACACGGCGAAAAAGGAGTTCTTTACGAGCTTAGGAATAAAGAAAAACGCTTCTCTTTTTCTCTCTTTCTTTTCTCCTTTTCTTCTTTACGAACTCGACGACCTTCCGACACCCACGCGTCGAAAATACGCTTTAGAGTCGAGCAGCGGATTCTTATTTAATCGCGAGACGGCGGCGATAAAGAGAAATTCTTTGGCGAGCGAGTGAGCGATATTTTTTATTTTCAACGTCTCGCAAAAATTGCGCCGACAGCCTTCGGCTTCGATCCTCGGCG